CACGACCAAGATACAAGCATGTAGAAAATAACTTCATCTGTTGGTTTCAGTTTGGAAAAGAAAGGACGCTAAGTGCCTTGCGTTAGTCCTGAAAATGGTGTTCTCTCAATCGATCCGGATCTTTTTGGAAATGCTAACAGATAGAGCTTCAATCACGCTTTGAGGTAATGAATCCTATTAGTTGAAGATTCGGTGGGAAAGTCGATAGTCAGCTGATAAGTAATTTGTTCCAGGCTTGTGAACCTTTTCAGTGTTTTCGAATAAAAGAAAAGTGAGGGTATACCAGACAAAAATTATCACTAAGTGATTTAAAAACTGTGATCAAGTCAACTCTGGTTCTTTTATATATCAACATAAATAAGTTAATTGAAGAGTGTAACATGTATTGGTTTGAGCCTATCCCGAAATTATCTTAAGAATGTGCAGAGTAGCGCACTTCAATAAAGCCAGAAAAGTGAAGAACAAAGGGAAAAGTTTCCTAAAGTCTCAGAAAGCCCACGCCTAATGAAGAAAACAGTAGACAACAATTAGTTTCAGTTTTAGTTTGGGAAGGACAGGAGGCTCGATGGCCTATGTTAGTCCTGGCAATGGTGGTCTCTCAGTTGATCCAACTTTCTTTTGAAAGAGTCGACGGATGGAGCCTCAACCACGTGCTGAGGTAGTGAATTCCACTCGTTGATGATTCGATGGGAAAGTCGATAGTCAGCTGACAAGTAATTTGTTCTCGGCTTATGAACTTTTTTGGAGTGTCCTCGTAAATTCTCTGTTTTGGAAGACAAGAAAAATGAGGGCATGTTAGGTGCAAATTTATCACTAAGCAATTTGTAGACTGTAATCAAGTCGCCTCTAGTTCTGCGATATGACAACGGGAAAAGGTTCAGCTTGGCCAGTCGAGATTCATACGGAAGCTTCGCTATTCCGGGAACCAGCTTAGTCGCCGTTCTCTGAACCTTTTCCAGAAGCTCACTGTCTTTTTTAAGCAGGGGCTAGCCGCTTGTATGCAGTACTCAAGTTTAGGACGAACGAACACTGTATACAAAGTCAAAAACGTCTTAGCGTCGACATGACTAAAAGCCCTACGTATTGACCATAACGTTCTAAAACTTTTGGCGGCTATTGCACGGCAGTGTGCAGTAGTCTTTAAGTCTTGACTAACGATAACTCCTAAGTCATTATATGTCTGGACGACAGGTAGCTCAGTGTTATTCATCGTGTATGTATCTGTGCCTTGATGACCGATATGCATCACAACACACTTGGAAGTATTTATCGGCAACTGCCATGTTTGAGACCATTCAGATAACTTCTTCAGGTCATTTTGAAGTTCTAAGCTATCACTCTTACATCGTATCGTTTTCCATATCTTGACATCGTCAGCATATAGCAAGACCGATGATGATAGGAGACAAGGAAGGTCATTTACATACAAGAGGAATAGCACTGGCCCCAAAACTGTACCCTGGGGCACTCCACTAAGCACAGTTTCCCAGCTAGATAACTTTGAGTTCACCCGAACTCTTTGTTGACGCCCAACTAAGAAGTCTTTTATCCACATCAATAAATTGCCTCCAATCCCGACTTTTCTTAACTTATATAACAGCCGGTTGTGCGGAACTTTATCAAAAGCTTTACTGAAATCAATGAAGGCGACGTCTACAGGTAGCTTTTGGTCCTTAAGAGCGCACCAGCTTTCACGAGCCACTAATAAGTTAGTGAGACAAGAATAACCTATTCTGAAGCCGTGCTGCTTCTCCGAGAGGATCCGGTTTTTATCGAGATACTTAAACAGCTCCTTCCGAATAATCTTTTCTAAGATTTTAACAACCACACTAGTTAGGCTAACGGGGCGGTAGTTCTCAGGTTTGTGTTTCGTGCCTGTTTTGAAGACAGGACTTACTATGGCGTTTTTCCAATCTTTCGGTAAGCGACCCTGCGTAACGGATAGGTTAAAGCATGTACTTAAAGGGCTTGCAACGAAGTTAGATAATTCCTTCAGTAGCCTAGGATGTAATTCATCGGGCCCCGTGGATTTACCTATGTCAAGCTTATTTAGCAGACCAAAGACATCGAGTTCTTTAATGGTCACGCTATCCAGTGTATGTATGGGGGGATCTGTATACGCTGACGAGAAGGGCGCTTCTATGGTATACACGTTGCTAAAGTAGTTCGAGAACGCTTGAGCCTTACCAAAGTCGTCCTCCACTAATGATGAAGCAGTACTGTCTCCCCATAGAGCAGGAATATTTCCTTTTCTCCTTGTCCTTTGGTTTATATAGGAATACAAGCGTTTAGGACATTCTATGGATTCCTTAACAAGTTTTTCTTCGTACAATTTTCTAGACTTACGGAGGGTCGAGGCACAAGTGTTCCGAGCCTTTCGATACTGAGATTTTGACTCATCAGTCCCCAGTAACCTAAATCTATCCCACATTTTCCTTTTCTTACGGAGAAGGATACGGACCTCCCTACTGAACCATGGTGGTGAGTTTTTCGGCCCCTTTGGTATAGTCCAAGGGATGTGAGGTGTGGTAACTTTTAAGTATGAATTTCGAAATGCGTCCCAGGCCGTTTCAATGGAGGACTCTGGGTCTATTGTCCAATCTATTAACGATGCTGAGTGCATGATGTCTGGTATGTTTGCTTTCCAGACGTTGGGTCTGGACTGGACTGACGCGTCCTCATGACTGGCAGTTATATGGAAGTCGAAAGTTAAAACTGCGTGGTCACTTTTACCTAAGGGTGGCATATGATGGAGGTTCACAACATCATCCTCATAGTGAGTCAGTATAAGATCTAATAAGGATGATTCAGTGTCCGGATCGTACCTTGTCGCTTCTTTCACATGTTGCACTAGAGCACATGTGATAACCGCATCAACTAGTTCCTGCTCGAAAGAATTCTCCGACGATTTAGTTCGCAGATTTTCCCAGTCTACCATAGGTGCATTAAAGTCCCCTAGGATTAGACATCGACCACTTTGGGACCAAGTATTGAGACTGCTTAACAGGATCTCATTTGCCTCACAGCTTGGACTGCGATAGACCAAACCAATCAGCAGCTCTTGTCCCTTGCATTTTAAGCGAAGACTAACTAATTCACACGTCCCACTCTCATGGGATACACTATCGATAATGGCAAATGGGATAGCATTCCTAATGAATAGAGCTACTCCCCCTCCTTTGCGCTTTTGTGTTCTGTCGGCCCTTACTAACGTAAAGCCCTCGAAATCAAGTTCTATACTATCTATAGCCTGTGTCAGCCAGGTTTCTGTTACTGCGATTATATCTGGCTTTGTAGAGTCAATCTGTACACCTAGTTCCGATCGCTTATTAAGTAAGCTTCGTGCATTGGTGTAACAGATCCGAAGCCTCTTTAAGTGCCTTCGTGCTTCACCCAGAGTGGCTTCGGCATCATTCTCTGTCGAAGTCTTACAACCCGAAAATTTACAATTTTCAGGTCCTTTTCGCCAGCGTCTAACCTATGTTGTAGTTCTTTCTCGGCTTCCCGTCTTTTAACACGGTCTGCCAACGGTAGGTCCTTTCGGATAAAGACTCCTGAACCCTTTAATTTGTGTCCATTTTGTAAAATTAGGTCACGTTCGTTCGAAGAGCCGAATACTACTTTAAGCAGTCTGGAATGATTTGGTTTCGAGTCCGTTAGACTCCCTAGTCTGTACACCTTTAGCAAGGTGACCCCGGTCATATTTTGAGGCATGAGTTGATTAAGCAGCTGCCTAATCAGTACAATGTCATGCTCAAAACGAGCTTTAGGTTCAGAGCTCTCGCTCTCCTTGATTCTATGAAAAATAGCTGATCTGTCGCTATGATCAGCTTTCGATTTTTCAACCACTTTTACGGGGGCAGGTTTCCCTTTTATATCCCTACTTTTCTTCCTTACAACCTTTACCCATTCGTCAACGGTGCTGGTAGAAGCAATAACAGTTGCGTCAAACCTAGTGTTGGGTTTTGGGGGGTTGTCGACGACCTGAGAGGTCGGGTTATGTTTACCGATTGAAACCGATCGAGGCCGAGGCTTGCGGCTTCTAGGTGTTTCCTGTTGGATCCCATCTGGAAGACGGGGAACAGAAGACCCTACTTTTCTTGAGCTTTTTTTTAAGGCAGGCCTCTTTGGAGACTGCTTTTCCTTCTTTGACGGGCGTGAGTCATCTATCACCGGACTAACCTTAGTTTCCTTCACGTTGATTTGCGTGTCGACAGATCGAGTGCTGTTTGACGCGTTCCGACTATGCTTGCTAAAACACTTCTTTGCAGCATCAACCAGTGAGATGGCCTCGGTTAGCAAGCTGTTTGCATCCGAGCAGCACTGTTGACAAAGCCACACACAACCCTTCTTACTGAACCGTTTGAAAGCAGCAGGCGTTAAGTTCGTGCAAACTTCGTGGTACCAGCCTTTGCACTCGTCGCACTGCATGCCGCTTTCAACAGGATAACGACAACCCGGACGTTGACAACTGCTTTTTTTACACTGTCCGGTCATTTAGGAGGGGTTCTTTTTTAAACTGTGATGACACTCAGAAACAAAAAAAATTATCAATGACCAAAAGTGAAGAGCTGTAGATTGCTAGGACCAAAAGTACTAACAGATACAGTTGAAAAAGAGGTACTCAAGAGTACCAACGACAAAACAGTAAAAACGATACTTTAGTCGAATACTTTAACTGAAATAAATTCAATTAAAGTGAAAACAGTAGTCTTGATACGTAATAAACGATCAAAACAAAGAAATTTACTCAGCGAGGAAAAATACCACTGTCCTTTTTAAATAGCGCGCGTTTAGCAGTAACACATGAGCTAAGTCAAGACAGTCCAACAATCTTAACCAAAAGCCGGTAGTGTAAGGCTCCGAACACGTATTAGCTCACCCTTCATATATTTATTCGACTGAAAGAAACTATTTTCTTCACATTTATTCACAACTGAAATTGTTTCACTTTATAGAAGTCTATATGCAAGGACGTCACTTACTTTTGAATATTGTCGATGGACTGTGTTTTGTCAGATTTGAGGCATTCGTTCGGTAGTGGTGACGTGGATACTCAACACAATCTTATAGTTAAAATTGAAAAGTTAGTACTCCGCCTTTCCAGACTTGGATATTATTTCTGAGTAGATTGCAAATGCATTTGAACAAGGTTACACATATCATGACATCTAAGATTCAGATTTGTGTAGTAAGGAGAGAAGGCCTACGGCCTATGTTATTCCTTTTCTAGTATGCTTCTGTGAGTGTCCAGTCTTCTCTTGACAGAGTCAATTGAAGGTGCGGACACCACTGCTTCAGGCAGCAGGTTCCAAGTATTGATGACTCGGTGTGAAAACCTGTACGCCACGGGTATTTCGTTCGTTCTTGGCTTTTCTACTCGCCTGCTTAGTCCCCACTAAGGATGTGTATATTGTCTGCGATAGGACAGAGTAAATAGGTTCAGTTTTTCAAGCCGCTCTTTATATGATAAACCCCGGAGTTCCGGAATTACACGCGTAGCTGCCCTCTGTACCTTTTCTATTATGTCCGAGTCACCTTTGAAACAGGGGCTTGCAGCCTGAACACAGTTCTCTAGCTTAGTTCTCACTAAGGATGTGTATATTGTGGTGAACATGGTAGTACCAAGCTTAGTGAATGTCCTTTTTAAAGCCCAGAGGGTTCGAAACCCCTTAACTGCGACCTCCCGGCAATGGGCCGTCTTCTTAAGATCATTGCTCACTGTCACCCCTAGGTCCTTATGAGACCGGACTACGGGTAATGACACATCCCCTATGTTGTACGTATTAACCTTCGAATCCCCCAAGTGCATGTAGACACACTTTTCCGAGTTGATAGGCATTAGCCACTCTTTAGACCAGTTAATCATATTATTTAAGTTCGCCTGAAGAGTAAATGCGTCTTTGTCTCCAGTTATTACTCGCCAAATTTTTACATCGTCAGCGTATAATAACATTGGAGACTGTACTATACTTGTAAGATCATTAACGTACATTATAAAAAGTAAAGGACCTAGGACGGAACCTTGGGGTACTCCACTAAGTACTGGTCTCCAGATGGAGCACTTGGAATCTATTCTTACTTTTTGCCTACGACCTACTAGGAAATCCTTAATCCATTTTAAAAGAGGTCCGGCAATACCAAGGTTTGCCAACTTCAATAGCAGTCTATTAGTTGGCACCTTGTCAAAAGCCTTACTGAAGTCTATGTAGACAACATCCACTGAGTTTCCGTTGTCTAGCGCATTAATCCAGAGCTCCCTAGCTATAAGGAGGTTCGTTGTACAGGATAGACCCTTTCTAAAACCATGTTGTGCCATGTTCAGCAAGTTATTGGTTTCCATAAATGCTGTTATGGTCCGTTTGATTATTCTTTCCAGTATTTTAATTACAACACTGGTGAGGCTTACGGGTCTGTAATTTGATGGAACTTGTCGTAGACCTGTTTTATGTATGGGAGTGACGATTGCGTCCTTCCAGTCCATAGGTAACACACCTTGGTCAAGTGACATTTTGAATATCACAGTCAGTGGGGCTGCGATATATTGGGCAATATGTCTCAAGATTTTAGGGTGTAGTTCATCTGGTCCTGTTGACTTCTCCATGTTTAGGGTGCTAAGAGCCTTAAGCACATCGTTTTGGTCGAAGTCCACGGTCAGCAGCTGGTTTGTTGACTCTGTAATTGGGTCTGGTTCTTTCTCTAGAGGAGGTTCCTAAGTGAAAACTGCCCCAAAGAAGTCAGCCATAACCTCAGCTTTTTCCTGATCTTCCTCTATCATTTCAGATTCACTTCCTACTTTAATTTGGTTGGGAATCCAATGATGAATCCTTGTTCTGTAGTTTATGTACGAGAATATCCTCTTAGGCTGCTTGAGTGCAGATTCTGCCAGCTGCATTTCATATTTTCTTTGCGCTTCCCGAATTTTAGTTATACACTCGTTTCTTATCGATCTGTAACGTTCCATCGTACCCGCTGTGCCAAGGCGGATGGCAACATCCCAGCATTTCTTCTTTTGTCTTAGTAAGCGTCGAATATCCCGCCCTATCCAGGGATGTCCGTGCTTCTTTTTCTTTGGGACAGTCCAGGGTATGTATGGTTGAGTTACTCGATTGTATAACTGCCTGAATAGAGTCCATGCCTCTTGTACTGATGCCTTTGAGTCGATTTCCCAGTTCTCAGCCGATGCTGCGGAGTTAATTGCCTGCATATCTGCCTTCCATATGTTAGGACGGGCCGGCGCAATTGTTTGACAAGCAATCTCAGCCATGAATTTGAATAAGATGACTGCATGGTCACTTCTCCCAAGTGGTGGGAGAAAAGCCGTTTGACCAACGTCATCACCATGTGTGAAGACTAAATCTAAAAGAGAAGAGTTTCTTAAGTCGTATCTTGTGGGATCTCTAATGTGTTGGAATAATGCTAGTCTAGATGTCATGATATGTGTAAATTAATTAACCTGTATATTTACAGACCTAGGAAACTTCTGTTTTGTGCTATATTTTAACGAAAGTGTGCTCGATCGGTTGTTTTTGTCCCAGATTTAAGGGTTTGAAAGAGTCGACGAACAATATGATTATGCTGTAGTGATCGACTGGTGTCATAAACCAGAACTCGACAGAAATACAGGACAGATAGTATACCTACTGTAATATATATGGCAAAGAAGTTAACCACTTATTATTTTTGAGGACAAAGTGCATATTTTCTCGTAAGCAATGGTTATTTCAACACACTTTAACCAAGCTTGACAATGTGGCACAAAAAATGCTGTTTTTGTAATTACTATGTTTTCTGGTAACCTTATGTGAGTGAGGTGCGAATCTGCTTTTCGTTTGATAAACGTGAAAAAAAACAGGTGGGGCTGAGTACGTAGATATCACTCAATGAAGGGACATATTATGTTTATTACCTATTGTACTAAAAATACACATATGCGAAAACTCGGGTTCTCCAAAAATAATCGAAATCTTCTGAGAAATAGGTTGGCTTAACTTCCAATAATGTTGACAGTTATTTTGCTTTTTTTTTGAACACACAAATATTAGTACAAAGGGGTACCAAATACATATGTGCTACACAACTCCCTTGATTTGTGAGTGGGCTATGACACTGTCAGGGTGCCCAGACTACAGCAGATGATTTTCTTAGGGGGCCACACCCAGGGCCTTCGACCTAAAGGTTTGGTTCACAAGGCAGTGGAGCAACGTCAGGAGGTGCAGTTCCATGATAGCCGTGGTAGGACCTCTTCTCTTCTTGATCTACATAAATGATCTTCCTCGACAGGTAATGTCAGACTTATTACTTTTTGCCGACGACGTGAAACTTTGGAGAGAGATACGCAACCAAGACGATATGCAGGCACTCCAGGAGGATCTGACTCGACTTCAAAGCTGGGCAGACGATAACGGACTTACCTTTAACACTTCAAAGTGTAAAGTAGTGCACCTGCGACATGTCGCAGACTACAGTTATAACTTAGGTAACTCCTTTCTAGTAGTATCCCAAGTCGAAAAAGATTTAGTAGTCTTGGTGCCCTACGATTTAAAGTCTTACGCTAACTGTGACAAAAATGCTTTCCGAGCAAACCTTGCACTGGTAACATTGAAGCGCATTTTTGGCCAGTTTGACGGAAGAACTTTCCATATAATCTTCAATAGTTTTACCCGTCCCCATTTAGAGTACGGAAACATAGTATTTCCCCCCTCACTCTAAAAGGATAAGGACATCCTGGAGCGTATTCAACGGCGAGCCACGAAATCAGTTCGAGGACTCAAGTTTAAACCTTATGAAGAGCGCCTCCGATCACTAGACCTTTACCCATTAGAGTATAGGCGTCTTAGAGGCGACCTATTAATGGCTTGTAGTATTCTCAACACTTCTGGACATCCCCTTAAACACCTATTTAAGCTTAGTTCGAACACTAACCTAAGGGGTAACACTCAGAAACTGGAGACACAACATAGCAAGAAGGAATGTAGACACAACTTCTATTCCTTAAGAGTTGTCAAATGCTGGAACTCGCTGCCGGCCGGGCTAGTCCAAGCGTCTTCCCAGGAGACCTTGAAGATGCAACCTGACCTATTCTTAAGGGCCAAGGACAGCATCATACTATGATTTACCAATTTCTTTTTCCTCTTTTCTTGTTAACATACCTAGGTTCCTGCCTGGAGGATTTGGTGATCCCCTGCTACTAGACACGGAAGCCTGTTAAGCGAAAGCTTCTTTTATTCCGTCCACAACCATTTGAACCAATAATGTGTTCATATGCCATTTGTTCCTTTAGAATCCTGCAGCTCATGTGTATCATTGGTTTAAAATTAGGGTTCCCCAACTCCCCTAGGTGGATCCCCTATATCCACCAACCCGGTTAAAGCGCTGAACACTCGCTTCTTGTCCTCTCAATTTCGTAAACAACAGTAATGCCGCGAGAAGGCAGTAGGTAGGGCTTCCCTGGCAGTAGCTGTATGCGCGTTGCCATGTAAGAGCACTTGGAGAGGGAGAGTGGACTCTCCCTACTCTCGACCGTACCAGGGCATTTGGGGGCTAATACTTAGTTGTTTGTATAAGTTATCAGCAAGTCTTTCTACCGGTAGTTTTGCGTTTTGATCTGAATGTTCTAATTTTGAGTGGTACTTGATTTGTTTTTTGGGCTAACCAGGAACCAATATGAGAAGTTTGTCAGGTTGATTTGTTTTCCGTACCTGTGGTTGGTCTGATGTACTGTGGGTTATCTTAGGCAAAATGCCATCAATTAGCTCTTATTTGTGTCATTGCAGTTGGATTACTTCACTTCTATTGTCTGTAGTTAATGAGAATAATTGAGTCAATTGTAAATAATCGCTTGGACTTGTTTGTAATAATCACATTGAAAAAATAACTTATTTTTTGTAGTTGGAGTCGTGTTCGCATTGATGCAGAAAATGCCCAGTAACTTCTGATTTTTATAAACAATACTTTCTTAGGACAATTAATGATTATCTTTACAATGTACTGCCCATTTATTATTCACATTCCTTCCATGAGTGTCCTGTAAGACTTTCAGTGAATATTTATTATTAATTCAAGTTATGTAGATCCGATAACTATATGACCTGGACATCCCTTTTAGCTTCGTTTCTTGATTCCAGAGTGTTGCTTCATAAAAATAACTCGCAAAAAAATCCTGACTTGTTCAACTCAAAAGATCTCTGTATGGTGGAGTTCACACTTTCAGGTGAAACTATTTATCTAGTTGACGTACTTCTACAAATGAACACCATTGCTCTTGTTCCTGAGTTTGGAGAGTTCGTGGCAAAGTAAACTCACCTTTATTTTATCTCTGTAGACGAGTATTTTCTCTAGACAAGTCGACTTATAAACGTCATGAGAATGCCATCAGAATTCTCATGCTTCATAAATGGCTGGATCTTAACTTTTCTCACATTCTGAAGCCCACTTATGAGGTAGGTATGATGAGAAAAAAAATATAGTTACAAAGCAACTGGGTAGATATTTGGATCCTAATTCCGTTTTGGACTGGATGGGTTTAAGAATCCGGACAAATATTAAAAAAAAACACTGGAGATGTTGCACAGTAGCAGACAAAATACATGTACTTTTGAACTTTTTTGATCTATCTACCTTGGCAACACTGCTTGGTCAATCTACCAATTCAGATGGCGGAGAACAGGTTAACGTAAGTGCTTTTTATCTTTGTACTAAACAACAGTGTAAGAAACAAAACATTCATCACCATAAAGAATCGAAGGAGCACTTTCGAGAAAAGAAGATTGCCAGAAAACCCCATCCATCTGCTTTACCAATAGAGGGTGACGTTTGTACAGATATAGTCAAAGGTTAGTTTAAAAAGCATTGTTGTAAACCAATCTTAAGAATTAGATAAAGAGGGTAATCAGTTCCCCATATATTCACTTGAGAAACCGGGAAACTCAAGCAGTCCGAATACACAGCGGGATACAGATATCACATCAGGAGCTAAGCGAAGACAAACGGATAAAAATGATAGAAAGCGCACGATGTCTGATTGGGAAGAGAAGGTTCAGGCTGGTAAACTAGAGCATACAGTTTTAATTAGATTTTCTATCCAAACAGATTATGGGTTCAGCAGACCACCTAAGAAGACGAAATTGAACGGTGAATGTAATAACATTGAGAATGCAGACGGTGAGATAGACGGTAAGTGAAGTTGATCAATTCTAATATCACATGCGGACAACAGTGTTGGATGTAGGAAACGACATCGACACTAACCAGGATGTGCGAGATGATGTTAGTGCAGACACTTCCTTGCATGGAAAGCCAGTCATACCAATGGAACAGAGTCAGGACATGGGTTCACCTGGTAAACGGAAAACACCAAAGAAGGACAGAACCCCGACGGTTAATGGTAAGTTTCGCCTATTGATCTCCAATCCATATTCCTCCTAGGCTCTGAAGTCAAGAATGCTATTGTGAGCCCCACTACCTCAACTGAAAAGAGAAAGGCAAGTCGCAGCAATATGAATATCAGAAGTGAGGTAGACGGTAAGTGAAGTTGATCAATTCTAATATCACATGCGGACAACAGTGTTGGATGTAGGAAACGACATCGACACTAACCAGGATGTGCGAGATGATGTTAGTGCAGACACTTTCTTGCATGGAAAGCCAGTCATACCAATGGAACAGAGTCAGGACATGGGTTCACCTGGTAAACGGAAAACACCAAAGAAGGACAGAACCCCGACGGTTAATGGTAAGTTTCGCCTATTGATCTCCAATCCATATTCCTCCTAGGCTCTGAAGTCAAGAATGCTATTGTGAGCCCCACTACCTCAACTGAAAAGAGAAAGGCAAGTCGCAGCAATATGAATATCAGAAGTGAGGTAGACGGTAAGTGAAGTTGATCAATTCTAATATCACATGCGGACAACAGTGTTGGATGTAGGAAACGACATCGACACTAACCAGGATGTGCGAGATGATGTTAGTGCAGACACTTCCTTGCATGGAAAGCCAGTCATACCAATGGAACAGAGTCAGGACATGGGTTCACCTGGTAAACGGAAAACACCAAAGAAGGACAGAACCCCGACGGTTAATGGTAAGTTTCGCCTATTGATCTCCAATCCATATTCCTCCTAGGCTCTGAAGTCAAGAATGCTATTGTGAGCCCCACTACCTCAACTGAAAAGAGAAAGGCAAGTCGCAGCAATATGAATATCAGAAGTGAGGTAGACGGTAAGTGAAGTTGATCAATTCTAATATCACATGCGGACAACAGTGTTGGATGTAGGAAACGACATCGACACTAACCAGGATGTGCGAGATGATGTTAGTGCAGACACTTCCTTGCATGGAAAGCCAGTCATACCAATGGAACAGAGTCAGGACATGGGTTCACCTGGTAAACGGAAAACACCAAAGAAGGACAGAACCCCGACGGTTAATGGTAAGTTTCGCCTATTGATCTCCAATCCATATTCCTCCTAGGCTCTGAAGTCAAGAATGCTATTGTGAGCCCCACTACCTCAACTGAAAAGAGAAAGGCAAGTCGCAGCAATATGAATATCAGAAGTGAGGTAGACGGTAAGTGAAGTTGATCAATTCTAATATCACATGCGGACAACAGTGTTGGATGTAGGAAACGACATCGACACTAACCAGGATGTGCGAGATGATGTTAGTGCAGACACTTCCTTGCATGGAAAGCCAGTCATACCAATGGAACAGAGTCAGGACATGGGTTCACCTGGTAAACGGAAAACACCAAAGAAGGACAGAACCCCGACGGTTAATGGTAAGTTTCGCCTATTGATCTCCAATCCATATTTCTCCTAGGCTCTGAAGTCAAGAATGCTATTGTGAGCCCCACTACCTCAACTGAAAAGAGAAAGGCAAGTCGCAGCAATATGAATATCAGAAGTGAGGTAGACGGTAAGTGAAGTTGATCAATTCTAATATCACATGCGGACAACAGTGTTGGATGTAGGAAACGACATCGACACTAACCAGGATGTGCGAGATGATGTTAGTGCAGACACTTTCTTGCATGGAAAGCCAGTCATACCAATGGAACAGAGTCAGGACATGGGTTCACCTGGTAAACGGAAAACACCAAAGAAGGACAGAACCCCGACGGTTGATGGTAAGTTTATTCATTTCTGATGAGCGTTCCGCAGAGAAAAGCGCAAGGTTGAGTATGAATGATTTGGCTACTTCACTGGACGCTTCAGCATCATTATCTTACGTGAATTCGGGAAATAATATGTGCACCTCAGCTAAGCTGTGCATAAATAATGGTTTAAATAAACCAGCTACCAGGCAGTCGAAAACCATAGATACTGCTGTTTGTAAGGTATCTGTATTTCTTTATCTAAACATCTGCTTTAGTCAGCTACTGTGCGAGGCAGTTACTCATTGCGCAACAGGAATTCTTTGAGATAGTTTCGACTTGAGGTTCTTGTCCTTTCAGAGCTTTGATGTACTGTACTTACCAATAAACACTGTAAATGATAGATCAATTTCGCGTTTATTATTCTAAAAAATAAAAGTCGCGGCTCACGAAATTCGATACATATAACTTTTATTATATCAATTAATCTTATCTATACATCAGCCAAATTTTTGTAGTATCGATGTATATATTCAGAGACAGGGGTTTCTCTAGGAGGTGGCCATAACATATGTCTCCGTACACTTCGAGTATTTGATCCCCAGCGAGCCCAAAGTACTCCAGACATTCTGTTATAGTCTGCATATTTTCTCCATACAATACGTGAAACTCTCCAACGTGTTTTACACCCTCGTCTCCTCGAAGTAACGATACATCTGCTTAAAATGCGCGTCCAATTGCTATCACGTGGTAATGATGAAATATATGACGTTGCTAAATCCTAGTACAAAATGATGTAATTACTAACTTACCTTGATTTCCTGGGGTAAAATCGTGTTTTTCCTGATAGCGTTTAGCCTGATGCGTAAGTTACAGAAATGAGCAGAAACTTGTCTGCGCTTGTAATCACGAATCATGATAGCATCCTGAAACCCATGACGAACTATGTGGAAATAAATAACAATGTCGGAATTTACTTTTCCGTGAGGAATATGCGGGGTAATCACATAGTTCGCTTTTTAACAGCTTTTCGATTTCTGAATTATGATGATGAGCTGGTGTCTTAGTAGGTGTTATTTCACGCTGGTATAGTATCTCCGACGGTATTAATGGTGGGATGGAGAGTAACCGCATTTTACTACACAAACTGTTGATCAAACCACTGACGTTTGGTTTTATAATCAGCGGTTTAAATAAATTCATCTAGGAAAAAGTCGAAAAAGTACTTATGTCGAAGTAGTTTGCTAATTGTAAATGATTATTGCAACTATGTTGGCATGGGTCTGGTAAAGACCAACTGTTTATTTGCCCTAGAGATCGAGGCAGACAATATGATTTCCCCAAAGAAACTATACAGAGCATATTGTTTTTGTGAATTGTGGGTCATATTTATTTCGAAGACCACTGACTCCGCTCAATGTAGATGTTTTGAGGGTGATTTCAAGTACATTAATTCATAGTCCACTTATTGACAACTTAAACTACACTCCCTGGATTGACGCAGCGTATGACAACCATACTTCATAATGAACAGTTACGTAGTCACACAGCCCTTGATGAATGAGAGAATGTATCACTTATTATCTATTTATTTATTTCAACACATAGATAGTGGTACAAAGAGGCACCAAATACATATGCGCCACACAAATCTCACTCGATATGTGTGAGGGCTGTGATACTGCCCGTGTGCCCAAACCGAAGCAGGTGGTTTTCTTAGGGGGCCACTCCCCGAGCCTTCGACCTGAAGGTCTGATCCACAAGGCAGTGGAGCATCGTAAGGAGATGCAGTCCCATGGAAGCCGGTGACCAACAATAGGTTCATACGCCATTTGTTCCCGCAGGATACTGGAGCCCATGTGCACCATTGGTTTGGAATCCGGTTAAAGCGCCAGACATTCGCTTTTCGTCCTCCCATTTTCGTAAACAACCCCCCGCCACGAGAAGGCAGTGAGTAGGACTTCCCTGGCAGAGGCTATATACGCGTGGCCGTGTGAGAGCATTTCGAGAGGGAGAGTGGACTCTCCCCACTCTCGGCCGTGCCAGGGCATTTGGGGGCTTGAACGTTTTTAGTGTACAGAACAATACGTATGACTTAACTATTTACGCCACTGGTTACTGCTTAACGTCACCTGTGGAGTAAGGAACACTACTAGTTACTAATCAGTTATGGGAAAGAGCAACGTATGCACTTAGTTGAATTTCGGCGATTTTGTAGAGTATCTAGAACTTATGACGTCTATAATGGAAGATACATTATAGTTTACTAGCAATGTCTTCTTAGGCGTCCCGAATAATTACGTAGAATGTTTAAAAAGTCTGTTCTCGGAAATGCGTGATCAAGAGTTCAATTAAGGAAAGTCACTTGTGAGGTCTAATCTCGTTATATGGGCAATTCTAAAGTCTCGCGTCTCTTTTTCAGTCACTAATTGACTTAAAGCACATAACTAAAATAGTTTTGGCAAATGGAAAGTTTAACAACATGAAATCATAAGTTTGAAAGCGTCTTCCACTTAAAAAGCACACTTGATTTAGAATTAGGTGTATAGATTAACGGTACTCAGAAGGATAATTTTATGTTAAAATACTTTGAACAGACAGACATCATCAACTTGTGAGCTACAATGGATTCGGTGATCTGTGGAAACACCCGTAATGATACTGACAAGTCATTTTATGCCTAATGGAAGAGAGAATTCATAACACCACTATGTACCAAGTTTAATGCGAGTGAGTCGGTATGTACTTCACTACATGACTAAGGGGAAGGTAGGAGATGAAGTGTTTTGGCTAATACAGCCTTCAAAACACTAGTCATACACGACGTAGTCAGTAAGTTGGGCGCAAACCGACACAAAAAGGGGTTGAGTAGATTGACAGGCTTTAGTCAGTCAGCTACAACGTACGACTAGGCACATATATGCATCGGTCCAAGTTGCCATACCTCATTAACACAATAAGATGGACATCGGATTCATAAAAGTAGTTAATCCAGAGGTGGTAATATATAAGAGAAAGATTGACAGGCTTACTAAGTTCTGTCAAATAAGTTAGTTAGATTCTAATTGTAAATGGGAATTAAAATTACACCTTGTTTGTTTCTACATGGAATGAGTATATGTGGATATCCGATTTCCAAGCAAAGCTAAAATGAGCTTATTGACCCATCCCATGTCATGTCGTTAGTTATCGTAGTCTGAAATCCATCATTAATTGCCTTTGACTCTCATAACGCTGTGAAAAAATACCGGTCATATAATGGGAGATATAGAACAGGTGTTCTAACGAGGGCAAAGCCTATTTTTCGTTGACAGAAATAGCATGACTTTATCTGAGTGTCTGCTCTCTGACGCGCAGTTTTAAAGTCCTGAATGCATAAATCTGAAACAAAGGCCATGATGATGTAGACTACGTGAGATCGAGGGTTGATAAAGCACAACACAATTTTGCACGAAAGTATGTGGTTGCGCGCTGCACGTTGCTTATTAAAAAGGGTATTGATATATAAATCTTCAAATACAAATGGAGCAAAACTCAAATAGGTGCGCGGAACGGCACCAGCTGTCAAGATAATTTTACAAGTGGTTGGGTCGCTTACACAAAATATTTGTAATTAACTCTAGTTAACCGAGTTAACAAGAAGTATAACTGGTGTACGGTGAGACTACACTGTATGGACGAGGAATTTTGACTTGAGATCGTATAAAATGTGCGTGACTGATGGATTTTGAGGAAAAAAGTAACTAATTCAGTAAGGCTTTTGACAAGGTGCCACCTAATAGACTGCTATTGAAGTTGAAAAACCTTGGAATTGCCGGACCTCTTTTAAAATGGATTAAGGATTTCCTAGTAGGTCGTAGGCAAAAAGTAAGAATAAATTCCAAGTGCTCCATCTGGAGACCAGTACTTAGTGGAGTACCCAAGGTTCCGTCCTAGGTCCTTTACTTTTTATAATGTATGTTATTGATCTTCCAAGTATAGTACAGTCTCCAATGTTATTATACGCTGACGATGTAAAAATCTGGCGAGTAATAACTGAAGACAAAGAAGCATGTGCTCTTCAGGCAGACTTAAATAACATGATAAACTGGTCTAAAGAGTGGCTGGTGCCTATCAACGCGGAAAAGTGTGTCTACGTGCACTTTGGGGATTCAAAGGTTAACAGTTACAACATAGGGGATGTCCCATTACCCATAGTTCGGTCTCATAAGGATCTAGGGGTGACAGTGAGTCATGACCTTAAGACGACGGCCCATTGCCGGGAGGTCGCAGCTAAGGGGTTTAGAACTTTTTGGGCTTTCAAACGGACATTCACTAAGTTAGACACTACCATGTTCACCACAATATACACATCCTTAGTGAGGACTAAGCAGGCGAGTAGAAAAGCCAAGAACGAACGAAATACCCGCGGCATACAGGTTTTCACACTGAGTCATCAATACTTGGAACCTGCTGCCCGAAGCATTGGTGTCCGCACCTTCAACTGACTCTTTCAAGAGAAGACTGGACACTCACAGAAGCATACTAGGAAAGGAATAACATAGGCCGTAGGCCTTCTCTCCTTACTACACAAATCTGAATCTTAAACTCCCACAACTCCCTCAGATCTAACAAACGATTTTCGTTAGAAGTAGCAATATCCCCTATTAGTTCACTCTTATGAAGACAAAGTACCTCAGGAAAAAAGAGTTGAGAGTGATGTTACATCAACCTTAAAATGTGTTCGACCTTCAGAGGTCACACAATATTCAGCCTTCAGTAATCAGGATAGGAGGTCTATCGACCTATATTAATCCTTGAAGTTTGTAATACTGTGGAGGTCCAATCTCGTTTTGAATATATCAACAGACGGTGCTGATATTACGTGTTCCGGTAGAGAGTTCCAGTAATTCACTACTCGGTGCGAGAAACGGAACTCCAGACGTAAACGGTTTGATCTCGGTTTTTGAACTTTCTTCGAATGTCCTCTCAAATGATCGGTTCTAGACGGAAGCAAGAAATAAGACATGTTAATACAAAGGTCATCGTTCAGTATACGATAATCCAATATTAGATCACTCCGTATTCTACGGTAAGATAACGGAAATAAGTTAAGGTGTCTCAGTCTGTCTTCATAAGATAGGCCAGATAGACCTTGTACCATCTTATTAGCTCGTCGTTGGACTCTTTCTAGCATATCTGCTTCATACTTGAAACAAGGACACGCTGCTTGAATCCCGTATTCTAAATGTAGTCGCACCTAAATTGGGTATAGTAATCTAAACATTTCATCATCTAAATACTGGAAAGACCTACTAATTGACCATAATACCCTATAGCCTTTTGCAGCAGCAGCCTTACAGTGACTAGTCGTTTTGAGATCACTGCTTAATATGAATCCTAAATCTTTATAGTTTCTTGCTTTGGGTAGCACGAATCCACGTAGTGTATAGTCATACGATTCATCAGAGTTATTTAACTGCATCACTACACTCTTATTAGGATTTACTTCTAGTGACTACCTGTCTAACCATCCCACCAATGAGCTAAGATCGTCCTGTAATACTATTCTATCCGACATACTATTTTTGGGTCTCCAAATCTTTATGTCATCAGCGAAGAGTAGAACGGATGATTTTGCTACAATTGGCAATTCACTTACATAAAGTAAAAAGAGAAGAGGACTGAGAATTGTGCCTTGGGGAACTCCACTTTTTACAGGTGCCCACGAGGAGAAAGCCCCATCAACCCTTACCTTTTGTCTCCTGTCATGGAGAAGGTTACTTATCCAATTTCTGACTGTATAGTGGATTACAAAACGTTCCAGTTTGAATTTAAGACCAGAGTGGGAAACCTTATCAAAGGCTTTACTTAGATCTATGAAAATCACATCTACAGGAGCATTACGATCCTTTGCCGAAGCCCAATCTTCTCGTGCAATGAGAAGATTTGTCAAGCATGATAGGCCTTTCCGAAAACCATGTTGTGCCCTGGAGAAAAGATTTTGCCCTTCAACATAGTTTATAACAGCCATCCGAATGATTTTCTCCATCAGTTTTACAACTGCACTAGTTAAGCTAACGGGTCTATAGTTACTAACTAAATCCCTACTCCCAGCCTTATACACTGGACTTATTAGGGCGTATTTCCGATCTCTAGGAAGTCTGGACTGTCTCAGAGACATGTCGAATAATATCGCTGATGGTTCAGCAATTTCATCTGATATGGCTTTCATAATCCTAGGATGAATATCATCAGGACCACTGGACTTATCAGATTTGAGATGCTGAATTAGCTTTAAAACAGTACCTTCCTCGATGACTACAGGATCCATCAGCGAGCCGTCACGGTCGCAATGGTCATTCCTCATTACCGACAGAAAACACTTTACTAAAATATTCCGATAAAGCTTCAGCTTCAGCTTCAGTAGAGATGAACATATTCCAGTGGTTCTTTCTTTTTCTAAGGAGTTTCCTGACCGTTTTAGTTATCCATGGTAGACTGTTATTCGGTCTTCGCGGTACCAGGTATGGTATGAACGGGGACGTAACTAGTCTAAATTTACCTTTAAATACAGACCATGTTTCTTTAACTGGTATGCTAGTACCTACTAGCATACAGACCAATAATACTTTCGAATGTACTAAATACACAAAAGCCGAATAACTCAATAGAATATCACTTTAACTGTAGTAGATTCAATTAAAGTGTAAATCTTAGTTTTGATACGTAATTTACGATCAAAACAGTTAACTAATTCAACGAGAAACAATACCACTGTCCTTTTTAGATAGCGTGCGTTCAATAAGTTCGAAAAAAAAACAGGAGACTGGGTGATTTGTGTTAATCATGGAAATAACCGTAACTCATCTGATACAAAGTTCTTCTGATGGAGCTTTAATCATCTGTCGATGATTCGATGGGAGTCGAAAGCCAGTAAAAAATAAGTTTTTAACATCTTGAGGACTTTTCTCGGGGTATGCACGTAAATATTATGTTATCGGAAACAGGAAAAAGGAATGCCTATCAAATACAAATTTATCACTACGTAAGTAAAAACTGATAAATTTACCTCTAGACCATCATTGTTACTAGGGAACTAGATTTTGTTTAACAAGCTTATCACCAAAGGAAAGCGTCCCGACTCAGAAGCCCAGTTTGACTGATGATCTTTGAACCTTTCCCAAAAACCTACTGTAATTTTTAGGTAGGGGTTCGCTGCTATTTGCAATACTCGCGTTTAGGAGAACCGAGTACTATACAAGAATTCATGGAGGTTTTAGCATCAACATGGCTATGAGCTCTACGTATTGACCATAGGGTTTTGAGATAGTCTTCAAGTATTAGCTAGGTCACTATATGTGTTTAGATAATTGGTTGCTCTATGTCATCGACAGTGTAGTAACCAATACACTGGTGGCCAGTAAGCATCACAATGTACTCAGAAGAATATATCAACAACCATCGAACTCCAGATAATCTTTTCAAAGTGTTTTGAATCTGTAAGCAATCACATTTTTAATCGTTTTCCGTATCTTAATATCGTCAGTATATAACAAAAGCGGTGATGATTGGAGGTTAGTAACGTCACTTATATACAGGAGTGACAATGACACACTTAAATTAGCTTCTTTTCTGATACTTCTTTCTGTGAAGGTACAGATGAAGTTTTTAGGTATAGACTAATATGGAAAGTGTAGCTACTTTATGATACCAATCCTAGAAAATTCGGTAGCTATTTCAAGGCTGATATACCTTGAGTAGTAACTATAATTTTTTTCCTCAGTGGGAATAGGGTTGCAAGAACAAGCAGAAATCGAGTTACAAAATGACTGACTAGTTGTTGGTAGTGTGAGTAATCCACAAATTAGAGTAGCGAGAAGCTGAGAACCATACCATATAGGTAGATAAATACAAATAAGAAGACAAATGAGTGGGCAAGGGTAAGAAATGGCAAATGAAAGGACGATGACAGTGGATCATTTGGTGTAGGGGACTCCTATTAGTATTTGTAGTAGACTAAATGTGAGATATAGAACTGCGACCCTAATAAGTACAAAATCTGTGTAAAGCCCAACAAATAAAAGTGATATTATCCGGATATTTATTTGATGAGTTATGAAGTGTTTACCTTAAGATAAAAAAACTACGTGTCAATATATACTTACCGAACTTTGGTTAAGAATAATCAAAAGGTCTAGTTTTACGACTAAGTAAAAAAATAATAAAAAGAATGAAGTTTAATCTGTATTCGACACAGCTCACCAGTTTCGTGCCTATAGGTAACTCTCGTGCTCTTAAAGAAAGAAACCAGACTAAGAGTGAATAGGTCTTTATTTAGATCTTCGCGCAGTCACAATGGAGCGTGGGATTACCTGTTCAGACAGACAAAGCCTGTCAACATTCAATATAAGATAATAGGACATATAATGCCTATACAAAATAAGGAAGTTAATGGATAATTGAACTCTATTATTTTGACTTATACTTAGTTATTGGTCAAATCTTAACTAGTCAACCTAAGCTGTAAGTGTAACGCTGATGTCCGAATACGACGTTTCGATTAAAGTATTCCATATGTCTTCAGCGAGAGGATCTTTCCCTTCCTAACATAGAGGGTATGGTCAATAATGCTAAGGTTAGTACCCACAGTTTCCATCCCTCAATTAAATGACCAAATGTGTTGTTTCTTCGGGATTTACAGCACTTTGGAGGGGGCGTCTGGCAAGGTTTCAAGTTTCGAGACGCAGAAGGATCTGTCTTGAAAAAGGGCATAATAACACAGATGCATCTGAATGGAGCCACATGTGGCTCCTTGTGACCTACTCGGTATCCATGCACTCCATTCCCAATGCGTGCTACCAACCTTGCTGCAAAACTCTTAGTTCTGCAGATTGTCCCACAACGCGAGTGGCAGACTTCTAGGCCGCAATTTCAGGTCTTTTGGCAACATCTCGGACTATTATAACAGGGCGCTTATTGTTTGCTGGAGGTCGTTTGTTCATTTTTCCAGTAGTATAGGTCGGACACTGTTACGACCCAGGATTTCAAAGTATCAATTTCGACAGCTTGTTGAGTACAAGCCCATGTGTTGTTCGGTAGTGTCAACGTTGGAATACTGATTTATACCTTCTGATTGTGCCGGAGTATGAGGTGGAAAACTTAGAGGTTTCGACCTAGGTATATTTTTAAAGCACCAGTTACCACTTCATATTGTACCTGTTTCACAGTGTTGGATACAAGTGATGGCTGGGACATTTTAGCGAGGCCCTCCATTTCTTCAGGCTTCTTTAATTACAGAGTAGGTTCAATGCTACTTTTTTAAACCCAGGAAGCCTGTTCACCTTAAGTGCCTGGCAACAGTGGAACATTTCTGATAGCTTTATGAAGGATGGTCGACTGACATCCCCAACTTCCTACTAAAATAACAAGAAAGTCAAATCCCAACACAAGTACCGAGACTTTATGTTGTGAGTTATCGAGTCAAATACTTGTCTAACTCAGTGATTTCTATTTGATCCAAATTGAACTATTCTGGGAATTACTAGTTAACATATCAATTTGGCTTATTTTAATTAGCACGATTTGTTAATCCATCGCTGTTACTACTACTTGTTGATTCTAATTGTTCACAGATATATATATATGATCCACAACAAGCGAGACAGAACGATAGGTAAGAATAACTCAAATCGCTTTAATGTCATTATTAATAAATGGCAACTGTAGCAACACGAAAACATGAAAATCCCAAGCAGTTTTAATCAGAAAATCTTTTGGATATTACAGGAAATATTTGTACAAGTCTGTTTTAGGCATTAATTTGCATCTGTAAAGAAACACAAAAAGTATGTTTTGTTGTCCACTTAATCTGCAGTTTGTCCAGTGTCAATCAAATAAATGGAAATGTTTACTAGGATGCCAAAAAAGCGATTTGTAGAGAAAACTAATTGTCGCTAATACAACAGTGACTACTACTTTACACGTGGTATTTTTAGCATCATAATTAGGATTTTCATTTAATTAGGTTGTCTTTATCCATACTTAGTTCTAAGCTACCTCTTAAGAGAATAGAAGCAATTTTGTCCAAATGATCCATGACACCTCTCTGAAGCCATTTGGGAATAGTAATACGTGCCTTGCGGAAGCCAATACTTTCTAAAAGACGATCAAATGCTGGAACTCCAATGTTTGTGGCTAAAAGCCAACGACATTCGGGACTTAATGACCAGTGTATTATGTCATAAACACGAGCATCTTGTACCATAGGTGAGCTAGTTGTTGAGAGAGCACGAAGTCGACCAATAACGTCTTCAGATATAACATTTGTCATTGATGAATGACTCACAAGACCTTGACTGGTATCACCCACATTCCAGATTGCTCCGCTTGAAACTTGAATCAAAAATGAGGAAAAAAGACTCACATTATGTCAATAAGAAAAAGTTATTTTCATGTAAGAACTGTTTTATGCTCATAAGTTTCAAATTTTCGATTACCGTAACGTAAATTTCTATCAGAAGTTGATGTCAATAAATAATTACCACAAAAGAGGAATTGTAGCATAGCCTAAAGTACATAAAATAAATCGTCTATACTTATTGACAATTTACTAATCATCGATGGGAGTAGATGGCCCAATAGGTTAGTGGTAACAACTTTGACTGTATAAGTGACACTAATCCTGTTAAGATTGCTGAAGAGTATCAACTAGCAAAATACCTATATAGAGGAAGATTCACTAATTGCCTTTGACTGCCCAATATCAAACTATATTGTCTCTATAATAACTTGAATATAATATTACCAAACCTGAAGTAACTATAGGGTACCAATTATTTCAAATAATATGAGCAATAATTCATGCACTAAACACAAATAGGTAGGAATTTCAGAATTATTTGCTATGAATTCATTGGTTCCATTGTTTTTGAATGATCAATTTTAAAAAGCTGTATAGAAAAAGGACAAAATTTGAAGTAGGGAAATATGAATTTGTCTTCTTAATTCTTTTGATAGTCTCATGTGTTTAATAACTTAATCACCATCTTATTCCCCCCATGTCATAGATTTTATATTTTCGTACATATTATGTGATTTATATTGATTTAATCTTTTGTATCTGTCATTTCTTATTCTGTTTATGATTATCGCTAAACCTAAACTGTGACTTTTTTTAATCTTTTCTTTAATATTCGTCAATTCATTTGTTTTATAAACAACTTTAGTAATAATCATCTATCATTTCACTTTTTATTTGCTTTGATTAAATGACAATATACTTTTTTTCATTTCTTTTAGTGTATTCAGTTGTAACCAATTGACAGAAGAATTCATGAAATAATATGAATTTACAAATTGACATGTTCTAGACACTGTTTTTTCTTACTATGATCATTGTCTATTTAATTAAATTAAATAGCAATTAAGTAATGAAGATTAATAGTTATTGGATTAAACAGGGTCTATCTGTTGAGTAACTTATTTGGTAGAAATACTATCGTCAACCTTGAATACATAAAATAATCATCACTATTGGGTTTCTATAACTCATGTAAAGAGTTTGTGAATTCAAACTAAAACTCACGTTCATAGTCATTTAATCGTTCATCCAAGTATGAACTTATAAGACTTGGCAGCCAAGGTACATCAATCAGTCCAAGTTGAATGAACCCATGAAAATCAGTTTGAAAACTGACTTTTACGAATGGTGCAGAATTGGGACAGGTCATGCTTAATTCTCCTGAATTGTCTTTCTTAGAAAATGGCTTGGTTCGTAGTAAAGATTGGCCTTTAGAAAATCGTCCCGGTGACTTTTTCTGGTCTGCATCTTTAGACGCGACATTATTGTCAAGAGTAGATTCCTTACTAGCTGAAAATCCCGATATAACAACTGGAAGACTGGATAAAGTAGGTTGAGACATTGTTTGACGTTGATCAGTAGTGATACGTAAGGCAAGAGAAGGTAGAATAAACAATAATTCACCTTCATTTGGTGGCTTTAATGGATTGGAACGAACAGATACACTAGGTCGTTCTTCTTTTGATATAACTTTGTTGATAGTTGATGTTTCACTGGTTTTATTAGTAGAACGATTAGTATCACCGGGATCTGCGGAGTTACCATCATCTTCATTGACCGGAACAAGCATATCACGTGAGGGTTTTGAAGAATTCAGTACATTAAATACAGGCAACGACGTGTCTTGGCTACTAATACGTGTAAAACATATTGGGAATTGTGCCACTAAAAAAAGTGCAGAGTAGTAAAAAGTAAATTTATGAATGATCTTCTGGAAAATAACTCTCAATTGTAATTAAAAATTCGATAAGAAAATAAACATTAACTAGTACGTACAAAACTAAATTTATACAACTGTAAGAGATTTTTTGAATTTATATTGAATTTTATTACTGACTGATATTGTCAGCTAGAACATCACTACCGAAAACCAGAACGTGATCGAAAACAGCTAAATCCCAGTTTGAAATATTGCAACAGTCTGAACTTAAATGAAGTTTTAAGTTTGATTCTCTCTAGTTTATTCATTTGTAGACTTGGTAGAATTTCAATGTTTTATCAGTAAAATAATATCATTCATTTGTATATAAAAGTTTCAGATCAGTTTAATTACAAGAGGAATTCAGAAGATTATTATTATTTCGTTTTTTGCATAATTTCATTAATAATTTACTTTCTTTAATATCCAAAGAGTAAACATAGGGTGTTATAAGTCTAATAACTTTTCCTTGTTTCGAAAATTATCACGTTGTAATTATTATGCAACGAAATACTGAAACATCAGCTGTACTTCCTTTGGAATTGGATTACTCATAATAAGTTGTAAACTATCTACAATATTGAACGTAAGAACAGACTCAAAAACAAACAATCAAAATAGCAAACAAAAAACCCGACTACTTCCACTTACATTTTATTATAGAATTGAGACCTGATGGATTACTATGTCGAGCGAAGTTGAAAACTAGGAATTTTGGTAAAAAAGACAAAAAAAAACAAGTAATCAAAGGCATGTCTGTTAGTTATGAGACTGGATTTAAATGTTAACATTACAAGAACTGATATAAAATGAAATGCTTAATGATTTAATAATTTTGATTTAAAGGTTTATTAGAGATCAGTTTAATTTATCGACGGTTTTCATCACATAATGACATCAGTTGGGATATCTCAACAGAAAACAAAAGATTACAGAACAACAGTTGCACTAAGTTAAAAAATGTTAAGAATTCAGTTCCTGGAGGGGTTTGTAGATGTACAATGCTGAGGAATCTCATACACATACATGTACATACCTGTATTATCTGCACCACGAAAACAAAATTCAAACCACTCTTCAATAGTTGCCAATGGTAAATCCCGTAAATTCTGTGATTTTCCGCGTCTAACACGAAGGACATAGGCCATTTGAGGTTGAAATTCTGGGGGTGAGCCTAACTCAAAACTTAAAACTTGTCGTACATTTATCCATCCATCCCGTTCACTTCCATCAACAATTATTTCTTCACTCGATATAGGAATTTCTCGTTGAGCCTCAGTTTCAAAGCTACATGAAAAAGGAATGAAGAGAAATTCAAATTGAATAAAATGCCTCAAAGTAATATAGTACATTAGAAAAGTGTTGATGACAGAGATTTTTCATTAGGTATCTAGATAATAATCACTGATCGATTATCTCTTTACTTCTCCTTCGTCATCCTACTTTTATACAGTGATAGCAAGCTTTTAAAAAGATTTTTTCAGTGTCAAAACAGCTTTTATAGTTTAACCAACAACAATTTATTAAATACACAATTATGCATTAATTCGATTAGATTATCTATTACCGTATTAACTAAGTGAAAAACTTATAATTTCAACGTTAATTTAAATGTGTTGATGTAAGGAGGCTAATGAGTGATACTTGATTACTACCACCAAGAAAAAAAGTTCCCGTGTTAGAATATAATCTTTGTATGAAAAAAATATGCAGTATAAAAACTAACCTGACTGTTGGATGTTGGATATTGAATACAGCCCAGTCAGGAGCTGATCGGAAACTACCAGCAAAACAAGCCATTCCCAATGAATTTCCTGATAATTGAAATGAACCACTAAGCACTGGATTGTTGTATAAATAAGATTGTGTTTCAATAGACGATGATTTTCCTTTCATACTAGAAACTTTTAACCGTTCTTGTAAAAGTAATCTGAGGGCCTGATACATTATTTTTTGCCAATGACGTTGCAAAAGCTGATCAATTTCTTGATCAGCAATATTAACAGATTTATCTTTACATAAACGTGATGAACAAATACTTCCTTTATGATTTGAAGGACGGCGTTGTCCAGCACTCATTGAAAACATACCAAAACGACCAACTTGTCCAATCAATGATAAACGACCTTCTCGAACTTGTTCTTGAAAATAATCACGAACTTTATGAATAGATCTTATAAGATCTGGAGTAGTGCTACGAACAATCGCTGCCTAAAAAATATCAATAAAAATACTTTTTGAAAATATCTGCAAGCTTTCTCTAAATTAATCGAAATATATATCGGTCAATGAGTATTGAACATGACACATGAATAGAGATTTAATCAAACAATAGAAATGATGGTAGATAACTTAACAAATGAAACTCAACAGTGAGAATGTTCCATCCAAGATTTATGATAGATTTTTGACAAGATTACTTATTGGTTAAAAAGTAGTGGGTTAATTTCAATTGAGATCATTTTGAAAATAAAACAAGAGATTGTTAGTTTGTTAAGCGTAGACTTTCTATTAAGTACTGTCGATAGATTGGAATTATTATGATTGGAATTGTTACTGAATGCAGTACAAATGTTTGAAGTTTTTCATGTCACCTCCTTACTTAATGAATGAAAACTCACTATATTACGCTTAATAATGCGTTAATAGTATGACAAATAACAATGAACAATAGTTCTCTTACATCTAGAATTTCGAAAATTTTCAGTTGGAAAATAAACAACTACTTTACTTAAAAACGAATGCAAGAGTAACATCATCAATAGTCAGTCATTTTTCTTTCAGTATAATAACAGAGATGATAAATCTTTGCATTTAATACATATCAAAATACAACGACAAACCCTTATTAGTCTTATAACCTTTTTTAAAATTTGTGCTATTGTTTGCAATAAATCATGTTTGTTATCAATTTCTTTCACTACTCAACTCATTAAGTGAGTAGTTTGTTGACTAATCATTATTTGATTACCAATAAATTTTAATTGCATGAACAATTAGAAAAGATTCATATAACAATGCATTTTGATAACGTACCTGCGCTTGATCCCAATTAATTTCCCCAACAATTCGAATAAATACCGGTAATGAGCCAAGAACATCATTTGTTTCACTGTTGATCGTTAAAGACGAATATTGATCTTGTTTTGTGGAAGTGTTTAATTTAGAATGCTTAGTTGAATTCAACAATTGTTGAATGACATCTTTTAAACACCATTCATCATAAAGTGTTAGGTCTAGAGAGTTTACTCTGAATAATAGAATATTTGTGTTCATATATTCTATACGTATTTGAAAACCACCAACCTTTGCTGCCAAACAATGTTGAGGATCGTGTGAAGGATCATTGTCTATACGAACTTAAATACAAAAAAGAAAAATGACTATTACCACCATATGTTACTGAGCAAAAAGAATTTTTTTTCTCTCTACACTTCAACAAACTATGGAATGAACTAAATAATTACTTGAAAATACATGATTCAATGATCAATATGAAAGACACCATTGGAAATAAGTTAGATAATAGGTGTAATTACTAGGCTCAGTACAGATTATCTTACTCAAAGATTTACAACGAAGAAAATCCTGTTCAGTACATAAGATACGAGTCTGTATTATTATGATATAACCACAACACTTGATAATCACAGGTAAAAAACATTATTTTGATCCGAGAAATATTATTGATCAATATGAAAGTGGAAACTAACTGAGCAGCCAGTATATTCAATTATTATTAGCTTTGTTCAATATCATATTTTTGGTACAAAATAGAATTCTCAGCACAAAGTATTTCCGTTTCTTACTTCTTGGTCGATCCTGACGGTAAATCATGAGTGGTCGCCAGTTGAAAGTTAGCAGACTAGTAAATCGACATCTAAATAATAACATTCAAAGGAGATGTAGAAGCATTGTGGTCTATTTAGCAGCAATCTAGCTGAATATACACACATTATTTGGAAATCTAATGTTGAAGAACTTCTCACCGATCAACTTTAAAATTCATGAAAAAACTATAATAATTAGCATATGAAACTTTAACTAAATTACATCCAAATAGTAATGTAAACATGATTCTTTGATGTAAAGTAAATCAAGGCATAACACAAAAAATCTTACGTTGAGTCGCCAGATCAACTAGGCCAAATTCACCGCCTACTCCACCACCTTCACTAATAAATTGACTATTGGCCAAGCCAGCAGTTAATAAAGTGTTTTTACGGCCTGATGAATTCACAGAGATGTGACCTTCGCAAAATGACTGGTCTACAATAAGTCTAAAATAATTAAAACAAACTGTAGAGATTATGGTATATTCTAAAAAAGAGATGCTACAAGAATGATCGACACACGAAAAAGAGATGATTACAGTATACACAAGAGTTGACTGACTTTTGGTTTCCAATAGTTCTCCCTCACTACACATATATATGTTCAAGTTCCAGAATGTCATGGATCAGTGAATTATTCGACACAACGCTTTTAAGATGCAATATCTATCACTTTAACCTTTTGGTTTTCACCCAAGATAATTACACTTTACAACTTAATATTGGAAAGTAAAACAAATACTCAATCATAATTAGACACTTTCTAAGTAACGTAACAAGTAAAAACTTCAAACACATAAACACAACATAACACCAGGTTAATTGAGAAGTGTATTGTTACAGTCTAAAATATAAACCTGAAGAGTATTACAACAGGTTGAGTGTGTCTTAAATATTTATGCGTGAAAATTTTTTATTATTACAAGGCTCAATGCATTAACGTCAGTATTGACTCGTATGAGCCAGGTGTGGTAATCAGTGGAGTTCAACCGCATCAGGAAGTTATCCACCGGGGTAAAAGAAGATGGTCGTACAGTATTGTGAACTGATTGAAGCTAGAATTCTACATCACTAGATCCCGAGCCAGTGGTGTAGGGGTTAAGAACTTGCATGCGAGATCGAAGGTCCCCAGTGGTATGGACTGTTGGGTAAATCCATGCTAAGATAAAGCAGCTATGCTTCGTAGTTTTTAAAAGTGGTTTGACTAATATCACTTAGTGATTTATATTATGAAAATTCTACAACCCCCACTCATACTAAAATTTAATACTTGTCAAAAGTAATACCTACTCCAATTAAACTATCAGATTTAAAGAAAACATAAAAACAACATACCGTGTTAAACCCATAGCGCTACCCATGTATAAATTTAAATCAAATTTTTTCAAGTGTACACAGAAAATTGTTAATGCATTCCATGAAGCTACTCGTAAACTAGTATTACGACTTCCACTAGCTCCACGTTCACCTACAAGTGTAGTTAATTTTGACGTTGGATCTGGTGATGTACTAACTGTAGGCGCTTTAGGCTCTTCATCACTTTTATCATTTGTCGATACGCATGGACCGATTGTTGTAGCACGTGTTGCATCTGACTTTTTATGACTCAGATTTTCTCTCAAGAAGGTTGTTTTTGATGTTAAATTTTTTTTATTCTTATCTAATGGTTGTTGGGTTTCTGCAAAGAAAAACCAATATATTTCATAAAAATAATTAGAAATTGATAAAAACAATCAATATGTTGTAAGTTCCTAAACAATTATTGAAAATGTTATGCCCGTAAAGTCAATGCAAGCAACCACCAAAGACAAGTAATTAAAATTGTATTAAAAAAAAAAGAAATAGTAAGGAGCAAATAAATGAAAATAGAAGTAGTTTTCATCTTTAAAAAAGCAAACTTTAGATTCTTGAAAACATAATAACCCCTATAGTTTTACTAAATAGCTCATACAAAAGAACAGGAAACCCAATAACATGAACAGAAATATTTCTGTAAAATATGTGATAATAAACACTGGTATGGTCAAATAAACAGGTACATAGTGATTGTTATAAATTTATCTATCAGTGTATATGAGACATTTAAAATATTTTTACATAACATTTAACTACCTCCATAAATTATCAAATACCAATACAAATATGTTCTCATGTGGATTTAAAGAATAAGTTGACAATATTAATATCAATGAAGTCTAAGTATCGTTGTCTATTGCCAAACACATAGTTGAAACAAGTCATAAGATTGATCCTAACACGGCTTTTGTGGTGTTGTATAAAAGGGCGTATACTAAGATTTATTGAAGCCTTAACCATACGAAAATCCAGCCCCCCTTTGTGTATTCAAAAACAGTTTGTTCTCACCTCAAACCTACCCTAGTAATATTAGCTTATTATCCAGAGTAATGAGGACTCAAGTTATTTTCATACTATTTTCCTTATTATTCTTGTCTCCTCTTACCACACATTTGTCTAGTTGACCTTTTATTTTTATATATAAATGTACCTAACAAAAATATATATGTGATCAGATTGTTCGAAATGTATTGCCTTAAGATAACACATAGTTCTGATACTCTTCGTCTTCCTATTACACTGTCGAAATTCATCAAAGGGACTAATCACTTAGAATTTACGAACTTAGTGACATACATATTTCGTACAACTAACGCTTTTGATAGTTTAAGTTCAATAATTTGAAATAAAACTAATGTCTATAAATATTACAATATAAATAACTAACGTGATTTAATAAATCAAATATTGACTAATGTAAGTAACAATTTTTACTTGGTCTTGTACACACGGTTACAGATTCTAAACTCAGGAATATCTATTTTAAGTTTGAGCAGCCGGTTAGTATTATTAACCTTAACCCATACAGAATAATCCGAAGTTACATGTATGGATTTATACGTCATAAATCAGTCTGCAGACAATTCAGTGAGAATGTTAATGTGATAAAAAGATGTACCTAATTATACCGTTTACCGAATTAATATACAAATTATATATATATATATATATATATATATATATATATATATATATATATATATATATATATATATATATTACAGAAATAATGGCAAAATAGAAAACAATGAATAAATAATTAAATATAAACGAACCTGTAGTAAGGTTTATTATTCCACTTTGTAGAGGCAGTTCTAAACTTCCTGAATTTTCCTGGTTTGTATCTAAATTATCATTGGATAATGCACTTTCCAACTTTGTATCTGATTGTTCATTTTGTGTCTTGGTGGCTTTCATTGTTTCATCTTGATCATAAGACTGAGTGGTGATATTAACTAGAAGGAAAGAAAACACATTCACATTATTTTTCATATGAAATGATGATTCCAGGGAAAAACTGACATGATAATCTTAGAGATAGAAGAATGAACAATCGGTATTTGAAGTTTTTAAAACATACAAAAGATCCAGTTTATAATTGCTTGATATTTTGCTTTTGGTCTGGTGAGCACTTCGCAGCGTAGTTGAGCAAAGGTATACTTAAAACTGCTAACAGCTCGATTTAAGCTCATTTAGTACAAGCGGGTCATACAGTCAACATGGAACAATCATTTGCAATAATATATCGTGTTAGCACAAATCTGTCTACATCCGTCAGACTGAGAATCCATCAGACAGCTGGAGAAATAGCTATTCGGATCAAAAAGCCAAAGCTGTGTGTCCAAAAGAAATATGCTCAACAACCTACTTCTGGACTAATGGGTTAATAATCATTCTTTTAATATGGTGAAGTAATTTCATTAATGTTCATTTTCATAGCTTAAACTTATCTTATTCGTGCATCCTATTATTATCCTATTATTATCACCTGCCAAGGTTTTTGGGAAATTTATTCAGCATCCAATCCTATTTACTTATTCCTACCTAATTCGCATTATTCTACATATTACGTAATTTCTGATTTGTAATTATATTATTCTCTCTCTCTCATACCATGTTAACCATATTTATTCTGATCACTTATCTATCGATTTCATTTAACGTATAAACTTATACAAGTTAACACTTCATATTAGTTACCCAAACATTAACTATTTGATTTGATTTTACATGATAAACAATTCTTGATTCACATGTTATGATTTCAAATGATGTACTTGGCCAATTTTATGGATTAGTGATTTAGATATACGATTGTAGAAACTGATGATAATTAGTTGAAAAATGGCATTCTTCGTTGATGTATCTGTGTTTTACTATATATTCACTTAGATTGCAAGTATCATAAATATTTATCATAATAATTTACTGAGATAGAAGTTTCAATATTGTTTGTTGGGATATTTCACTAAGATTCATTTCACAACTGAAATTATAGGGACTAACTGCGTTACCACTAACTCTCCCTCTAGTACAATGTTAAACTGAAAGGTTCAGCGTAATCAGAAGTAGGCTGTAAAACATTTATGTTATTTAAAAACTGACTATACAATAATGATTGGTAAACGAAATGTATGTAAATTTGCATGTAACCTAGTGGCCGAAAATAGAAGATCTGTACTAAAGAAATGAACTTTTACTGCACACATACACAACAAATATTAACAATAACCATTCACCTATGGAATATGGGTATATATATTCCACTTTCAGTAACAATACTTGTGTGATACCTGAACAGTCTACTTAACTAATTAAACCAAAGTAGTAAAGCGAGATTCACACTTGGAACTTATTGATTGAAGTCTACGTGTTTTAATTACTAAGCCACCATTGTACAAAGTAGATAATATTAGTTTGGTTAGTAGTCCTCATAAAAAAATGACTGATTTGTCTTCCTTAAGACTATTTAGTATGTGGCTTTTTAAAATTAGAAGGTTAATTATATAATCTGGTAGGGTAAAAGAAAACCTGTAATAAAATAAGACACAGAAAAGGAAGTTACCACAATATGTTTAGACTTTTCAATACTTCAGATTAAATTATAATTATAAGAATTATAACCTATTAATTTAGGCTATGTATAAGCTAACCTGTTTCAATTAATTCATCATTGCCTAGAAATAAACGACGAGCCAGACTACTACGATACCATGAATTATAAATATCTAAAATTTCTAATGTTCGACGAGTATCACAAGTGAATTCAGCTATACCAATATCAAAAATACCTGGAACAAAAAAAGTATAATACATACATTATTACCAATTCAACTAAATCCATTTTAATTATTTTGAGAGAAAAGGGAAGAAAAATGCACTAACTAGCAGAAAAGGCAAGCATTGATATTCTAACATAAATCCTACATAAAAAAAACTTTCACATTAAATTCTCATGAAAACTAAATAATTTCTTTCAATAGGTAAAAATGATGAATCACTTGAGTAATTTAGATCAACCCGTGATTTCAACTGTAAAAAAACTGCAGTCAAAAAATCACCAGACTAATAACGAACATGTGTTCACCAGTGACTAGCTTCAAAATGTAACTCCTGGAGTTCTAATGAGAAAACCATGACTAGTGAAGCCCAATTCGTGTTGAGTGCAAGACAGTTATCCACTGCAAAAAATGAATGAAGAGTTGTGTAAGATAATGGATTGATTGAGATCAGACATTATTAACATTGGATACCGACTCAGTGGTCTAGGAATGAAGCGTTCGACGGTGGGACCGAAGGTCCTGGGTTCGAGTCCTACATGCAGGATCGTGGATAAGCACTATTGAGGAATCCCATACAAGGGCGAAGCATCCATCTAGTGCTTCTAGGTTTCCAATTTCGGTCCAGCTTAGATCGACTAGTGATTTCAACTCCAAAAATTTATCAACTGTTTTTGTACAGTATTAAAATTATCTGTAATCCGGATAAACCTTATCAAATGAGCTTAATGTTTAGTGTAGGTAATTTTTTTTCATCACAACTCATATTTCAATAGTTCAAAAAAGTTTAGTATTATGGTTAATCAGTTTGAATATTTTCTCAACCTGTAATCATTGGACTGATTTACAACTTTACAGTATTGTATTACAACTAAATTGTACAGGTTATGATTAACAATAATTTTGAAAGATCCATTCTATTTACGTTCATATAATACGTAATTAAGATTACATTTGACAAGAAACAGAGTAAGCATTTGTAAATCTATGTGTAAGTTAAGTAAATTATATACATCACAATAATCCTCATCGTATTTACAATTGTAAAATATCCCATGTCAAAAACTGGAGCGAAAAACAAATTTTCAAAAAGTTTCTAGAATAAGTAGATTGTGATTAGTAGTAGAATTCTAGACGAACGTTTCGTCTTATTGGGGACTAGTCAGTTAATTGTGATTGCATTTCAATGTTAATGTTAACGCCGAGACTCGAGCTCAGTACCTACAACTTTAGAGATCAATCTGGTACTCAGTTCATTAACTTGTTTAATGGATATTATGTTTATTTATGTAGGGTTTGTGTTATTTCATTGTTGATGATAAGAACTAAATTTCGATAAGTCTTAGTTGGCATATACGCACATTGAGCGGATTTAATCAACAAAGCTATTCGCAACAAGTCTTAAAACGCAATTTCGACAAAGACTAATCAAAACCCAGTCTTGAATATTAACAAGGGAATAATAAAAACTCTTACAAACACTTAATAATTATTAAGGAGGAAGGATGCAATTGTAAAACCTCAACGAATGAATTCATAGTAAATCAAACGTTTCGCTTGGCAATCTGGAAATATGATCAAACATCAAAATTTGATCATATTTCTTTGGAAAAGCTTGGTTTAGATTACCAAACGAAACGTCGGATTTACTACAAATTCATTCTTCCTCCTTAATGTCTTACATCAAACTGGAGCCCAAATATTGTGAGACTAATCGTTCAGAATTAGATGAATGTTCTATAAATTAATAATTACTTCAGCGAAATGGAATTCGTTAAAAAAGAAATCATTAAATCATAACGTAGATTCAATTTACTACATAAAATTAATCAGTATTGTGAAAATTAGGAGAAATATTAAGCATACTAAGCATAGTAGCAGAATCGGTAATCATCCAAAAATAAATGTGATACGTGGCTCTACAAAATATTGGACTCTGATTGGCTAAAAGGTTTCCCAGAGTTTTCAGGGCCCCTCTGGACCTGTTTGTGGAGTACTTTAAATCTCCCCAACATTATCCACTGCACTTCTATTGATAATCTACAAATGACATTTTCCCTCAGCACCCATCACGTGTACATAAAGACGACCAACTATTACCTGAAATCCTAAATCGTTCAGCGGCTAAATCACATCTTTCCAAAGAATTTACCCGTATGTCTTTCACATACAACATTCGTTTTTTTTCATAAACTTGATCACGCCTGTACGCCAGAATACCATCCATATATCTTTTCGGAATATTATTTATTCATATAGAACATTTGAATGTGAGATATGTTAATTTAATGATTTACACTTATAGGTGATTAATAAATTTAACCAACTAGCTTTATATCATACAGAATAGGTGTGATTATTAAATTATTCACTAACAATGATCAAAAACAATTAATCTGTTGATCGAATTAATGTGACTGTGATAGATGAAAATTGTGAATATATATATATATATATATATATATATATATATATATATATATATATATATATTCTTTAAATCACAATCAAAGTAACTAACGAAATAAACGGATCAATAATAAAGAGAACAAAAATATAAGTGTACCTGAAATACATAAATTTCGATGTAATCCAAAATTATCAACCAATTGCACAGAGACCATTGTTTCTCTAGCACTATGAATTGTTGAACTGAAAGGTTTTTTGTTAGATTCTGGTGGTACACTAATAGAATTAGACTCATTTACAATTGTATTCGGATTCACTTGCACAACTTTTGCTTCTACTGTGCGTGAAAGATGACATTGTATATCTTTCACGAGTATTGTAAGAGAATCACATGGTCTAGCATCTCCCCATGAACTGCTTCCTGATCTTATGGAAGATGATTCACCATAAGGATGAAATATTGATATGCGAAACTCTACAAATCGAAAAAATAAGAGAAAGAAGCAATTAACAAGTACACACCATAATAAATTTAGAAGACATTTAGTTATTTTCTGTGTCAACATACTAAGACATTTCTAATCACTTAATTGTATTTATTAATCATTCACTTATAAAACACACAAGACGCTTGGTACAATATGCCACGAAGATACGAATATTGTGTTATGAAATGACTAGTGTGAAGAATTAAAGAGAAATCCATGGGGCAAAATACAAGATTCAGAAGAGTAATAAAGAATAAACATAACAGAGAAAATATATTTCATACATGTTAAAGACCTATCCTATTTTACAAAAAACTTGAAACATCATTACAGCAGTATCGTCATCAGCTTCTATAGTCAGTCATGACACTCAAGATCCCTAACAAATGAATAATGGTATGTTGGTAAGCGTTAAACTATACTAAAACTACCCTTCACTTTACAACGGCATGACAAATTAATGACCTTTGCACTTCTAGGAATTGATCACAAACCCAAAAGAGATTCTAGGATGATAAACTCAAAAGCTGTCTGAAGCTCATATTCTTGAGGTAGCAAGACTTATGGGTTTCTATATTTACTATGCCAAAAAACATGTTGATAGCCTTCGACAGTATTTGTGTGATTTCGCCATTATATGTAATAAAATCTTCATAAACAACAGTGCATAAACACAGGGTTACTAAACATTTTTAGTCTTGATATAAAAAAATTGGCAAGTAAAATCCAGAACTGGTCCTACAGATTTATTTTATAAAAAAAATTCATGGTCGGATCAACATTACAACAGCATTAAGAGTAACTAACACTGAAGTAAACTATGCTCATTTCATCAAACGTAGATTGAGTACAATATATAGTCAGATTAAAACAAAACTAATCGAAAGTTGTCTTTCTTTAAAAAAGTTATTTTTTACATGTTTGTTTGACTTTATTGACTTATGTATCCTGAAATTGGTAGAGGTAGAGGTAGACCTCATGGAACGAAATTTCGTAGTAGTGATGTATATGCTACTAGGCTATAAAATGTGTAGTTATTCGGTGGTTAAGGTGTTTTAGCCATAAATTCTCAAATTTGATTAACGCTCTACCTAGGTCTGTTTGGATAATCGAGTAGTATTACTAGTCATTACATATGAAAAATGTCATTTGCAGTTAAGCAAATAAACTGGTACTTGGTGAATGACTGAATAATATTAAGTTTAGAAAATACAAAAACATAAAATCCGTTTCTTTAATAACTAAAAGGTTAATGCTATCACAAAGATTCATAAGTATAAGTTCAAAGTTAAATTTGATATATACACTTCACCATATACAAACTTTGGGTACTTAATTAATGCACCTTTTAAGATGGCAGTAATAGAAAGTCCACCAGCTGAAACTACATCACCGACTACTGGTTTCTGTTTCAATGTTACACTTGTATTATCCAACTGATTATCAGATTGAAGTGAAGCTGTGAAATGAAAAAAAATAGTAAAACAAGAAAGATAATGAATATATATGCAGAATGAATAATCACCAATTCTGACTGCAAAAAATATAGGCGTAATAATAATATAAAATGTTTTAAAATAAGATTCAAACAATACATTCCGACTTGTAAATGATGTCAAAACACTTAATGAGAGACTATTAAGTCATTTGAAACAATTGGATCTTCGTAAAGAATAGGCTGTTTTACCGAACATTATGACAAAATATGGAATAACTCATTCTTTGAGAAGATATTTACTTAATAGATGGATATATTTGAAAACAAGCAGTTAAATGCGTATTTACTCGGCTTAATTAACTGATATAAACTTGAAAAAAGTCTTATTGAAACAACGTTGGTCAACTTATCTATAGGACGTTTTTATTATTATTAACTAACCTTGTTGCATGAGCAACAAAAATAATTTTTGGTTTTCTCATTTTTCAAAGATATTATTAACTGTTGATGATGATTTTGAAAGCCGTAGTTTCTTCTGGACCATTGCCTAACTAATGATCGAATTCTTGTAGTAAGTAAACAATGATCAGTGGAGTCTAATCCGTGTTGGGTGCAAGACAGTTATCCACTGCCAAAAATGAATGAAAAGTTGTGTAAGATAATGGATTGATTGAGATAAGACATTATTAACATTGGATACTGACTCAGTGGTCTAGAGGTGAAGCGTTCGAGTCCCACATGCAGGATCGTGGATAAGCACTATTGAGGAATCCCATACAAGGACGAAGCGTTCATCCAGTGCTCCTAGGTCTTTAATGGTGGTCTAGCTTAGATTGACTCATGATTTCAAGTCTGAATATAATACAATCTCCACAAATCCACCTATTAATAACAATATATATGATCCATTCATAGCAAGTTTTATGATCACTTTGAACTTTGGGAAAATGTTTTATTATTAAACCTAATTAATGAAGCGTGCATATGTAATGTGATGTAATTTATTCCTTAGCTTTGGTTTGCATTTAAGTAACTGTACAAGTTTAGTCCTTTAAGTAGGAAGCCACTTGAGATGATAGAGGATTCGAAATTGACATTACACTTGATTTCGATTATACTTTACTATAAAAGATCAATCAATTGAAATAACTCATTAGGATTAAATTGTATTAGTAATTCATAGACAAACAAAAAGATAACTAAAACTTACTAAGATCGGATAATTTACGTGGTACACTATATTCAGTTCTATTTATAACTGAGTCAGGATCATCACGTTTAGTTGAAAAGACAGCGTCCAAAAATGGTAAAACCATTAAGCATTGCATTCGGGAAGTTGGCAAACAAAGAAATCTACAATTCGCACCAGAGAGCGAGAGAAAAAAGAATTATACATTGTATGCGAATTGATAAACGTTAAACTTATGATAGGTTAATTAGTTGAAATGAGGAAAGATTACATTGTAGTGCATATAAATACTTCACACTTTGTGAAAAAAAATTTACATTTGTACAGAGTTTGAGTTAAAGTCTATTTATATTAAAGAAAATATTTGAACCAAATAATTTATATTATCACCAATAATTAATAGGAATCATCAGCATAACTTACAATAAATTATTAACCTATTAAAAACAATTTTGTACGATTGAAAAAAACTATTAGATAATGTTCACTGTACAGAGTGAATAAACGAACAGCACTAATAGAATTTTTGTTTGTCAAGCAATTTTTCGGGCACAAAATCCCATGGATAACTAATCTGCCCTAGTTTCAAGCTTCTCAGTAGAGCAACTTTTCAATTTTATAAAAGATCAGAAGGTTATGAGCTGGATGAAGTTTCTGTTCAACTATGATGAATACAGCTGAAATATTGGATGAGTTTTTTTAAATTCGTGTAGCCAATATAACTGGATCCATAGATGTAGTAAAACTTGTATGAGTAAATAGAGAAGAAGAATTTACAGTCTATGCTTATTTCTGCTAATTCGGATCCATATATAACAAATTAAAGTGGACAGTAGGACTACCGGGTACTCATAATATCCATCATCTAATGTAGGTATGAATCGTTATATTTCAGGAATCTATGAAGGTGATGAATTTTTTAAATAGGTTTCAACATACTTCTTATAAACATTATTCCTTGTACAGAACTTAAAACAAAACGGTGACACTTTTCATTGGTGAATCGGAGATCAATATCAAGAAATATGGTGTGCGTATGAACTTCACTGTCTCGAAAATCTACCTTACCAAATTGTTTTATTAACTTGATGCCTTTTTTATTGCACCAACAATATCCAAAACTGACGTTTTATACATTCAAGAATCTCAGCGATGTGATATAAAATGTTTGTGATATTCTACAACTTTTAAGTAAAACAGAACTCAAAGAACCAGTTTCAATAACAACAAAATATATAACTGTCCTTTCAAATAATTGAATTTCTCAAAATTTTTAAAACAATTTTTAACACGTTCAATTGTCTTAGTGACCTAACATCATAAAGATAGGTACCCTTTCAGAATACTTAACACTAACCGACGGTTGGAGAACCTTAATAAAATGAACACTTTCATTTAATCATTTAAGAAAATAAAAAGTTCATTCACTCAGTCTGTTCTGTTGTAAATCAATGTATGTAAATAAGTAAACACATACCGTATGGTAAACGGTTGAATATGAAGATGAACAATAGCGTGTACAGGGAATTTTTCGAAGAATATTTCATTACCAGAATCGGATGAAACGGAATCTTTAAAGAAAAAAAAACGAATTTCAATTAAATAAACTATAGAATTTAGCAGAAGATTCTAAAAAATCATAATGAAGGATGACAGCAGAAAATAAATGACTTTAAAATTCACATAAGATATAAAATACTAAACATCTAGAAGTAATTACCGAACATAATTGAAAAACGGATTTGTGTATGTGTGCACATGTGTTCACAAAAACAACTGTACGATGTTTTTAGTTGGTTACGCTAATTTTAATACATTCCTCGCTTTAAATTCGATCAACAAAGTCTATAAGTGACAAAAATGCTAAATATGTTAGATAATAATACAACCAAACAATAAATATTTAGAGAAAAGAACTTAAGGAATATAACTCTTTTCACGTAGGATATAATTGGAAATAAAAAAGGACAAACTTACCAACTTCTGAATTCCAGTCAGATATAAGTGGCAAATTTTCGATAGCTTGTTCAAGAAAATCAAGTAATGCCGGCTGAACAATTAATTCCTGTCAAAAAATAGAGGAGATGACTGAAAAGCCGATGAATTAAAACAATTACAGGAAGAAATGAAATGTTTGTCTATTCTTAATTCCAATTAAGTTTGTAAAAGCATTTTAACCACTAATCTATAATTTTTTAATGAAGAGAATTATGTAAGTTTAAGATGTTATACAGAGATTAATTTGTATTCATCACAAACTGATCACAGTTAAGATCAACGTGGGAACCAAATAGCATTATACAGCTGTTTTGTTTTCATATGGAACTTCTCTTCAGTGCATACTCCATTACATTGTGAACAGGATAAACAAACATATAATATCAGAATGAAATTTTAAAAAATTGAATGTTTCATTTAGAAGAAAATTTATACCTAAAGATGAACAAGAAATTATGGATGTATAGTCGGAACAACAGTAATTTAAATGTACGGTAGTGTGATTCTAACAGGAACTAAGAATTGTAATACATAACGAGACTTGACATAGCAGAAAACAAAATCGTAGAAATGTAAGAACTTAAGATTCCTAGGAAACCTTTCAACTAAAAAGAAACTAAAATTTTTTGACTAAAAATAAGTAAAGAAACTCACATTTGGTAATTTTTGTAAGAAACAGGAAATATATAAATCAGCTTGTTTTCTTATACTTCGAGGAATAGAATCGTCTTTATTCCCTGTATTTTGTCCAGTTCTAGACTGAGTAGTTGATTTTGATGAAAAAACATTTGGAGAGAACATTTTTGAGTTAACAGGAGGGTCACTATATGAACCAGGTATAACTGTATTGCATCCGGGCAGAAAGTCTAATTCAGTCATAGAATTATAATGAAGCTGAATTTTACAAAAAAAAACATGAAATCTCGGTATTATTGTTAAGTTAAAGAATATAAAATGTTACTGACAAATGGTAGACTTTAAAAATGCCTAACAAAAAACCATACATGAAGTTTTTATTGTCTACCTATAACGCATTATCAGTATATTACTTCAAAAGAAAGTAATTGGTTAATTGTTGTTCATAAATTTATGGACCGTTTTTTGAATGTTTGTTCTTATTGTTTAAGCCATGAAGAAATGAACACAGAAAGAAAATTGTTAAAACAACAGTTCTATGCAAGTCTGAGATTCTTTATACACTTAAATGAGAAAAATTTTTATGTAAAGAGGAAATATACAGAAATCTATAAGGAATGGATGAATGTGAAATGTTTACAAAAGGTATCCCGTGTGTCTACTATGAATAAATACGACGGAAATTTATGCACACCGCGTTGCTATTAAAATGCTCAAAGAATATAGAATTAATATCAGATGGGTTTTGTGGAGATTGTAGTAATTTCAATGGTTAAGATCATGAGTCAGTTGAAGCTAGACCACCATAGAAAACCTGGAAGCACTGGACGGCCGTTTCGTCCTATTGTGCACTGCTGAGGAGTCCTACAATAGGACGAAACGGCCGTCCAGTGCTTCCAAGTTTTTCATGGTGGTCTAGCTTCAACTGATTCATGATCTTAACCATTGGAATACAGAATTGTAAAGGAATGATTTGCGATAAACACTATATACTTTACAAAGTGTCGATCAAGTCTATAACTCATTTTCATATGGCCAAAACAAAATTAAAACTTACACTAACGTCCACGGCAGGCAAATAAAATATACTGATATCATTAGGGACTATTTGAAAATCTTGTAACAGTTGATGCCTATAACGCTCCAAATATCCAGGAAGTAAATCACTGTAAGATAACCTATAACCAGATTCAATGTGAGTTGGTGAAAATGCACAAGGAGTTTGACTATGAGTTTCTGGAGATAGGACTTTCATAGTATTTGAAATATTGAATGGATTTATTCCTATTCCTGTATGAAAGACAGAGGTTGATACATGTTTACCACTATTATCATCAGGCATAAATTTTGAAGGAAGCCGAGGATGAAGAACACAACAACCAGAATCAATATGAATTTGAAGATCTAATTCTAACTGAAGCTTTGGTTCTTCTTCTTGAGTATTTATAGGTTTAGTAGAATTTTTCTTTTATCTAAAACCTGTTCGACAGAAGGATGAAACTCAAGGTTTTTTTCATCATGAAGAATGTGCATTTGACGTGGTGGAGGTGTTGGTGGTCTAATAGTAGACGACCTCGTATGATCTACATTAGTTTCACCAGTTTGCATCGTATGTGATGTGTATAGTGAATCTGTATTATCACTTTCGATATTATTCAATTCATCAGCATCATGATACAGGTCGTCATCAACATCCAGACTACCACATGGATCACCCCAATCATCTATAAAATTAAAAAAAGTATTGATTAATAAAACATGGTACATGATATCACGGATATGACAAAAGGTATGCGAGCGTTGAGAAGACATAAAAATAGTAATATTCATATTTATTTTTGTGGGAAATTAACGTTATTTAATTAGTAAAACAGTTAACACTGTGGTCATAAATTCGAACACCGCCCAAACAAATTTGATTTCAGCAACCGAGTAGTATCACTGGCTGTACATACAACTGAAGTGTGACTCAAATTCAAGTAAAAAGAAGAGACTTACATTGACTACTAAAATAGCCATGAATGGCAGGTTATCAACACATTGAACGGAATATTCATTTTTACTCTCACCGATGAAATTCATTATGCATTATGAGAATATTGAAAAATGTCTAAATATTTTCAGTGATATGATTTGACAGAAGGATTTATTTTTGTATTTGGAGGATAATGATTTTTAGAAATTAAAAATTTCATTTGTGAAATGACTCTTTTACAGGTCGGTGAATAATTGACGTTATTTTAAAAAAGATAATGTGAAATTTAAAGTAGCAATTTGGATGCATCTTACAGTAGGTTGTCTATTACACGAATTCTAATAACTTGGTGAAATATCTCAAGTCCATAAAACGACTGTCCATATATATATATATATAACCTTGCATCACTATGCACTAGTATGTTGAATAACTTCATTTTATACTTAATTCAGACAAGCGCTTTGCAAATTTGTAGGCGTTTCATATAGATCAGATTACGAGATAATATCTTGTACTGAATTTGATTTTCTTTGTTGTCAGTGCGTTTTATATCACTTAATTTGTTGGTACCTTTTGCCAGTCGTTTTATGGGCTTGAGATATTTCACCAAGTTATTAGAATTCGTGTAATAGACAACCTACTGTAAGATGCATCCAAATTGCTACTTTAAATTTCACATTATCTTTTTTAAAATAACGTCAATTATTCACCGACCTGTAAAAGAGTCATTTCACAAATGAAATTTTTAATTTCTAAAAATCATTATAGAGTGTGGTTTCTTAATATACAGCTTTAAACTTTACAGAATACTGATTTTCAAAAGGTAAGCTAATATTTGAGAAATATTACAAAGTATATAAATGATTTCCTTTGAAAAAGAAATAAGTGCAAACAATTTCAAGTACAATTAAATACAAATTTGACAAAAAACCCGTTTAACAAATTGTATATCATCAATACATCTATAGTTATGAATGTAACAATCAAACTAAAAGAAAAGTAGTATATTTAGTAATATTTAGGATAATACTGTTGAAATATATGAATACCAACATTAACAACGTACACAAACGTAAAGACAAATACTTGTGACCCGTAAGTTGATGAATCTGAAGTCTGAAATCAATAATCCTAAATTACAAGAGGACAATAACGGGTAGAATATAGGAAAGGAGAAGAAGTGATTTTGTGATCATTTCTAATGAATAACACTACCACGATTCGATTACACTTATCCACTAATTCATATGGGTAATGAGCGATCAGTAAAAACGTTACAATTCTGACTCCTTAGTGTGTTCAACTTAAGGTATATCACAGACTAAACATTTGTAGTTCTTTGTTGATGGACAAGAATTACGTAAAAAGTATGAAAATAACATAACAGTTACATACCACTGCATTCATCGGAAATTCGACTGTTGGACTGTCGATTATTTAAATCCGACTTTGTATTTATGCTGTTCGTCATGTTATTATTAGCTAAAATATTCTTTGAGAAAGGCACATTGGAACTAGTATCCTCTGCATCAAAATAAACCGAATCGATCTTGGCAATATGACTAGAAGATGCACCGGGTTCGTTACTGAATCTTCGACGTCGTACAACAATAGGTTCTTGAGTCATTTTTGTATGATCTCCACCTTGAGTTCGAATTGGAAGAAAATCTTCTGTAACTGAAGAAGATGGGCGTAAACATGTTTTGGTTGATTTTCTATCAGTTGGTATGGATTGAGAACCAATAGGTTGTGTGTTAACAAAGTTGTATTCATTTGTGTAGTGATCAGCGTGTAACGAATTATGTGTGCGTAATGTTAAACCTCTAGTCTAAAATGAACAAAAGAAATATTCATTATAATTACATATGATCATATCAACAAATGAAATGAGTGTTAGTAAAAAATATGGAAATCAGTTGTTTCATACCACAAAAAGTTAATTAATAGACAAGAAACATGACCTCAATTACCTATAATCCTCAAGATAAATCCCTTATAATCGTCACTGCATTTTCAGTGGAGTCCACCATTTTAGACCGAGGGCGAACAAAACAAATCATAAAGCTCAACAAAAACACGATTAATACAAAAATTACCATACCTTTCAAATTTGAAAGGTAATTAAACTTTATTAGGCAACTAACTTCTAACAAATATTTGTTAACATATAGACTAAAGTTCATAGTTTACATTATGGACTGATTTAAGCTATACAAACATTAAAAACCTGGAAGCACTGAGAGGTCGTTTCATCCTAGCAGGGAACTCCTTCTTACTAGTGCTCACCCACGACCTGCATTCTGGAGCGTGAACACTTAAACATGAGACCACTGAGCCGGTATCCGGTAGTGTATTAATGGACAATACAACAGTGACTTAAGCTTCGAAATACTTAATAATTGTCACTGCCAAAATCCTATTATTTACAATTTCACTGTTATCATGTAGATTATATACTGCATGTTATATTTACGCAGAATGATATGAAAAACAAATCAGTCACATATGAAAAAGTTTTTTTAGTTTTCCCTCTTGGTGATCGTAGCTAAATAAACCTATTGGTTAAAACAAAAAAACACAAACAATTATATTATGATAAGTATAAAATGAGGACAAGTAAACCGTAGCGCATCACGGCAACCAAGTTCGCGTTCATGGACTAACTATAAACCATTTAGAGTGTGCAACTGCTCTTGAACCTCTTACATAGTGTAGTAAAACTTTGTAATTTAAAGATTAATGAGTTTCAAATATACTCTTATTGTTTAGACGAATGACGAACGGATCACATATTATAGGACACACGTACCAAATCTAAAAAACCGAAGTAAGAAATTAAAATACTTTAGATGGATTATGTACATTAATCTACTGTATTTCAGATAATCGGACGAGGAATTTAGATAAGGAAAACTAAAGTTGGTGAAAAAGATTTGTAGTTCAGGTGGATGATTTTGATAGAATTCCATTCCCTAAGCTGGATCGTTTGGTCGTGGAACTTTTGGTTTTTCTCTTGTCATTTCGTTCTTTGATTTCTATAGGATCGATTGAGGTAATTTTCCTGGTTTGTGTGCTACACAATGAAAACGGATCCAATAATTTAACTGTAAAAAGCTAGGAATCAGTTATTTAAAAATACGATCAATGCCCCTTAATAAATGGCCTGTCGTTTCGTAATTATATTTTTAAATATAATTATTAAAATGTGAACAGATAATTTAAACTAACCCATGTCCAGTTTTTTTCTTTCGAAGTGTATTCCATTTTTGACGTTTAAAAGCTTGCAAATCTGATAAATCTAATTTATGCTTATGAAATTCCATACTTCCAAATTGTGAATGATCCATAGGATTTTTCACATTAGACTCTTTAGGCCTATTAATCAAAAATGTTTTATAAAAAAAGATAGGAAAAACAACTTTGGAATTGTGTAATAAACACACTGACCTTTGAAATTATAGAACTTCATAAAAATATACTGACAAAACGGTTCACCTTAAATGAAAATCATTTTACTCTATTTAAGTCTACAGTTTTGCATCTGTCGAAACTTTCGAAATGTTTATTTAAAAAAAGTGAAGTAGTTTCATGTAGATCGTTGTATTTTCTAAACGTTATTCTTAAAAATTGATATGACATTATATAGTCAATCAAGCTAAGAAATAAACAATACCTACTCGATAACACTAGTAGAAAATTACAAATAACAAGGTTTGTTCGTAGTTCATTTGGTGATTGCTTTGTTTAAACCTGTTAAAGGATCAGATTTGGTTATCATGAACAAATATGAATATAAAAACAAGAAGTTATCCATCCTTAGTGATGAAAGTAAATTTATGCCTGATGTCGAATTTGAAGATATTAGTAAACTAGAGGGAAGCATCAACACAAACCTATTGAAACTGTTACACGAATGTTATTGATAATGAAGAATTTTATTTTTTAAAATATATGGGTTCTGAATATGCTCATTTTCATGAACTACATAAAATTCAGAAATCAATCAGTCCTTTACGCACAATTTTACCAATGTGTCAGTCATTTACAAATAACAAGGCTAAACAGTTGACAGCGTTGCTGGATCCTATCCGAAGGAGTTTATGTAAGTATTCGCTGAAGGATTCTTTTGAATTCAATGACTACTTAGGAGATATTAATATCAAAGGGAAGACAATGTGTTCTTCTGACGTGAATTCCTTGTTCACAATTGTATCTTTAAAAAAGACCATTGGTATTTCACATAACTATATATGTTCGAACAACCTTAAATTACATGTTCCTTTAAAAATTCTTGAAGATTTGTTACTATTTTGCACTGACAAAATACAGTTCACATTTAAAGGTGAGTAGTTTCGCCAGATCGACTGGGTTGCTATGGTTAGTCCATTAGACCGTTATTAGCAGTTGTGTTTATGGCACACGTAGAAACCTAACTAAAAGCATAATCAAAAACATGTCCTTTTATAAGAGATATGTGGATGACATCTTAGTTATTTGTAAAAGAAGGATATGAATTGTTTATTGAACAAACTTAACACTTCAAAACCACACTAGTTTCATGTGAAGAGGGAAAGAACGGCCAGCTTACTTTCATAGACATACTTATAGACAGAAGAGAATATAGTTCAGTCAAGCGATGCATTTTTAGAAAGCCAACTTGGACAGAACAGTACCTCAGTTATAATAGTTACTACCCAGTTCAAAACGAATGGAGTTTGATAAGGGGCATTATTTGACAGGGCTGATAGTATTTACACAAATGACGGTATTGATAAACAAGTCAGGTTGTTGAACAAAACGTTAGTGGAAAATGATTATCCTCAATAGAAAGGTCATAGTATAATGAGACCTACTATATCTTCGGCAAAAAAGCCTGTTTAAATCTTCTTACTGTTCAGAAGTGAGTCAAATAACCTTTGATTGAAACAAAGGCCTAAATCAGTTTTTAACAAACGTACTACGTATCAAAGGTCATTATTGAAGAAAAAGCAAGATTCATACTTCACAAAGAACCTAAAAGGCACGAAAATGATTACGTCACATACCCATGTGTTTGCCAATTTAATTGTATATGTAGCTACACAGACATAGGGAAAATAAGTCATGATTTGCAAATTAGGGAGCGTGAACATGCAAAAACAAACAAAATCCAATGACCTAATAAGATTACATGATAAATGTCATTTGTTCTCTACTGGCCATAGAATTAATTTTAACTCAGCTTTTGTGGTTTTGTACAGAAAAGTTCAAAGACGTATACTGATGTTTATTGAATCCTTAAACATACGAAAATTTAAATCCCTTTAACCCTGAACATGATCTGATAATGTTAGTCTATTCTCCATTTTTTAGTGGATTATTTTCTTGACTATTATTTTTGTTTCTTCTTACTATCCACTTGTCTAGTTGACCTTATTTTGCTCTTGGTATATAAATGTCTTTAACAAGTATATTATATATGAACAGATTGTTCTAAATGTATTGCGGTAACATAACACACAGCTCTGACAAAATTCGTTTTATTATTATACTATCAAAAATTGTCTGAGGGACTGATTGCTCTAATTAAATCGACTGCTTTGAGACAAATTTACCAAGATTTATTTTGTACATACATTACTAAATATCGATAACGATCTAATGAGGCAATGTCCACATCTCTAGTGAGCTTTTTGGTCGAAACAGCAGACACTACAGATGAACGCTTTTCCATAGAGCATGGAAGTGTTTGGTGTTCATTTTCGCTCGACAGAATCACTGGTTTTCATGTGCATTTACCATGTCACGTGACTGACGTTCTTCATCTCCCTCTTCTTCTTCTTCACCAGAGGTTGGTAATAAGGGCGCTGCGTCATTATAACCCGTCATTCTTGTAAGGATGGTAAACAACGCCTTTAAACGTCGACCAATATTATCATCCAGGTGAAAATCTAGACCACGCATCTGCCAGTTAATGGCTATATGCCACTGCCCACGTTTTTCTAGTAATAGCGATAAAAATTAATTGAATAGTTAGCATTAATTTACTGGTGAAATATTTAATAAATAAAATCATAACAGAACAAATGAGAGAAAACTGAAAATATTCATCAATAAAAACAAGTAGGAATATTCGTTAGTTTTCAACTTCAGATTTCTAATATCAAACTATGAAATAGTGGGTACTATTATAAAATCTCAATCATTTTAGTGTAATGCAATGCTTATCTTCATTTAACCACATAGGTAAAGGAATATTAGGAAGGGACAAATGGATTGATCACTGAATAGTGAACAACGTTATATTTGTCCAATATTTAGTGCTATTGAAATTTCATCACTCAAGTTGTATGTTTTGATATCAAGTGGTTGGAAGTCAGCCTTATAAAGCTTGGTGGTGATGTCTCAGACTAAAAAAACTAGGCGATCCAAGTTTGGTTCTGTTAAGAAACGTCAGTTCCCCCAAAACTGCAGACAAGTTCAAAAACCGAGGTCCAGGGTTTCCTACCAATTAATAAACACGAATGAAGTGTTTACTTTATCTCCTTCTTCTTACTGAATATTGTCTAACAGATTTCTCATACAGAGAACAACGGTTAAAATAACGAAAACGAAGAATCACACACAAAATTGTAGGTGAATAATGAGGTATAATCAACTAATTCATTCATCAGGTACTTGGGTATGAGCCGCACACTAAGTATGAGAGCTGATGATACTACGTGGTTGAAAAAAACAAAATAGGTTATGTAGCGTTCGAAAATGAGACTTAGGGACTGGAAGGAAAACACGCTTTAACCCTCAAGCCACCTATCCATAGATGTCTTCTTGAGAAAAACCGAAGTTTAACACTCTTGGTAATTAGATTAACAATACGAAATATTACTGGTGTAAACAATGAATCTTTTAAATAAAACACCTTTTAGTAAAGCTTGAAATATATTCATTGAAAGATCGTGAAGTGCATTAGCACAAAGAACATTGAAAACGTATAATTACAACTGTGAGAGAAAATGGAAACAATGGTTTTCATATGGATAAGAAAAACGTCCCTGCGGCAAACAAACGTTTTATTCAATCACATAAAAGTTGATAATTCTTAGCTAGGGAGAGATTCAGGAAGTTTAAACGTGTTATTTTTTCTAAATGACTCAACGACGGAATCAGATTTAACTTATTGATCACGAGATTGAAATTAAAAGCAGCACACCAACAGACAGTGCATAATTAGGTAAGAGATGTATCTCACGGATAAGTCACAAGTACAGAGACTCATTTTGATAAAGAAAATACAAATTACTGTATCCTTAGGTTAGTACAGAAAATCTATGCTTATCTAAGCATTATTAGTTGTAAATCATAGATGATAGAAGAGGATAATTAACATAAAGAAAACAAAGAAATGAACACACTATGAAACCACGTTTTATCAACACTACATACAAAATGAAAGCAAAGTAGAACATTTTGAAAAGATATCTTTCTTTTTTGTTATCTCAACAAAGGTAAATTGCCAATAAAATATTAATAGTCGCTTATTTACCTAGATCTCTCCAGCACACATTAAATGTTCCACTAGGAACAACACACGCATTCAATATGACAACGTAACGTTTTCCTTTCACATCGATTGTTGATCGTTTTTTGTCTGGTTTCCAATCATCTGAACCAACATTAAATTCATCGTCGAAACGTAAACAGAAATCTATTTTTAATAAAAATTTAGATAACGTACATTATGATTTTTAGCAATCAAAATAAGAATTCAATATATAAGCGTAAAAATACAACATAAATAAAGTGGATAGATAAAACAATATGACGGTATTGTTCCGACATTATTGTAGTCACATTACACCAAAGATAACAAAATATGAAAGACGGGATCTTAAAAAATAATAAATATATGTATCTCACCAGTAAATTCTCCTTGGCTAACAAGAGAATCTTGATAACATGCAGAAATACGACTTTTATCCAATGTTAAAACTAAGGCAGTTCGTGAATCCGACTTCAAACTTTGTGACGGTAACTAGTAAATTAAAATGAGAATAGAATAGTAAAAAAAAAGTTAAGTCACAAACAGTAAAATGAATATATTGCAATAACATAACAAATAGCTCTGATAATCTTTGTTTTCTTATTACATTATCTAAATTTATTTAAGGGACTAATTGTTTTAAATATAATTTTATTTAACTGTTCAACTGAATAACTTGACAAAGTTGTATAGGATGAAAAATAATACTACAATAATGTAGAAAAATAAATTATATACCTAACTTGTAATGTTTTCATGATTAAACAATAAATCCTACAACAACACAATAGTAAATTGTTTACTATGATCTGTTTTATTTTCAACAAATTTACCGTTAATGAATTCAATATTAAATTTTTAGAAAAATATTTTCTATTACTCAATTTTAATTAGCACAAATTTCTTTTTAAAATGAAACATTCAAAAGTACATCAAATTAAGTTCAATTTTATGTATAAACAAGATGAATAATTTTCGAAAATTAAATAGTGTTAAGCAATTGAAAAATACTTTAATTTATTAGTTATTAATTTTCAACTTAAATTATTGTACAAGTGACGTGTTAGTTTGAGATAAGTACATGCCTTCAATAACAAAGGTGACAAATGAATTTTGTACCAAATTCTACTCTGTGACAACTATCCAAAACTTACATCAACATAAGAAAAGGTGTTCTCAATTGAAACTAAAAGTCTTAGTCTAGTGAGCGAAGACTTGTTAAAAGAAGACAAATTTATTGTATTCAGATTTGTAAAATATGAAAACTATACATTGAATACATAATTTGCACATCTTCCTTGAATTGTCTCTTACAAGCCCGATTGTTCTTTCATTCCTGTTGCTACCCCGACAGCTTATGCGTTTCTTTTTTTATATTTCTCTTTCGTCAGAAAAAATCCTACTTCCAAATCTTGGTACATAATGCACATATATGTCCGTATAAGTAGCACACATTACACTAGGTTCGATCCCTAGTGCGGGAGTTGTAACACTAGGACAAAACAGTTATCCAGTGCATTCACGTTTTCACTGGTGATCCGATTGAGATCAATTAGTGATTTGAACTATTTTAGGTAGTATCGAATAACAGATCGTTCTATGTATATATGTAGATTACGAGCGAAGTTAACAGGAAATTAAAGTACGTAACTGACCCAGGTAAAATAAAACTGATGTTGTTACCTTAATCAAAGAGTTATTACCAACACTTCTTAAGCAAGGATCTATACGGTGCGACATATCTCTGAATTATAATTAAACAAGCAATGATGAATAAATTACACATAACCAATAGATGTTTGTCAAATACCGACATATCTTGATAGATCCTATGATAAAATAGAAAAAAACCTAACTAAATGACTAACGAAGGCTTATTTCCTAGTATCAAATACTTTTTTGGATAACGTTAACTAGTGATGAACATCAATTAGAAATCACATAAATACTATCTAAATGAAATATCTTTTTATAATAAATTTATAGACGGACCTGTTAGTAATTAAATGAAGTCTAACAAAATTGATGTTATGATGTGAAACGTGTGTGTTATGGTAAACATAGAAATATTTTGAAAAGTTGCCAAATAATTTTACAATTGTGATATGAAAAACAAGTTAACAGAACTCATTAACTATGGATCCAAATTGTGTAAACAAACCTTGACCATATGAATAGGCAAACAAACACCAAGATCTTCAATGCTAAGTTGAAGGAATAAGGTTGACGATGTTTTATTATTATTGTTAGTATTATTATTCGACAGATTAGCTTCGATTGAGACATCCGGTATTTCATTCACACTTGTTGCAGATGGATGAACAGATGAATGTGGTGGAGCAGAAGATATGGATATATATTGAGAATGATCTTTTGGTGAATATCCAGTAGGATAATGTACACTATGAATAAAATTTGAACGAACTGGAATTGATTCTGTGACGTCTTCAGGAGGCATCTGAAGATATATGATATCAAAATGAACTGTATATGATAAGAGTAATATTTGCATCGGATAACACGACTAAACAGTGTCAATATATTAATTCAAGAAATAAAATTTTAAATGTACAATCAGTGAAAATAAAGATGACAACCTTTTTGGTCGCGCAATTTCGTGTATTGGTTGATGTTAGACACTAACACCATTGGATGCCGGCTCAGTGGTCTAGTTGGTTAAGCGCCTGGCGCGAGACCGATAGGTCCTGGGTTCGAATCTCGCAGGGAGCGGGATCGTGGATGCGCACTGCTGAAGAGTCCCATACTAGGACGAAACGGCCGTCCAGTGCTTCCAGGTTTCCAACGGTGGTCTAACATCAATTGATTCATGATCTCAGTCAAAAACTTAACAATCTCCACAACCCCTATACTGATTTATCAATAAATGACTAAAGCAAGTCAACCATTCAATGAACAGATATTTCAAAATATTATAATTTGTCTGTCAAATTTAACTGCTGAAAGGATGAATAATAAATGTTAGTTATCAGAAGATGGCTTCAGAGAGTTGAAGACCAGATTATTTGTTTATATTACAGAACTGATAATTGAAATAATAATAATAATAATAATAATAATAGTGCAATTTTATTAATAAGAAAAAAATATACTTATGTATAATAGTCTTAATCGAAGCTGATATCATTGTAATAGGAAACACACATTCATTATTCAATAACAATAATAATGGTAATAATAATAATAAATGTATATCAGTAAAATGATAATTAACTATTGATGAGAAAGACGTATCAAGATATATCAATATCATTTAGCAATCTTGCAAATATGTTTGTCAATTTGCTGATAATTATTCATTTAGGAAATCTTAATTTGATCTTTTTAGTGAAAAAAGTATCATTTAGCTATAAGGTTAAATCAATCCAGAAACCGACGATTACATATACTCAATTTATAATGAACTCACAAATAATGAATCTGAAATAATACAAACTTACCATAGATGCTAAATGTTCTATGTGTTCATTCCATTTAGCAAATTCATCTTTGTACACCATCCACATCATTATACCTGGATAAATCGTTAAATAACAATAATAGTAATGGCATTAATAATAATAATAATAATAATAATAATAATAATAATAATATTGAAATATATACAATTGTATCTGAAAATAATTAAAGTTCATTGTAATATTCTATATTAATATAATGATGCCAAAATCACAATCCATCAATAAGACTGTGAAATATTAATTTAGAAAAATACTACTGAATTATTAATTAACTGTTATAATAACTTCCTATTTGTTATAAATTGTAAATATCAATTGAATATAATTTGTTCTGTATTTACAAAAGTTATTCATTACCTTAAAAATACTATGTACAGAAAATATAAATATTTTTTAGCTCATTTATAATTCAGTAAATAATTTCAATAGTTGCTTAGGAATCAATAACCTTTTAAAAAGTGCATTATGATGATGATGACGACAACAGCAGCTGCTACGTTTGAAAAGATTGTGATATCACCCAAAACTGGCGAATAGAACGAAAGTCAGCGACACAAAAACAAGACATGCTAAATTATCCCATTGCACTCCAGCCCTAACGGAGAAGGTCGGGTTCGTTCGAGGAGAATGTATATTCCATAAGCAATCGGAAACGCGATCAACAAGTACACAGCTCATGCGTATATATACAGTACAATAATGCCTTTGAAAAACATTACAAAATAGCATAATAAAAGAGGGAACGAATCAATGACATTTAAGGTCCTTCCAAGTGGAAAATACAAACTGAAAGTTAAAGTGGGCGCGAAAACAAGAAATTCAAATTTGCAAAGTAAAATGACAAAAAACGAGGTGTTCACCAATTGATTTATGGGGATCTACCATCCTAAACAGAAACAAAAATAACTCTAACATGTTTTTTTTTCAGTCAAATGTAATGATAAACTTCTGAAACAAAATACAAAATATTATTTTAGAATAAAATTGGACATAATTTTAATGCGGAATCGTCATAAATAGAAGTTTTGCTAATCTAGAGGGAACACGCAAACATCAGTGTATTTTAAAATAAAGGATTATTGTTGACTACCTAACCCTATAAAACTAAAAAGGAATAAATATTAACTTCCGCCTCCATTCCCCAAAATCAGTTTCTTTATTTTGTAAATTATATTTGTAGTTTAATTTGAGAAAGATGATTCTAAACGAGAGTCATTTTATTTTTATGCATGAATTCTTCATTTTGAAGTTAAAACAAGCACACAAGAAATAAATTATACTTTTACGAGTCTTGAGTAGTTTGATTGATAAAATGGTAATGTTTTCGGTGTCGAAACAATTTATATAAATGACAAGCGGACTGTACCCAAAACCTTTATTAATGGTCCAAAAGCCGGCATTCGTATTAACTAATGTATCAATCTCTGAACACGTTACAAGATGATAGACTTAAATAAACCTACCAAGACTTTTTTGCTGAAAAATTTTCTGAAATATAGAACTTGTACAACTCAACAAGTCATTACTTTCTATACAGTTTTCAGCTTGAAAAGGTATATCAGGTTGCATATGTAAAACACGACAATAGACAGGGGGAATATAATTATCGTCATAAGTTACAGAGTACTCATGTAATATATTACACATAGCCTCCAATCTTCTTCCGTCTGTATCTTTCGATGTTTTATGCCACCTAACCTCTATTCTCGTCTGACCTTCAAGTGTTGTGTCAAAGCTGTGCTTTCAATGATGTGAAACACTTAACTCTGTATGACAACTGTAGCAATTTCGACGCCACGGCCTGTTACACGCTACTTACAAACAGTGACATTTACCTCGTCGGTATTTACGTGATAATTATGATTAATGGTTGCATGATCTGAGGTGAGATTTTACAAAACTTGGGGCATTAATGCAAATTCATTTACTCTTCATCCTCTCAAAGTTCTTGGGTTTCAAAGATTGTCTTTTCTTCATTTTTTTATTTTATTTCATCCTTTTTGTTTAGTTCCACTAACATTACTGCTACCACCATATCAACTACACTGATATTCTTGTTATGAATTTTATCTTTCCTCTCTCAGTTTTCTATGATGCACATTCGCATCAGATACTACGCTAAAAATAACTGTTTGATGTCATGTAATTTAAGAATAAATCAAAACCCAGTATTAAAAGCCTTCCTAAAATTAATATCCCCTATTAATCCGATGTATGAGAAAGCGTAAAATCGAATTTTTCGTTACAAAACATTTACATCAGAACCAAGCGAACAATACTGATTGAAAGAAATACTAACAATAACAACTATTGCACATTTCCACAAACCCGTTAAACCCGATGAGTGTAGTGATAATCGGTTTATCAGGTATAAACACAATTAAATTTCAGGAAAAAATTATACATACCACGATCAAGTGTGAAAGGTTTAAGCCAAACAATGGGTCGATTTAAAGAAATAAGAAACGCATCTTGTTCACCATGACTTCTACTGTTAGAAGTAGACAATTCTACACTTTGATCTGGTGAAAATTTTTCATCGGCTAGTAAAGAACGTAAAGCGATTGACGTACGGAAAAACGCAACATTTTGGAAATCAGGACTAAGTGCATGGAATGTATCCTGTAAAAATTTAAAGCACAGGAAAATTTTTTTGAAAAAATATGCAGCTGCAAAAAACAGTAAAAATAGGATTTATTATAGATGGAGTTGCAATATGATAACTAAGCTATATGTCGGAACTCAGTTTATTTGGTGTTATGTGGAGCCATAAACAATCTGCAGAAAGTCTTAGACGTACCCATACTCTACAAATGGTTAATGTCTCTCTTTCAGAATATCAAATTGCATCTTCCATTTAAAAAAAACATTGTTATTTAGTTATTTGAACAGCTACTGTTTATAATGGTTAGTGAAATTGATTAATAAACAATGTCCTGAAATTTTATTAGATTCTCTCGATATAGTTATCTTAATTGTTATTTATTTGACTAAGTTATAAAAGTAAAAGGATAGTGCTATAACGTATTTAACTCACCTGATCAAAATAGCCTAGATCTAAACCAATATTGGCTATAGTAGCATATATGAAAAGAGAATTATGACCTGTAATAAAGAAAGATAAGAGTGAAATGTGCATAACAGGAATAATAATCAAGAAAAAGTAATGAAATTGATCTATATGCATGTTAAATATATTTTTACCTTGCAAAGTACAGATTTATTCCATAAGTTAGTGGTTAACTGAATTCAGTAACCCGGTGAATAACGCGTCAACATTTGGAGTGAAAGGTATTGGGTTTAAGTCTAAGTGTAATCATCAACATTGAGCTGTAGATACAACTAGGTGACGAGTCCCAAACAGGATGAAACGTATGTCATGGATTATACTACTTGGCACTATTTAACTTTAACGAGAAAGTTTGGTTATAATGAAAGTAAGTAGGTGATAAGAGCAGAATACACATATATCCATATTGATCGGTTTCACTTCCTAACATCAGCAGACACTTATAAAATAGTGATTATATTAACATCTTAATCCCCTTGGATAAATATTATATATACATATATATCATATAGTTTAATTCATTGCGAATTATTATTTATTTTTCATCATTGCACTCGAATATTGTCTCGTATTATATTCTAAGTATGCCCTGGATGCATGGAGATTTCTAGAAGATCGGTTGCTAAAGCGTTTTGAAGATTCTCCTTAATTGATTTATGACAGTTAACAACTAATTCAAATAGGTAAGTTCTTGGGACATTGAAAATTAGTTAATTATGAACCTACTGGTTACAAGTATATCATCAGAAAGCATAATATTCCACATACTCATATGTTCATAAATACATCGATAAATAGGTATTTGAGATAAAGTAGCTTGACATAATACTTACTACTATTTAATCCTATCGAAGACTTCCTTCCAGATTCAAAGAAATAACTAGATGTAGTATTAGGACGAATATTTAAATTTGATGGTCTTTTTGAGATAAATCATTTGGTTTATTATTGGATGAATAAAATGTCGATACATTCTGATGATTCAATAAATGTGTTTGTGATACACGATTGGTCAATTCAACTTCAATTTTTCTAGCCTCGAGTTTAATTGCACCATTTTTTGTAGATGCTAACAGTTGAATTTCTTTCATTCGTATTCTATAAGAAGGGAAAGAATATTATTAAAAATAGAGAAGGAAGCATTTTAAATGAGCGATAAATAAGATTGTCAACTGATACAAAATAAATCCGACAAGTAGATTATAAAATCAGCCACATAATATTTGTAGAAGATTTGCTTTTTAAAGAACATTATTATAAATGAAAGAAAACGCTTTGAATCGGAAGCTTGGTGTATCGGTGTTAGTCTACAAATAGTCAGTAGCATTCTATCTGTTGCCAAATGTGTGGGAAACTTGGAGTCAGTTTAACATGTTAGAAGAAATGCAATGTATTTTTAGTGAATCCGTTCAGAAAACCAACAAAAGATTGGTAAAAAGGGAGATTTCGTCGTTCCAAAAGGCAACAAGTGTTATCCTTGTTTCGCCTCATTTAAAATTAGTCAGAAGAATTAAATGTCCCAAAGATTATAAAACCTACGGTTTTAAAATTATTTTAATATTTCACAAACGAACTCCGGGACCTGAAATTCTTAGAAGTAACCAGTAATAGATAAGCACATGTTGATGGTTTGGCAGAATCCATTATCGATCATTGATATTTAATTAAGAAGACGTTTAACAAATAAAGTCGTCAAGGCCTAAGTCATTTGTTGATAAAGACTTTCAGATAATCGCTTTAACCACTTGTCCAGAGATCAAATCATTGATGATCTTCCGAAAATATTTGAACTTCAGATATTTTGATATATTGATGACTGTTGTTTGGAAACGAACTATTACGGTTATCAAATCCCAATACTAATGATTAATTGAACATTCGTTATTTTGAAATCTCTCTATTGATATCTATCAGTTTGAAAATAAGAGTAAGTCGCAAGCGATTTCGAATAACGTTATATGACCCTGAAGATTGCTACAGATTGTAGTACATTAGTTTTTCCTATAAATTACGTTGGCTAAAAGACCCTCATAGTTGGTTCCAACCATTGATGATATGTACGAGACAACGTTTATGTATGTAGTTGATCTCGGTGTTGAGTAGAGGTAAATACTAAATTATTCTTGCAAAATGTAGTAATTTTCATCAATAGTTCTTATTGTCATATAATAGACACAATTATATAAGTGTATACAAATTGTGTTAGTTATCTACAACGTCGGTAGTTTTGAAGTGTTTCAGCGTTTGAAATACGTTCAAACATTTGTGATAAGATTCAGTGCTATTATCGTTTGAATTACAGTCAATTATATACATACAGTCAAATCATAAAGAGCTATATACATTTTCCGAATTTGCAGGTTAATATTAAACAATCCAGGGTAACAATTAAAAGAAATCTATTAATATTTCCCTGTTTAAATGTATTCGTATATGAGGATGTATAAGGATTTCAGGAGAATGTATACACGGGAGAAATATAACTGTTGACTGAAGTCGAAGCTTAAAACAAAGACAAAAACAACTACTCAAAATCTTATCATTATCATAATTCAAGAAGAAGACTTGGAAATAGCTAATTAAGTAAAACGTTGAAGTTAATAAAAACGCAAATGCAAGACATATAAATTAAGTGTATATAACTGATAATAGAAATTTTTCTATATTAATAAAATACATAATAAATAACCAAGAACAACGATTGCTAATAGACAATACTTGATTGTAAATTTAGCTCTTCCACGTGCAGCACGTGATAAAAGCCAATCACCAGTTGGGATATTTTGAGTATTGGATGTACTTGAATGTGTAAAATCTTCTGCTTGACTCATCTGATTATATGTAAATCTTGAAAGCGGTTTGCGCAGACGAGGTCGTTCTTCACCAGCCATTTTCTGTATAACCTCATTTATTTCCTAAATAACACAAAACAATGATACACTATTATTCTACAGAATTTGTAATACAGTGCGTTTAAAATATTATCGATTTTACGATAACAAGTTATACTTAACAAGTAATGTCAGATAATTTAAACAGAATCCTTCGCCGTAATCATCATACGCTTGTTACCCTTCGCGAAAGAGCATAGGTCGAACACCACTGTTCTCCACTTAACCCTATTTTGGACAATCCTATCCAGTGGTTTCCAGTCACTATTCATCTTTCTCATATCTGCTTCCGATTCCGGACGCAGTGTGTTCCTTGGCCTCCCTCTTTCCGTTTTCATTCAAAATTCCAAGTTAGAGCTTGTGTCGTGATTTAGTTTGATGATTTCCTCAGTTGGGAGCTGGTTTTTCCTCTCGCACACTAGGTTGATGATGATGGTATCCGGTCAACGGACATTCAGCATCTTGTGTAGACAACTGCTTAGAAATACTTGTACTTTTTAATGATTGTTGTGGTAGTTCTCCTAATTTCATATCCGTACAATATAACTGTCTTGACAGTTGTTTTGAGTTCCATATGTTTTTCAATTATAGGGATGTTGTCCTTACTTTGCCAATCTTCGCATTTACGTCTGCACCGGATCTTCCGCGTTCATCGATTATGCTGTCCAGGTACGGGAAAGTTTCTACATCTTCCAGAGCTTCTGCATCAAGTGTGATTAAGTTGGTGTTCTTCCTGTTGTATTGAGTTTCTTGCTTTTTCTCTTTTGCATGTTGTGGCCTGCTGATGCATAGGCTGCTGCTACATTAGTTGTCTCCTATACATACTGTTGAACGTCGTCTCATGATCAAGGCATTTGATGCAAAGTGACTAATTCCGTCTGATTGATTGTCCAACGATGATCCGTAGTGTCGCGATTTGGTCTGTGCACGACCGATCGTTATGGAATCCGGTTTGTTGATTTTGAAGTTTGGAGTTCACTAAATCTTTCATCTAGACCAGCAACACTCTGTTGAAAACTTTTTCTGGTACTGACAGTAGTGGTCCTGACATTTACTCAGATCTCCTTTATTTGGTGTCCTTCTTTCCAGTGTTTCGGCAGTCCTTCCACCCAAGTCTCCCTGAATAGAACGTAGAGCATGTTTAAGGTTAATTCTGTCTGACTTTAGTGCTTGGGCTGGTATATTGTCAGCTCTTACTGCTTTCCCATTGTTGATTTGTCTGATGACCAGCCATCCTGATTTCTTCGATCGTTGTTGTTGTGACATCTATATGGAGGTTTGTAGGTGTTGCTTCGATATCTGGTGAGTTCAGTATAGCTGGTCTATTCAAGAGTTGTTCAAAGTGTTATACCCATCTGTACCTCTGTCCTTGAATCTCAGTGATTGATTTGCCTTCTTTGTCCTTGACCGATCTCTGTGGTTTACCATATTACCCTGATACTTTCTTCATTGTGTCACATAGTTGTTTCACATTTCCTTCTCTTGAAACTTTTTCCACTGTCGTCGCGGAATAAAGCATCAGTAAACATTAAATCCATGCTTATTAATCCCAACTAGAGAATGAAATAAGTAGTTAGATTCGAGAGCAATGAAACACTCTTAAAGTAAAGATAAGCTGATAGGTTGTACAATATAGACTATAATATTATTATTTAAATTTTTACATAAAAGAGAACTGGTTAGTCCAATCATTTTTCAGGCGAACTTTTATACGATTCAAAATATTTCATCAAAACCTCAGGGCTATCAGTAATTTAAAATGTAACTAGACAAAATTAAAGTTTAATAAATTAGCTAGTAACTTTAAAGATAGTAACTTTTAAAGATACTACAAGATACTAATACAAATACAAATGATATCTTATTATAAACAGAATAATTATGTTTGCTACCTTCATGAATAACTTTACAACAACCATAATGTAGTTTAACATGTCAGTAGTTAAATTTTGCTCTAATGTATCAATTTGTATTTGAATATCCAAGTATAGGCCTTGTTCCGCTTCTAAACCATATGTGAGCATAGGCTCTTTTCGTTGACTACGAGCATAACGACCGCCTGATGAAACACGTTGAACAATCGAAGCCAAAATACGAGGAAAAGGTAATGAGATTGATGTTGGAAAGTTAGCTGGGGGGCGCTGAAATATGGAAATTTAACTATGTTATTAAGCTGAAAAGTCGTATATTCAAAAATAAACTAGTCCCTTATTAAACATTTAAATGAAACAATTCTACTATGAAGAATGAGAAAACGTTAGTAACATCAATATAGACCACAAGTAAGCAAAAAAAAAACGAGCAGAAGAAAAACTGAAAAATGGTTTATATCGCGAAGTGCTCAACCATTGGTAAAACAGGAGCACTGGGTAGTTGTACAATCTAAATATGTAATTCCTCTGAAATGTGTATCTAAAATTCTACCTAGAGTCGAATCATGAATCTTTAGATATGGTAAAGAACGTCTTATCATTTCAGCTACTGCATTCGCATTCCACGATACACAACTACAATCCCAGTTTTTTTGTGCCAGCTAATTTTGATCACGAAATGATATTAACAAGTAACCGAGATTAGATTTTAGAAACTCCTACAAATCAATTGCGAAAATCATGAATGAAATATGAATAAAAGCGAAAAAACTATTGCATATAAACATTATCTGATTAACGTAGGACTGACCATAGACTTTAGACTAAGTGAATGATCTGATATACTGATATCCACATAGCTACGTGATCCAACCTGACCAGTGACATATACAGGATCAATCTAAAATCAAATAAAAACAATAAGAATAATTGAGAAAAGTTATTGTAAACGAATTTTTCCTCAGTTGGTCAAGAAAATAAATTTTAAAAAATTCACAATAATCCCAGAGAAGAAGTAAATCATGAAATTAAGATTAGTCAACATGCACAATTTGCACAAATAACAAGAGTACTGATGCAGCTGAAACAATAAAAACAGAAGCGATAACTTACGTTTCCAAACATGAGTAAATAAACAGAATTACCCTAGTTTCTGAGAGGTTTAAGTACACATAAAATGACTATGTGTAGCAAAATAATGTGAACAAGTAAGCAAGTATAGAGTTATGCAGCAACTGTTAGTTATATTTTTTGTGTTATATTAAACGATGGATTGGGTGTGCAGAAAAAAAAGGATTCAGAAATTTAATATTAGATATTATCTTATAATATAAACAATACAAAGATAACTATTTTTTGGAAATAACCATTAAACATGTAATGATGACTTATTCATTTACGCACAAGTTCCAAACTGTAGATATACCTCAATAAGTTCAGTGTAGTACCATCATGAGCCCTCGAGTTAACAACAAGTACAATATAAAGCTACATAACGTAGTGTATTTTTTAGACAAACAAGAAGTACCCTTTGGCATAAACAAAAGAAGCAAAAATATTCAAATATTTTATAAAAATTAATGAATAAAATATTTGATACTAAATTTTAAACTAACATGATAAACAGCTTTCAATGTAGAATGCAATGCTACATTAACAGTTAAACCTTGTGAAACAGCTAAGAGATTAAATGACAACGGTGGTGATGATGGATTAATTTTGTTAGGAGTCTTTGCATTCAGTAAAATTTGTCCAGGTTCCATTGTTGTCAATGGTTGATATGATGATATTGATGATCGGAAATAATTTGATGGATCACTTGCTGTTGTAGCAGTAGTAGTTGTACTACATGTTGTTGGAGTTGTTGTCATACGAGATCCAGACGAACGCCTAATTATTGAGAAAATAAATAATTAAGTTCAATAAAATAAAATATGAAAATCTCCATATAAAAAGGAAAAATATTATAAAATTAAAATAAATACAAATATAAAATTACCAAGAATGAATTTGTGCATAACCAGTATTTGGATTTCTTAAAAGTTCATAAACAGTAGAAGAGATACGTTTAGCTTGACGTTGTACGACACTATGTAATCGTACAGGATGATGTGGTAAAGTGACCATTATTCTTCCAAGGCTTATAACACAAGCATTTTTTTCTGATTGTAAATTTCGACTACATGATAGCATGACATGCGAACGTCCAGCTTTTACACATACAACTTCCCTAAAGATGAAAGAGAATTGAGAAATTTTTCATAATCAGAATATGATGTGTCAAAACTATTTATAAAGTGAATAACGATAAAAATCAAAGAATTGAATTAGCATCATGTTGATTGAACAATTCATAAAAATTCTTGAAGACTTGTTTACAAGTGTTCAACTACTAAACAGTAAACAAATTCATCAGTAATACATAGTAAAATTTCCTAGAAAACACATACAAAAAGAAATTACTATGAAAAGTAAGAGTTGTAAAAAATACTTGGTGTACAACGAAATTACAAGTGATGTAGTGAGGTTACATTTAATTATTACTGGGGTTAATAAAAAAGATATTGTTGTCCAATCATTAAATCATTCACTAGGTGTATTTTCATGAACTTAATTTTTTGTCACATTATAAACGTGATGGCTGTTGATACTATTAGGTTGCTAAAACTGGAATCGTTGGAGAACGAATTGGTTCTGCAACTTAGTGTGACCGAAAGTCAAACTCCGTAATTACTGAGCTACCGCTTCATATACTTGTAAATAAAATGAATTAGGAATCAGTAAGAAATGTCACAACAGAATGATAAGCGAAAAATTCATAATTAGCTTGTACAATAATTATATCACATTTTAATTTATTCTGGAAATAACTCACTGAATTTTTGATGGTGACTTTTCAGTTAATTGAATATTACTATCACTATAGTGTAAATTCGAACTGTGTGTTAAGAATTTTTCCGAGAAACTGCCTAAATGATAAACAATATAAAAAAAGTTTAAAAAAAGGCAACGAAACCTTCATAGTGGTTAGTTAGTTAGTGAACAATTATTTAATGATAAAAGAAGAATAAATACGATGATAGTGATTACAATTTTTTTTAGAAGGAGTGTTACATACATCTGCAGAAATAAAGTGACTAAACATTTAGTTAAAATATAATTATTCTATAGTTGATCGATCACTGGATAACAATTACACATTAAATAGTATGGTTTGCTGACTTGAACACAAAGTATGTTAAGAATGATGGAAGCAGAGTCACTGAAAATTCACTTTCCTGTAAGTAAACTGGTTTCACTATACAACACAAAAGGCTCGTTTAAACCAATCAAAGATGGATCAATATCTTTTTGATGTCACTTTCAGTTTTATTTAACAATTTACATATACACATGGTAGTAATTATATGGGAAGGACTGAGAGAACAGTCTTTACTAAATTTCCCAAACACGTCCTGAGAAACGATCGCATAAAAGGCGAAAATTTTTTAAAAGTTAGATTATAAGGTGCTTATTGGATAGTGAACATTTGTATAGCATCCAAAACCATTACCCGACCTAACTTTTTGAAAGGGGAGTGCAAAACAATCGGCAGCTCCATAAAGGAGCACTTCATCAACTCTGACAACGTTGAGCCATAGGAGTCATCCTTCAAGACAATCTACACAGTCAAAAGAATAAGGTCAAAGAGAGGTCGTATTAAAAATTTCTGCACTGCTAAGGCATTGAGAATCGACTAATGCAAACCCGAACTCTGTGTTTATAAATAGTACGTCCAACCTTTCATTCTTTCTTCGCCTAAATTGCCTTCCCTGATGTGTTTTAATCTTGTTTCTGTCATAGGTAATGTTTCTTTATAATCATTACCAGTTATTATGATCTAACAACTTTTCAGGATTATTAGTTAATTGTTATTATGACTTTTAAGCTTTCCAATTTTCCCTTATATCAATCATTTGTCAGATTTCTGATTCATCAATTCTTTTCATTTTCCTATTCTTCTCTAACCTCTCGATCGTTACGATTTGATAGTTGAAATCTTGGATCATTTTATAATGTAATTTTCCACTTTTCTAAAGACCCATATATTTATCAAACGACTTTAAAAATAAATGTACAACTTGGGCAAATGATGTCATCGAAAAGGAAATCATCATTGCTGAATTATTTTTATCTTTACTTAATGTGATAAATTGGGTTACTTTAATTATTAACTAAATCCACTGAAAATCATATACAAAAATAAACTTTATAATGGTAAATATGAATTGTGTTTCAAAAGACTAACCATGCCCCCGTGTTTGTTTAGTAAGTGTAAATGAACCATGAACATTTCTAACACCTGCATTCAAATTAAGTTCACTGAGCACAGCACTGACAGCCATTTGACGTATTTTCGCAGTAACAAATACAACAAGTGGTACACGTTCACCCCAAACCCATGGATAAGTAAATTGTTCTAAACCATGATTGGTTGTAGTTAGATGATTATCGTTTTTTGATGATGTATCAGACAAACCAATAAAAGGATATTTTGATGATTGATGATTAGATGCTGGAACTTTGAAAATATTCTGAAATTTATCGCCAATGACAACAGCAGAAGGGCGAGATAAAAATGCTTGTATACTAGGATTCCATGGATTTGTGAATAAAGACTTGTGATTTTGACTGTTAACTTCTTTAGATCCGATTAATTCATGATCTCTATCTATTTCTTCATTTAAAACACGATATGTTACAGTGGGGAAAGTTTTCCTGCCGAATAGAATTCCCTTAAAAAGCAAACACAAATCGTAAATGAAGACAATTGGAAAACTAGAAGTTATTTTTACCCACTTACATAGATTAGTAATAATCTCAATAGTTATTTATAGTGTATAGAAAAAGCTTACATATAAGATGTGATATCTGTTGTCAAAGATCTATTTATACAGATTATATGGAAATGATTGCAAACGATATTGCCTGAAACAACAAGACTTGATAGGACATCAAATAAAATAAAAAGGAACTCTATGAACACTAGTGAACAATGATGAGGTTCGTACAAATAAAGAAGCGAGGAAAAGGGCAAGCACTGATAAAAGCTATCATCAAAAAGGTGCAACTTAAAGAAGGGCGGACATCGAATATAAGAAAAAAACTATAAGGGTGTGAAATTTAGTTGGTTTAACACCGGTCACTTTGCCTATACGACCAATTAAATACCCAGCTCTTCAAACATTCAATACTTTCAACGAATAGTGTAATTTTTGAAATTTAGTAACAATTTTTTTATTATTACCACCCCTGGTAATGTTATCACATACATATCGAAAACTTAGTTACCTTGCCTAATAATTAGTATAAGGTTATATAGTAATGAGATTTAGTACATTTTTCTAGTTACTACTGAATGTTATTGTGTTATGATACTCACAACATACTTACTCTAAGCTACTGACTAACATATTTCCGTCTCATTTTTATGGTCGCCCATTCGCTCTGGCCCTTATGAGTAGATACACTGAAATGATGATATTACAGTAAACTATTGATGATTACAATGTATAACTACATGTTCTCATATGAAAATGAAATCTCACTACCTCTACCAAAGACGTTGTAACACAAGCAGCAAACATTCAGAAAAACTCCTTAAACGCATGGAATTTATTCGGGTTACTGTTACAATAAATGCCAGTTGAAACAACAATAGAGCTTAACATAATCAAAAAGAATAAGCTAAATTATTAGTAGACAGCCAAGATAAAAAGCAAAATAAAAGATAATGGAAATAAACAACTCATTTTCTTAGAGAGCTTGTTCGAATTAGTCACGACTTTCTATGATGAAAACGTTTACTTTTATTCTAAAAAAGCAATAATAGTGAAGAATTTCGCTGTAGGGTGTAAAAACATTAAAGCATAGGCACCAAACGATTAACGATAAGATTTATGGATACCTAGAAAGACATTGAAATAGAAGAGAAATTCATTAAATCAGTACCTTATTCATTGTAGGTGAATTTAGATTGAAAGTACTTGGGGGCCAATGATAGCTACCAGATTGATCACTTTTAACATTACACGATTCTGACGTACATATAACATTATGGTCACGATCTTCTTCTGTGATAGTAGGCATAGCTCCACTTGGTACCGAAGTGAATATAGGCTGAAGTTAAAAATAGACTGTGTAAATATTAAAGAGCAATATTCAATCAATTTTTAAAACCAATGAACAGACTCTAAGGTGAAAATATTATTGTCATTAAACCATTTAAAAACAACCATCAGACATCCACATATGATATTGAACATGTACTCTGTAATCTGATTGTAAATATTGGAACAAGCAATTTTCACTGATCATATACAAAAGGTAGATTGGAATCTAGTGAGATGTACGACAAACAAGTGTCTTAAAGTAAAATAATGTGAGCTATAAAACAAACAATTGTTTCCTTTGACAATGATGATAGTGAAAAATATTTCGTAACTGAAAGAAACGTTCCATTTTTTTCGCTTTCTGTGCTTTATTTATAAGAGTAAATACCGATGTACTTGTTCTTAATAGAATGAGACATCATTATAAAAGATGTGATGTACTTTAAGATCAATTAATCACTAGGAGTTATTTAGTTCAACTTCTATTATCTTTTAACATAATATTTGTTGTGTATGATTTATGATGAAATTAAAATATAACATTTTAAAATGATCTATGACAACTCACCTTACGAATAACAGTCTTTGTCTTAGGTACAGTAGAGTATAACTCAACATAATTCGCTAATCGTCTCCAACATGAAGGACCAAGATTACTAGGGGATCTTGGAGCATTCATTGACGACTCTTCAGATTGCGAAATTCGACTAGTAGGAATAGGTGGAAATCGCGGTGCGGTGGTAGTCATAATGTCATGTAAATTAGCTGGATTAGTAATAATCAGCAAATCTTTATCCGTACTAGAATTAGATGTATTCTCCCCAGAAGAACGATCATGTTCAAAAGTAAAAGAAGGGAATGGTTCTTCATTGTTGCTGAACCCTGGAAATAAATGTTTTACAATTAGATGTACGTACAGCCTAAAAGTTAGAAGTTAATGAAAGGGTAGTAACTGATACAGACTAACCGGATAAAAGCTGTAGGTAACGAAACCTTTACATTTCAAATAATTCTATGAGGATCCTAAGAGAGAGAAGTATGTTAACCATAAGTGTAAAATGGAATACAGAGAACCTATATCAATCTAACAAAAGATTTTTAATTGGAATAATATCGTTTTAAAAGAGATACTCTATACAAATCACTGAGTTTTTTTTGTCAACTCGTTTATATGAAACAAGCTTTGATACAGATTCTGAATTTTAACGAGAAAACATAGCTATTATAGTTGTGTAAAATTGAAAACAAAGAACATTAGAAAATTCTAACTTCAGTCATCGCGTGTGAGGTCTTGAGTGAATATTGACCAAAATTTCGAAGCTCCCTAATTTACGATGGTGTTTCAGTTTATCTTAAATATAAGATCGAAGTAAGTCTGAAAATGCACAACCCACACAGGCATTATAGTTGAACAGTAAATAGTTTTACATTAACTTATGGACGTTATTCATTCGCACAAGATTTCTTTTTAAAAATAGTGAAATATAGATTAATATATAGCATAACTATGAAAAGATCGAATAGAACGATAATTTAACTGTTGTTATGAAGTAAACTTTTTATGATTTAGTAGGATAGAATGCTAAGTGATGGACAAAACTCCATGATATGATGTTACAGAGTGATGGCTACCGCATTATTGCTTTAGGTTCCCAAATAATTAGAAGTTAATATTAAAGCTAGTAGCAGTGCTACCACCAGTGCATAACATGGTTATATAGAGAATATGAACACAAAATAAACACAACCAAATATCATAGACGATGGAAGGAATTCGGCTAGTAGGTTACTTATTACCCAATCTAATTAAGACTTAACTGTTAGACTTAATCCTTGGGCATGGTATCAACTTGGTAACTGACAAATATGCGCTGAAATTCTGTACTTAACAAAAATGATTTTGTTAGACTTTAAGTCTTTATGCATAGTATACTCACTCTCATATTTATTTTTACTCTTTGAAGCTTCGCTTAGATTATTCGATCGTCCACTATCAATAGAGTCTTCACCACCAAAACGGACATAAGCGGAAGAGCGCGATCGAAATGTTCCATCGGTATCATCTGATGAACCTGTAGATATATTGCAGTTAATAATCATGAATTAAAAAAGATATGGAAAAATGATTTCAATATAAATAATGAAATTGAGGTATCTAACAGAAAGAGTTCAGTATATTGGAGTGCATAAAAGCAAAATCTTGAGATAATATTTACGTGAAATAGAAGATCCATTGGATGAAGTGCTTAGCTTCAAACTATTTCATAAAACAAGGACCGAAAACGGATCAGACAAATATGTATGTGCTTTATTAAGACCGAACGTTCGTAAGCACTCTTTTTGTCTTTCGGAAAGTAATATATTACTAGAGATGGTGTTATTTTTTAAGAAACAACAACTCTGCCATCTGAATTTTGTTGCCTTTAGACTTAAGGTCACTCAGTCAACTTGCACAGCATGGTACATGTTCCGGTAAATATTAGCCAGATAAAATAAATATACGATAGGTAATACTGATAGATAAAACAAAATAACATCTAGAAGTTAATAAGTAATAACTGTAAAAGAACAGCTACAATGTTATATATAAAAAAGTCGAAAATACAACAGTACCTTTAGAATCATGTTTCTGTGACCATACCACTGTTGGTGTTATGATAACTGGATTAACTGATTGATCATCACGTGACATATATTTACATGTATCTCTAGCACAATAAATCATTGTAACAAATTGATGAACAAGGCGTAACAAGGATAAATTGACATGTTGTCGAATAAAATCAATATGTAAAATGATATCCATTTAGTAGTGGTTTGCATTTGACTCAAATGATTCGTTTTTTGTTTCTACAGGAGAAAGTGGACAAAAACATTGTTCAGTTTGAACCGAAATAATGAAAATATGAAGATGAGTATCTTAACCATTTCCAGATTAAATGTTTAATAGTATTATTATTCAGTGAAAGCTAATTTTTAAAAAAGATTTCTTAATCATAGATACTCGAATAAACAATCAACTAGGTTGACAAGTGATTAAAAAGTAGCCCCGGACATGTATTTACTAACTGTGAGGGATTCATCAGTAAGGTGTACCAATTCTAATTGAACAAATCCATTTACTCATTAAGTCGTAAACAGTGTCGTCACCTATCGTGGTACAGTGTAAGATGAGTTCGAGTCCCAAAGAAAGTATTAGTAACCTCCAACGTACCTTATTAACGAAACCGCAGAAAAGAAATTTAGATTCATGACCTTCTGAAAATCGCTTCCAATCAGAATAAATACTATTAGTGTTCTACGGTGCAGTATTTATTCTGAATAATGTTGAAGTGTAAAATCGCTTGAAACTACACTAACAATGATGTGAACATTCAACAATAAAAATAGTTTGGACTAAAAAGTAGCTCGATATGACCTAGATAGTACACTTCCTGAACTACGAAAAAGTAGGAAACATGGAGATATGAAGTTCACCACTACAATATTTGGAATCGTATGACTATTAATTATAAAATAACAACAGTAAAAACCTCATTAGAGAATAAAATATATGCTGACTTACATGAGACGTAAATGAGGTACCACTGTAGTCAACAATATCGCGTAATATCAAATGTGATGCAAAATTACAACATAAAAACGCTGATTGTCTTTGGAAACATGTTTGCTGAGTAAATGAGCGATTAGTTGGTCGAGGGTTGTTAGGATCATTTATCTGCTCAGATGCAGGATGCTTCGGTAAAGAATGAAAAATGGGATTACGAGCGGACGAAACAATTTCGATTTGAAATGTTTGTAGAAGACCATCAATGGAGAGAAAACCATCAAATTTCTTCATTAAGGTTGTGCGACGAATACCCTATAAATCAAGAGTAACTGCAGTATATATATATATATATATATATATATATATATATATATATATATATATATATATATATATATATATATATAATCAACTGTGTAAAATAACTTACGTTAATTTTTCCTTACATGCAGAAGGGATTCTGATTTAACAGCAAGCAAAGGTTGTTGTGTTCTACAACCTTGACCAAATGGCTAGTAATCAAATTAACTGTCGCTACAGAGTGAGCTAAAGTCTAGTCAGGTTGGTGAAAGCCGTAACACTGGCCGTTGTCAAACGAAAATTAAAGTGATAAATTCAATGACTTGAAGGAGCTGTAGTCATTTACTTATACGAGTTAAACACTCACAAATACAATACAAAAAACATAAGAAATTCAAGAAAATCATGAACCGATCCAAGTTAGACCGCCATTGGGAACCTGAGCGCCGTTTCGTCCTAGTTTGAGACTTTTCAGAAGTGTGCATACAAGATACTGCACACAGTAATCAAACCCAGGACTTTTGGTATCTCATAATCTTAATTTCTAGACCACTAGGTCTGGGTTAGATTCATGAATACGGGGTTGCGGGTACGCACTGCTGAAGAGTCCCATACTAGGACGAAACGGTCACCCAGTGCTTCCACGTTTTCAAGACTGTGTAGTGTTAGTCATTAGTTTTAGCCCATAATATATCTTATTCTAGTTTCCGGACATTCCATTTTATTCATTCTACTTGAGTCATATTTTGACCTTGTCAATTATTCGCTTGTCAGTCTTGACTGTTTTTATATGAGCGTATATGTGTGTACACTTCATGTCCCATGATTCATCAAATGTCTGTAGTTTATTTTGTCTGCCTATAAATATTGAGTAACGCTTAATTAAAAAGGGAGTTGGCTTCCCAGCCATCCTCCCTGCGTGTCATTTTGCTTGGCTCTGTTTCATTCACTTCATATACAAATATATGTATTCACAAATCAGTTCTCGTTAATCGACTTATTTAATTCCGTTATTGGCTAACGCGATTAAGTCGACGATTATATACGAGAATAGGTGATAGCAAACATTTATACGATCTAAATGGAGTCAGATCAAACGGGCCACCAAAAGTGATCTAAACAAGATTGGTGCATGGTTTCACTGAAATTCAACAATCTCTACAAACCCATTATGGAAATGAAATGAATTATTCGAAAGTACAAATACAAATAAAACCCTAGGCATTATCACAAAACATTACTGTTGTGAGAAAACTAATAAACTGTCGCCCACACAATAGGGAAACATGGAATAAGTCAGTAAGTGGACTTTGTTTACTCATTTATATCTACACCAAATAATTACACTTAAACGAACTTTTAAACACCAGTTGGACCAAAATACTGGAATTAGGTTCCAGAGAATAAACATTAATTGCCTTAACAACAGCTTTTTACTAGGATCTGTGGTTAAATATACCCAGGTTTAAGAGTTTAATATTTTTAACATTCGTGTTTATAATCTGTGGGCGTCCTTTTTATTTTGGTCATTTAAACACAAACATTGGTGCAAGGAGGCAACGAATATATATGAGCCACACTTCGTCATTCGATTTGTTTGAGGACTGGGATACTGTCCGGACGTCTAAACAGGAATGGGTGGGTAACCACTCTCCGAACCTTTGACCTAGAGGTCTAATCCACAAGGTAGTGGAGCAACGTAAAAAGATGCAGTCCCATGGTAACTGGTGACCAACAATAGGTTCATATGCCATTTATTCCATCAGGATCCTGGAAGCCATGTGCACCATTAGTTTGGAATCAAGATTTTCCAAATCCCCTAGTTGGATCCTCCATATCCATCAACTCGGTTGAAGCGCCGGACATTTGCTTTTCATCCTTTCAATTTCGTAAACAACAGTAATACCACGGAAAGGCAGTGAGTAGAACTTCTTTATACAGAAACTAATGACTAAAACATTCGGCAATATAAAATGAGATTTGTACTGATTGATGCATATGGTGACCAAGTAAACTTTACAGAAAGATGTATAGTTATATAAACTGGAGAATCGCGCTAGCAGTTTACAAATCCAATGGAACCGTATAATAATAAACAAATCTTATTGAATAAAAAGTCATATCACATAACAACAATTGTAACAATAAAGAGATTTAATCACAGAATCATCTGAAAAAAATGAGTAAACAACTTACCTTGATGCTTAGTCCGACTGATTCTAGCAATGGTGAGAAAAGGCTTTGTATATAAGCCATATAACGATATTGAGCATTCAAATGAGCGGCTTGTTCGAAATCAGCTGTTGTAATTTTATAACCTGTAGTACACAAGTGATCAAAGTTTGAGGTATTCAAAATCTGTTTTTCTTTTGTACACTTTATTGGTTTTTTTGATGAAGTTTTAGAACTGTTATCGGTGGATACTGCTGTTGTAAAGTGATCATTTTCACAAACTTGTAAATCTATACCACTTACGGAAGATAATCTATGTGCAAACGATGCATCAACAGTATTATTTTGATTGGAGTCAGTGATATTTGCTGAAGACTGTGGGATTGAGGAAGTAACTTTAGACGTTAAAGAGTGTCTACAAATATATATATATATAAGGAAACCAGAAAAACAATAATCACAAAAGAAGACCGACTAAAAGTTATAAGAAATAATACCCAGTTAGTTGATATACATAATTAGGATGGATAAATGATAGTTATGAAAATATATCAAACATTTCGTAATAAATATTCACCTTGTCTGTACTACAATATTCAATATAACATAGTATGAAACAAAGTAGAACAAATTACAACTTATATGTACCTAAATAATAAATAAATAATAAAGATAACTAATCAAGATTATAAATCGAAGAACCTACTCCATGATATTTGCTCTGGCATCTTGAAGAAAACGTTTCATAATTGGATTATGAATTAAAGGATCACCAGTATCATTATTGCAATCACTTAATTGATCAGTTGCATCCCAATACACTTCATCTGTTTGATCGTAGATATCATCATTTATTAGATTTGATCCTTGTATATTATCATTGATAGGTTTATCAGTTAAGTAATGAATATTATCATCTGATTGTTTTCTACAAAACCCTATATCTATTTTAGAACAAAGAAAAAGGAATACTTCAATGTATGTGAAATATAAATATATCTTGTTGAGTCGCTAATCAAAATGTAAACAGTTGTTTAGTGAAAAAAATTTACTACAGCCGTACAGTTGTATTAATAATGATCTTTACATAAAGTAGTATGTAACAAATTAAAAAGGTATTATATTATTAGCAGTTATTAAAAATTGAGTTTTCGAGTATCGAATATTAAGAAATAGTGGAATGAAAACATTGAAAGAAATTCAAATATAATTGTGACGTAAATAGAGGAATAAAGAAGCTATGACGAAAAACCGAAGCTACTTTTGGGAACATTATTTCACTTAATTCAAAGTTTGCAAAATAGTAATATTTAGTTTTGTTCTTAGATTATTCGATAAACCATAAGCTTTCATTTAATGCATGATTCACTGTTATTCCATCTTCTATTCCAAAACTATTGTAATTTAAAAGTAACCTATTGCGCTCTATTTTTCCAACTTAATGCTTGGTTTAGACATAATTGTATTTTTCTAATTGTTTGTTCGTTATGGCTGTGTTACTGATCTATCTATTCATATATCTTTTTAAACTTATCTGAACTGGGAATCGTTAAGATGAGAAGTATACGATAGGAAATAATATCGAAACCAGTGTAAGTCTAAATACGAAAAACAAAAGTAAAGAGGACTAAGTCAAGTCGAAAGATGGAAAGTTAAAAAATGTGACTTAATATTTAGAAGACAGAAAATGGATTCAAATGTGACACTGTAATGTCTTCAATCATTGATTACATGGGATTCAAGAAAACTTTCGGCAACTTCCAACATGGTTCAAACCAACAGTTAACAACTTAATGAACTGATAGTATTTCTTGATTTACCAGTGTTGTAACATGGGAGAAAAAATCACATGGCTACATACACTCTTATCTGACCGTTCAATCGAGAATTAGACACAAATAACCTAGTTTGTTGACAGAAATACAATTTGGGATGAAATTAAACATTTATGAAAGACATTTTAGGTATTTGTTGATTTTGATAAATCAATTACTGATTACATTGTCCGGTTATGTCTGATGTGTACATTAATATTCACCGAATTGGAATGAATGACGAGAATGCCTCTCTCATAGAGATATCAGAAAACGCTTTAGGTAATATTTTAATAAGGCCATGGATCATATTTATACATTGACAATGTTTATCGCCATATTACAATCGAATAGCAACGCTTAAACTGACTTGAGTTAATATTTGCAGTTGGTTTCAATCCATCTTCAATATTTGTTAACCCTGCTCTAGTAGGACGAGGAGATGTTGGAGACAACGAACCAACAACCATTTTCAATAGGCGAGATGTAACTGCAGGACTAGGAGTTGTAAGATAATTTCCAGTTTTTGGATTTGTTATAAGTGGTTTTCCAGTTCCAGTTTGCTGAAGTGAGTCATTATCTTTAATCTGACAATCATTAGAAGTACTAAACATTGAACCAGCTTTACGGATAATAAATGAAGATTCATCAAAGTTATTCTGACGAACATCAACTGCATAATTAGTGCACAAAGGAATTGAAGGTGTTGCAAACTCTCGTAAAGCTCTCAAATCTGATACACTTACGGCAAGAGAATCAACTAAGAAACGCCATTCTCGTGTTAATGAGAGAATTCCACGATGAAGGAATTCATTTTCGGGAACAACAGAATCTTTAAGCATTTCAGCTAAAAGTTCGTCAGCTCTTGATATTCCATAATAATCACTCATTGTTAGTAGATAACGCCGCAAGACAATTAATAACTGACAACTAGGATCAAAGCGTAATACATGGGCAGTTTCTGTACGATGTAGAGCATATCCCCCTAAATCCTAAAGAAAAATAAGAAGGAATAAAAGCCTGTAGTCAAAAAGTCTCATTTTATTCACAATAACGATAACAACGGAGAACAAACAGTCTAGCTGAGGATGGTTTATAAAATTACTTTAAAACCTGTAATATGAACCAGTAGAAGAAACGACTGGGATTTAGTAGGATATAAGTTAGTTTAAAAATCATCACTTGTTAGTAATTTGTAGATTGAATAATTTAAGAGTCTAAACCGCAGTAATGTACTAGACTGTAATGAACGTTGTTAATTAGTATGTAGTTTGTAAATATTTTTTTACTTAGAATTCAGTAGCAATTAATTCATCTTATATATATCATTGGAATTAAAAAATGACAACTAAATAATTCAGTATCTTAACAAGGAAAAAATAACAAAATGTTTAAAATAAACATTACATCATTTTTCATAACTAATTGGACTTTATTTCTGATTGGGTATGAATATCGTTTATTATTATTATTCATTGTATTCAGAACCTCTGATCTTGGATTAACAACTTCAGTCATAAGACAGGAAATAACAGATAAAAGACGGCGTTCTGAATTTGATCGAAACTGTTTACAAACATCAATTAAACGATTACAAGGATCTATCCATGCACGAATAGTCGGAGCAGCAGTGCTCAGTAAATTCCAATCAGATCTACATTAAGCAACAAAAAAATAAATATCATGTCAACCCGTTGAACTTTGCAACAAAACAATACGAAAGAAAAATATTGATGAAGGGGCTTTGTAAAAATCACTTTTAAAACTCATTGGTTGAAGAACAATTTACGAATAAAATATGGGTGACGAAATTTTTAGCAAACCACAGTCAGTTATATGCAAGGTAGAGTCTAACACATACATGCATCGGTTCAAGTTGCCACATTACTTTAGCGTAGCGAGATAAAATTTGCAAGAAAAAACGTGAAATCCTTCTGCTCTGTTCAAGCCGATTCCGGCCCATATCACCAAAAATATCAAACCGTTGGTTTTATAATCGCCTGGACTACAACCAGCTAGTTTGTTTCCACCAACATGACTCAGCTCGACTGTCAGTGACTTCATGGACTGGTGTCACGTTTTCATTTTTTTGTACCCAAAGATTTCTTTCAGCCTACTCGTACATCAACAGGCATCATGTATTGAAGTACGGAGTGGCTGGCCATGAGGCACATTATCCCATTATTATAAAAAATCAAACGGATGGTAGTAAACCTATTTAACGTGCATTCATTCGAAATTCCCTCATCGGCTTTACACAGTGCGAATTCTAATTGTATTAAAGTAATTTACTTCTCTTCAGTAATATCTAGACATTTACCAAAAGCTTATGATAGTATATTGCATTTAAATTCTAAAAAAAATAACATATTTAGTACATACACACGAATGTATTCAATGGTGTTCCTGATGATCAAACTTGTTACCTGATAAGTTCTATTCTTCTTTTATTAGGTAAACGCTTCGGTGCAGCAAAATTAAGCCATACTGTATTAACAACTAATTTTGATGATAAACCGTTGACATAATTCACTTTTTTATCATTCGGCGAATTAAAAGCCTGAGCTTGAGGAGAAGTATTATGTCCAGAAGGAGCAGTCTAAAATCAAAGTATAAATTAGTAAATTTTCTTTTTTATGCATTGAGCAATTAACATGTATGAAAAACATTTGTTTATATCAACTGTGAAAATCGAGCTATGGATTGGGATTATGATTAAAGGAAAGATTATGAGTATCATTACATGGTCTATATGAAGCAGCCAAGTTTATAGTTAGATTTTGCTTCAAAGATAACAACCGACCTTGTCAATAATTAAATAAATAGATTTGCTTCTGCTTACGTTTGTGAAAAAAAGGTTACGAATTCGATAAAAATGAGATAATAGTTGACTTAAATTCACAAGAAACAAAATAAGTATTTATGGTATGTGTTAAACTAATGAAGCAGAATGATAATTCTATGTTCCAGTTTCATTTAGAGAGTTAAATTGTAACTAACGAATAGAAATGAAAGCATACAGTAATATTAACTAAGCCCATTAGATCTGTGTAGTTTCCCGAAAATCTAAACGACATCCAATGAAGTGTAGCCTAAGTGGTCAGAGCACTCTCTTTCAGCTAGCAAATATGTGATCCGAAATACGTATGAATCACTTAAGGTTGAACAGCCGGGTGGTAGCATCATGAAACCCTATCCTACCAATAAGACTAAAAACATATTACACGATTCCTGTTTATGGCAAATGAAACTAAGTGAAAAAATGACATCTGGACTCAAACATTATCGAACATAGGTAACTTTTACATACAAATAATCAAATTATGTTTGAAATAAATCACGAGTTACTGGAAGTAAGCACTGTTATGAAAAAACAAACAGCTATTTATTGACGAAAGACATGATGAAACGTATCACAAAATTCTTTAGTAGGTTTTCATTTACCTCATTACAAGTGTATTTCGGTTGTTGGTCGGTAGATGTAGTCTTTGTAACCTGTTCGACTGATACTGGGTCAGGGAACCCACTACGCTGAACCCAGGAAAATGCTAAACCTTGTAAGCCACACTCAAACATAATCCAACCGAAACTTTGTTCTTCAAAATATTTGGATGGACATGAAGATTCACCTGTAGAACTAAGATTGGAATTACATGGATCCGATATGAAACGAAAGAATGCTCTAGAGGATTCAAAAGGTATTGCTGTTAGTAAAACATCTGCATTGAATTGACTGTGACGTGTAAGACGACGCAATTGTCCATGAATTCTTTGTACTGTTACTTGACAAACTAATTCACTTCCTAAATGTTCACTATCCAGTGAATTACTGATAACAAAATTCGGCTCGTTCACAGGTGGCTTCATATAACTTAAATTGACGGCATCTATAAATTGAATTACATGGGAAAAAAGAAATCGCTAAGAGTTAACTAAAAATAGTCAAAATTTATCATAAGAGATATAGCGCTGTCATATATACTTATTTAAGCAATAAACATTGGTACAAAAGGGCATCAAATACATATGCGCCACAGTTTATCACTCAATTTGTGTGAGGGTCAGAATACTGCACGAGCGCCCTTATCAAATTTTAGTATATTTCAAGTTAAGTTTGAGTTTCGGTATGAATATCAACAATGGAATATAGGTATATCCAGCCTACGAGTTTTAGATAGGAAGAAATGTATGGGTCCTTAGGCTAACTCTATTAAACCTTGCTTTGTGTTCAAAAAAGGGAGATAAGAATACAAATGCTATCTAACACTACACTGAATTAAACTCCAAGTCGGTAATGTAGTCTACAACATGTCTAGTGCAAAATATATTTCATCTAGTATATATATATATATATATATTTCATCTAGTAAATATTTAAAAGAGCAGTTTCCACAACAATGAACAGTAAAATAAATAATGAACACTTCAATGTGGAGAACAATTTCTGAGAAAGAGAACAAAAAAACTTAGCAGACAACAAACAACTTGTGTGGAAATAACACTTACCACCAACTTTTCGATTGGGCTTCGAACCCGACAACGAATAAATATATTCCATACTAGGTGATTTAATATTGTTAACCTTATGACTGTCAACCAGTTTCATGGATCTATTTTCGTCTACATGTTCTGATTTTCTTTGACATTGATATTCACTACCTTTCAGATCATCCAAAAGAGTATCGTGCCATTCGTTTGATTTTTGCATAATATTGATTGGTTCAGAGGATTGAGCAAATGTATCATAAGTATGACTTAAGTCAGGCGAATTGTATAGAACAGGCGGAGCAGATGGTTGTCTCTTATGTTTTTTTCTAACAGGGAATGAATTGTTTTCTTCTTCATCATTATTTTTATTATTACTGTTGTCCTTATAAATAATGTTGTGTCGTTCTGATAGATCAGAATAAGTTTGAAACATATCATGAACACTGGATGAAATATTTTTCATTGAAATATTATCTTTTTGGAACTTGGTGGTATTCTGTACGTTACTGGTACTTGGTGGTTTAACAGTGAGATGAATTGAGTCAGCTGTTGATGATGCTACAACAGGTCGATTACTAATATTTGAATCAGGTGTAGATATGCTGTTATGTTTATCCGGTAAATGAGCATTAACAGACTTATCACTTAATGATTGTCGTTTATATGATGCCATTAACTAGTTAATGAAGAAAAATTAATGAGGAAATAAAGGGTGTATTAGTTTTAGAATGTGAAAATTCATGAGTAATCAAGAAATTACAAGTAATTTTGTTTATATTACTTAAATAAGTAGTTCTGAGATTTCCAGTTTGTAATGAAAACAACACAACCTAGTGGGAAATTAAGTTGAAAGAACCACAGTCAACAATAGGTGACTTTGAACGTAGTGTGTTGTGAATTATTGATAACTATATAGGTAGCCAAAGATTATGAAAATTTCTTGAGTTTTAACAGGATTAATACAACTAAACAATCGATCATTTCCAACTTACACAAAAGAAATAACTATGTAATTACGGCAGAAAGTATAATAAATGAATTTCTTCACGATTTTCACAACTATGATTTCATTATAGTCAAAAATACGGAAAATTCACGTAAATAGTACTGAATTGAAAACCTAACTGTAGCTCAAAGTGTATACATATCTAAACTTGCATTTTTAAACTGACAATACAATACAATTTACACATACCATTACCTAAGAGTACAAACATTGATTCAATAAAAAATCACCGTGAAAAACGGAGAATTTCCTTTCGAAATGGAGATATATCAGTGAATGTGAAAAGGGTAACTAGCACTTGAGTAGACAAACAAAAATAGTGATATAATAATAATAATAATAAACTTACTTCAAAAGAAAATGAATCAATACAAAATGTCATCAAAGATACACATGTTAAATCATGTAGACCAGATTTTAAACTGTCTAAATGAACTAAATCTTCAACAGCATAAAGTTGTAAAAATGAAATATGAATTCGTTCCACTGATAATGAAGCTACTTTACTTGATAAAATTGAAATGATTGATGAATTATTCAATGGCGAAGTAGAATTATCATCATTTTGTAACTGATGATCTGATAATTCAGAAACTAAACACAATGGTTTAGATGTATTTGAAGTATTCTTTTTAAATTTAATGGTATCTTGACTATTTGACACTGAAGATAAGAATATTTATAAAGAAATAGATAAAAACATGGATCTTTATAAAAATAACTTATACTACTAAGTTCAAGTTTTAATAAGGAAACATATTGAGAGAAATAATGGATGATTCGTTTTATTGTAAAAGTAAAGAGTTGAGATATTAACACACGAAAGTAATTCAATGAATTCATTGATTGTTGGTTATACCAATGCTGAATAGGCATAGACATCTTGGTTGAATTTTAATCAATATTTGTGACTATTGGTTGATGATACTGTGTGACATGGAGCTTAATAAGTCCTAATGTACCAAATACATTTATACCCAATCTTCCCTGGATCTTGAATCAAGTATCATTTTTGGTTTTCCAGCCATCAATCCCATGATTTCCTTTAAAACTGTATTTTGTTGTTTTTAGATTTTTATTCAGGTTAAAAATAATTCCCATCTTCGCTTGATTGACAGAAGAATGGCAGTGGTGATTCATCTACAACTGACAATTCTCATCCTATTTTTACCCCTATTAAAACAAATACTACATATGTGACTAAGTGTTTTAATAAGTGTAAACAGGCTAACATAATTACCAAAAGTTTACATGATCCTTAGTTTACCTACTGTGTTGTTGGCATAAGAAACAACAAAACACACAACAATCATCGTGAGTGAAATAATCATAATAGTAACAATAAATTATAATATCTTGGAAATAATATAATTATGATTATGTACTCACTTAACTCGTAATCTGCCGATATCCTTCGAATTCTGAAAGATTTAGAAGTAACAGTCTGATGAGATACATTACTAGGCATTGCATCTTGAGCAGAACGTGAACTAAGAAGATTATGTAATATTGACTGGCGTTCTTCTACAGGAGCAGCAATAGTTGATAACTTATCACCAAAAACAGAACGTGATGAATGGTTTGGTTTTACTTTTTGAGCAGAAGAATTTTGACTTTTTGGTATTATATTATGAGTGGAATTGAGCAAAGGTTTGACTTGATGCTCCACCGATTTTACGCACCTATAGTGCATTGAATCCACAATTGATGAGGGTGAGGTAGTTCTTGCAATTGGCATAAGTATTTTTATATATCTGAAATAAATAAACGTCTACTTAATCATTTACAAAAGAATATATAAGACTGAAAATAAACGAATACAACATAATATATAAAAACAATGTAGCGGCTTAAAAATAAATCATATGTTAGGTCAGTTATATTGTTTTGTCGACTTAGAATTTCATGACATAAATAACTCGTCAATTATTATAAATTGTACAGTACTTTGTTATGAAATAGAATAACTAAGAACTTTATGTTTTAAAAAAATATCATGATTAAATATATAAAACTTCAAAAACCAGGCATTACTACTGTTACTCAAACAAGGTTAGCCTATGTGTAATGAACAGAGTTAAAAGGAAGGTTTATGTTCACAATATATTTGTTCATCCATTCAGATCGGAGTTAGATTTCGAGCAACTAAATATTCTAGTTCTTTATTTAAACCAACAATATCACAGGTTAATATAATTGAAAAAATGACTGCAACCAATATTGTAACTATAAATCTTGTAATCTTTTAATTGTCATTGCAAACCGTATCAAGATGAACAAGAGAACACAATTGACCGGCGATGTTTAATGGAAACCTCAAAAAGAAAAAAACTGATTAGTAAAACAAATGTCGTTAATCAAATGAAAATTATTTATAGACGACATAATAAAATTTTTATAAAATAGAAAAAGGAATGATTTACCTTTCAAGTGATTCCGTCAAAAGTGGAGTAAGAAGTAAGTTAATTGGACCTTTAAGCCAAACAATAGCTTTCGATTTCACAGTAGTAGTTCCAGAATCAGCATTATCTGAGAGAGAAAAAAAATAAGTGCTTAGTGGGTTTCTACACAATGCACTAAAATAAAAGTTGCCTTATATTGTATTTTATTAATTGACATAGTAATCTATAAAAATATACCCCTTTTTCACTAGGGTAAAACTAAAAACTAATTACTGAATTAATTAGTGTACAACAGAAACAACTCAATCTTAACATATTAAATGCATAAAATGGGCACGAATAATAAGAAGTATTGATGGTTGCCCGGAGTATGCTACTTATGCTGATAGTATAAGTAGTAGCAGTATTAGCAGTAATCGGAAGCGAATGCCTGACAGCAGAAGATTGAAATGAAAAGAACAGGAAGGAAACCGAAGAGCAGTCAAAGTAACAACAGAATAAGGGGAACAGTGGAGTATTTAAAGGACAACTGAAGGAAGCTGTGCAAATGATGTATTTAATGTACGATTTTCATATTGTACTAAGCTACTGTGTGATTTTGCATCTAACAATAAATCGGTTTTCCCACCTGAATTTCGTTCACTACAGTTGAAGTATAATGTGTTATGACCGATGTGGGGTTCTCTTCATATACAAAAATGAATTTACGTTAGGTAGGATGGACGACTAACACATAGTAACATTTAAAGTTAATAACACACACACGAAGAAGAGAGAGGAAAGATGGGACTTTCAGGAAAGCTTTAACATTCCTAACGGAAGTCGAAAAAATAATAGCAACAACTATTGCCTTGAAACATAGTGAAAATAGAAAACTAAGACCATTTTCACCAACCAGACAATACCAAATGTCAGCAGAGTTTAATTGGGTGGAAAGAACATGCTGCAGACTTCCTTACATTGTCAGAACCATATGAAAACCAAGATAATTTTAGGCTTTGCTAAAGAAGCCACAAACCACGAAATAGTTTTTCTACATAGTAGTTGAAAATTTAGAGATATTCTTCATTTGTAAAAGGAAACGGGAGATTAGGGCGATGGGAAAAACAACTGCAACCGATTCCCAAAGGGAGTAAACAGACCAAAAGAATCTTGGTTGAACTAAATAACAAGTAACTAAAAACCACCTCAAATAAAAGCAGAACAAATACACTTCAATGAAATTAAAAAGTGACTCTCCACGTTTATTTTTTCCCGTTCTTATCTTTTGCTACATTATAGATAAATAAATGTATTACAATCACTTACAATTTGATTCTTTCTGTGTCAAATCTGGAGGATTCGAAGGAGGAATAGCAGGATGTGATGGAGTTGAGTCTGAACGAATAGTAATGGACTGGGATGAGAAACCGGTATGCCGAATCTGAAAACGTGGAGCAATAGCAATTTTAGGTTGACATTGACGGAGAAGATCGAAAACTGTTACATTCTGATGAGGTGACGATTTTGAATGACTTGAGCATGAATTTTTATCAACTCTTAACAGATTATCTAGTGAACGTAGGCAGGTGTTCCAGGGTATATATGTTTACAAATATGCCAACGATTTCGGAGACTTATTGGGCAGGTTAAACCGGCTACACATTTAAATGAGCTTAAATGTCGACCGTAAGCTGGACGTAGGAGACCACTCTCGCTTATTGGTCTATTTAATTGAGTCCGGAGATCTGAAAATAATAGAATCACATAAAAGACAATGCTTCTGTGATGCGTAATTTCTGTCAGCAATAATCGAAATTTAATAAAAACGAAAGAGACTGGTCATTAATTAGTTTAGTATAAAATGTACTTAAACTTATCTAAGTACATTTCAGTTACTCAAAAACAATGAGGAATCAAAATGTTGGCAAATAAAATAAAATGTATTAATTATAAGTTAGTGGTTGCGTGAAATATGTAAATAAAACAATTGTAAAACAACTTAAGGTCACGATTTTCCACATCATGGTTTTAATATGAGGATACGAGTTAATATTTGAAGAATATCAATACATCCAACAATAAAGCATTAATTTCATATCACTCGTAGAATCATTTAAAAGACAGTAGTTTCAGGATTGTAGAGTGATGTGAACAGTGAAAAAAAGCAAATTAAAGTTTTTGGGGAAGATCACAAAAATATCTGGCTGACTGTTGTCAAACATAACCATTAATTACTATGAATTGAAATGACCACTCTAAATATCCAGTCGAAGAATTTAAAATGCTACTATGAATTGAAAGTATGAAAAATGCGAAAAAATGTCTCATAAGATTTGAAACAATCATGACGAATTCAGAGTAAAACATGAAGAATTCAAAGAAATAATAATGATAATAATTTGTACCTACCGACAAGATTTTCAAAAGCATCATCAAACTCTTTTCTGTTTTCATCTAAGTCTTTAGATTCGATATTTATGCTTTTTTCATGAGTAGAAATCTCCATGTTGTGTGATTCATTCCGTCTTTTTTCTTTAATATAATGCTGATCTCTGATAAATTTTCGAGGTGGTGGAGTTGGGGGTGACTTACAATGTGATGACGATGATGAACCAATACGAATATTTTCCATGTGTGACTGTGTCTCAGTATTGTTGTTATTACTATGAATTGGATGAATTAAACTATTATTTGACAAACTGTCATATGAAGTGCCCGAATGTGGAGGCAGTTCAATAGGAGTATTCAGTGATAAATTTGATGGTAGATAACTTGACTTTTTTATTTCATTTTTAATATTTGTGGTTGAGTGCAATGATGATATTTCTTGAAAAAAAAGAGGAAAACAAGTGATGACAATTAGGGAGGGGCAACAAAATTGAGTAATGCGTATATAAAAGAAATATAAACATATGTTTATATATAAGTTAATTACCTTTTTATGTATGACACGCTGAAGTGGCACAAGAACGATTTTGTTTTTATTAGTATAAAGGTTTATGGAGATTGTTGAATTAAATAATTTACATTTCTAACTACATTGCATACTAACTCATTAGTCTAAAAGCTCTAACTGAGAGACTTAAGGGTTCTGGGTTCGATCCACGGTAGGATGGTAAATGAGCATTACTGAGCCCCTTATATTAAGACGAAATAGTTATCCAATCCGTGACAGTTTTCAACCGCTGGCTAACTAAAGTTAATTCATGATGTAAAGTAAAATTTTCATTACATTTTAAGTTCATTTTATCTGATTTGTCGTCTAATTCGATTCTTGTGACTTTACTCCCGTAATCTGCGTGACCAGATCTATTACATATAAATAAGGATCGACCTCGCTAATAGCATCAAATGTCTTTTGTTTTTTTTATTTTTTGTACTTCTAACTTATTTTTGGTTTCAATCTAACTATTCTTCAAGGCATTTATCAATTTTCTAACTGATAGGAAGGTATAAAATACAATGAATTCAATTTATTTTGTTAATTCTATTGTTCTAGCTCTGTTTAAAATCATAAAAAATCGGCTAAATGAAATAAAGAAATATGAAAGTTAAAACTTGGAGTTCATACAATCGGAGTTAATGACTTAATGATCTAAGTGTTTTTAAAAAGTATGGCAATAAAGTACATACGTCTGTGATTTAAAAATGAACTCCGAACATAAACAATAGAAAAATCTCTCAAAATAGTTCATTTAACAAATGCTGGTTTATATGTTCAGTTTTGAATCAAAATTTTGTGTGCACATGTAAGGAATAATGATATTATTCAGAAGTCTAAAAGGAAGTAGGTGGGCGGGAATCATACCTACAACCCAATGGTTGTGAGTTATGTTAATAGGAGTAAAGACATCAAGATGTTGCCGTAACTTAAATATGGATACATTTCTATTTGATAACAGACAGAAATGGTTATCACTAACTAGGTGCGGGGAAAATTTTCAAAGCTTACAGATATTGGATAGCGTGAAACTGTGATTATAAATAATAGAACCCCTGAATGGTCAATCAATGAGATACAATTTGGACCCAAACCAAAAAAGAGCGAATGTTTTTAAAAAACGAAAGCCATTATTACCTATCAACCATAACTTATAAAGAGCCCCACTATGACCAATGTAAAACACCCTCTACATATAGTTATTAATGAAGTGTGGCTGATATTGTCTAACAATCAACAGTGATTAGGTTGTTATTTAACAATGGATTCAGAAAGCTCGATTGGCTTATGTCAGCTGGCGTCACCTATAGCGTAGTCGAGGTATCAGTCCGCTAACAAATAGAAGAGCATACTAACCAGAAGTTTATTCTGTATTACTCTATGACTGTGAAACATGACCTAAGAAAACAGAAAAAGTTCGCAGACTAAGATTTTGATCATAGGTGTATTCGAAGCATTGCTCAGACGTTATGGAACTACATAAAAAAATACTCACTGAGATAAGCGCAGAGCACCAGTCGGAGATAGATAATCGGTTGATAAGGTTGTGAATCTTCATAGACTGAGGTAGTTGAGACATATGGTACGTATGTGCAGGTACCACCTTCCTCGGCACAAGATGTTCGCGGCGTAAGGTGTAGATTGTAAGAAAGCTAGGGTGGTCAAACCAAAAGGTGTCATGAGTCCATCAAATGGTCGACAGTTTTTTAATCATAATGGTAAAGGGAGACTAAGGCAGGTTCATGTGATAACTATGGTCACTAGTTGGAAATAATGGCTGACATGGAATGGAACCGGTCTAGATCCTGAACTACAGTATACCATTATATACACCTCATTCCCTCTTGTTGAACCACATTCTCAACGTTTATTCTGTTCATACTGTTGCTACAATACTATGATTTTTTTCGACATTCATTTTGTTAAATTCATCTTGACGAGTTAATGTGTTATAGGAACTCAGATTAACGCATATTTATGCTAGGTTTTAAGTTGATTACAACTGACTGATGTTTGGCTACCTGTCATCGTTATTCACATACATTTAATGTTGAATCAAATAGCTAACTACATGTGAAACGTTTTATTTTATCAAACAATCAATCTACAATAAACCCTTAGGAAAACCGATTAAATCTAAACGAGAAAATATAACATAAAATAATTGATTACCTTCACGTAATTTCTTAACTTCATTTGCTCGATTGCCTTCTAAATTGTCATTAACTGTCGCTAATAAAAGATCAGATAGAGATGAATGTTTAGTCTGTTGAGATACATTGAGTTCCATCCATGAATCTTTTGTCTTTGTTCTATTCGTTGAATATCTCATTTTATCCATTGAATCACAAGTAAGTAAATCTTTTAATGGATTATCTTTGGAATTTTTCAAAAATAAATCGACATCAGAAGTATCAGAATCATGTTCAATAAGCTGTTCCAAATTACTACTACTCTGATTAAAAGATGCATACGTTCCTAAACTATTGGAACTTCTGGTTGAATCTGTATCAGATTGATAGTGTTCCTCACAAAAATGCAGTAAATACCAATCCATCTAGAAAATTTGTTTGTTTTGTTTTGGAAAATTAACATTTTAAAAAACGATAGAACAATATACAGTCCATGTATAAAATTTGATAGCAAAAGCAAAAATAACAATCTAACCAATATAATTTTAAAATTACCTACTCTATAACATTATATTCTTTTCAATAAATTTTCCTCAGGTTCTACAATTAGGGTAAAGCACAAGCAAAACGGTGGTACCAAAGTTGCGCAGAGCAATCGAAAGAACTTTTATTGCGGGTAAACTACAATCAAAGTTTTCTACACTTCTGGTCACTCGGAGATTGAACGATAAATCACCTAGACAAGCTACTTCTTTCTGTATCTATTAACTCAAATGCGCTTGTGGAGCAAGTTATATAGGCAGATATTTGAAAATTTTTTGTTTCCGTGTTCTCGAACACCTCTCAGAGTGGTTAAGTAAAAGTATACTTAAAACAGTTAACAGCTCGATTTCAGCTCATTTAGTACAGACGGGTCATACAGTCAACATGGAACAATCATTTGCAATAATATATCGTGTTAGCACAAATCTGTCTACATCCGTCAGACTGAGAATCCTTCAGACGGCTGGAGAAATAGCTATTCGGATCAAAAAGCCAAAGCTGTGTGTTCAAAAGAAATATGCTCAACAACCTACTTCTGAACTAATGAGTTAATAATCATTCTTTTAATATGGTGAAGTAATTTCATTAATGTTCATTTTCATAGCTTAAACTTATCTTATTCGTGCATCCTATTATTATCCTATTATTATCACCTGCCAAGGTTTTTGGGAAATTTATTCAGCATCCAATCCTATTTACTTATCCCTACCTAATTCGCATTATTCTACATATTACGTAATTTCTGACTTGTAATTATATTATTCTCTCTCTCATACCATGTTAACCATATTTATTCTGACCTTTTATTTTTATATATAAATGCTCCTAACAAGTATATGTGTGATCAGATTGTTCGAAATGTATTGCGCTAATAATCACATAGTTCTGATAATCTTCGTCTTCTAATTACATTATCGAAATTTATTCTGATCACTTATCTATCGATTTCATTTAACGTATAAACTTATACAAGTTAACACTTCATATTAGTTACCTAAACAGTAACGATTTGATTTGATTTTACATGACAGACAATCCTTGATTCACATGTTATAATTTTAAATGATGTACACTGACCTTAAACCTGGCCAATTTTTTGGATGATTAATTTGGATAATAAACCTGAGGAGGATTCATCGAAAAGAATATTGTTCGTTCATATTAATTGTGTTTTACTATATATGCTTTGGTTATTTTCGATCAAAACCAATACAAAAGAAATGTAATTTATTGACTGTGATATATTGTTCATGTTTAATTTTTTACTATTATTCCATATTCCAATTAGTACATCGACTCTTTTAATTTTCACCATAAATTGATTACCTTTTAGTACATTTTCATGTAAAATGGAACAACTTGGAAAGTTTCAGAATTTTTATTGATTTATAACTTGTAAATAACTGACTGATGATATACGAATATCTAGAAGTGAATTTAGCTCAAGGTTACTAACATAATACGAAAGTGAATGAGCACTTTACTCGACAACTTAAAGTTCATCTGAATGATGAGTGGTTAAAATATAGACATAATGACTAATGTATTAATGTTCTTAGAAGTCTTGTAAAGTAATAATACAAAATGTGATGTATAATGTAAACAGAAGACATGTAGAAGGGAATTATGAATAAAAATCAGTTAATATTGATTATGTCAACTTCATTAGCCACAAGAATCACATCAACAAAGTATGAGATTGTACGATAAATCGAAAAGATGCTTCGTTACACAATTGTTTCAGCATTTGTTAAGAAGACAGCTAAATTACCTTAATCAACCTCTGGATAGATAATAATTCCATTATGAAATAAAAATATCATAAACAGAGATCATGAATAGCAAAAACGTGATCAACAGAGAATGGAGCAAATACATGCTATTTGGGATCATAGTAAAAATAATTTCCCAGACTGATCACGTGTTTATATACATGTTTTAGATTACCAGGCATTTATCATCTGACATACTGAAAAAAAACTTACACCTTTCTGAATACTGGCCTCAAGAAGAGCTGAAACAAGTTCCTCTCGCATAAGCAGTAAACCGTTATATTTCTCCAAACAGTCATCAGGAGAATGTAATTCATGTAACAGACAGTTAGGAAGTAAAAGACTTTCACCGAAACCTAAGCTTTTTGAGTTGGAGTCAAAAACTTTGGATGCAGGTATCTGTCTAAAATTTTTAATTGATAGAAAATACGAAAAACCAAAGCATAAATAATATTAAAAATCATCTCTAAATACTTAAGTTCTGTTCTCTGTATTCCAGTTGCTTAAATATTTAACATATGAGTTTTACGACCGAGTGATCAACCGTCCGTTTCTTATACAGACAATTGAAAAACAAATAACAGAATATTGTGATCAATAATAGAGTCAATCCAAATCACTGGAATATATATATCGTGACCATGTATCTTCATCTCGAATACCTATTTAATTGTATGATTTGTGAAACCAGTGTTTTCTTGAGAGCATGTAATGAACTCTGTTCATCTTTAAATGATTTTTATTCGGACTTTGAAGGTAGCGAATAAATCTACGTAATTCATTTGTATTGGTTATTTGAATCTCCCCATTGGTGTTTAGGACTACAATTGATTAGTCTTGTCTTGCATATGTACATCCTGTGCAGATTGTTTCGATATTGCCATTAACGTACAAGCATTATAAGGAGGGTTGGATGGTGAATAGCAAAGAAATTCAGGATGCACATTTCTTCCTATTCGGAACCTATCAGCAGGATGTGCCTAAGTAAATTTTTCATGGTAGTCCACTGACTTATCTTACCTATTTCGTTTCTACACGGATCTAATATAGAAATTCATTTATCTGATCGCAACTACTTAAGATATCTATAAATGAAACAAACAGTGACCACCTGACCTTTTGGACTTTCTGACAGAACAGATAAACAGGATGCGTACTCAAACAATTTCATTATGTTATCATCTAGAAACTTAGTTGTCTAAATTACAAAGAATAAGTCTAAAGTGACTATTTTTCTAGACAGAATTTTATCATGCCATATTTTCTAATTGAAAAATAACCAGTGGTTATCAATCTTTTAATTTAACATCTTAAAGTCGATGGATATAACCATTGAGATCCATCATAACAGAATCACATGTGATTTTTAAAAAACTATACAAGTATATTGACTTCATTTCAAAGACAAATCTAAATTCATTACCGGAAAGCAACCATAAGAAACTGAGTAGTCGCCAAATCCTATATATACAACAGGTACCATACTTTCCGTATAGAACTTACTAAACAGTGAAATTACCTACATAAATTAGAAGTAACAATAGAAATAATCCTTTAGTATAAAAAGGCAGTGAGTAGTGGAGGTCAACTTACTGATTAACACCAAAAGCTGGTTGATTTTCATCATTATTAGTATTATCTGATGGTGTAAATAAATCAGGTTTATAATCAGCTCTAGATGGAAATATAGCACGTTGTCGAAAGTCACCAGATGATAATTCGTGAAACAAAATTCGTCCACTTTCGTTTTGTCCAAAAAATGAACATTGACCATAGCATCCACAATTGGGTATTATATCTGGAGCAGTATAACCGGGTATGCCTTTCTAATCAAAAATCTGTTTTCTGTAGTAGAAAATGCATTCGATGATTTTGTGGTATGACGTGAATTTAAACTGGAATTACGAAGTGTCCCACTGATAACATCATTATTATCTGACCAAAGAAATGATAAACGTTTAGTTGTTAAATCATGACGTTTAAGAAAATCCAATTGCCAATTGAGATGATTACGTTTTTCTGGTGTCCTGGAAAGATTAATGTGAACTGGACCAAGAGAAAATGAGCCAGCTTCAAACCATAAAACCGAATTTTCCACTTTTTTAGTACTTTTAGCTTGATTGTCTAAATTAAGTTGGTTTTTGATTTCAGGAGCTAAGGAGGGAAATAAAGGAAGAAACTGTATCTATTTAATTCACACTAAGGAATAGTAAACTTACTTACTTACTCCTGTAACCACTCGTTGAGGATCATTGGCTGCCCATCAGTATTCAAATTGTTTTTCTCAAGTCAGTTTTTTAACAAGGTTGTTTTATATGGGATGGGATCAACAACCCCATCCCCAACACTCTGCCTTTACCTGGGCTTGGGACCTACAGTAACTTTAGAAGGGCTATAGGCGGAGTAGTGTGGTTAGTCATTAATTAATGAGAGAATTTATCGATGTTTTGGTCAATAAATAAAGCACAATATTGATGCACAGTGATCTTATTTTGTTAAGAATCGAAAAACAAAGTTATCAGTTCGATATATAATAATAAAGATTGGTATTATTACTACTATTATTATTGTTATTATTTTCAGGTCAGAAAAACAAGGTCTGTCAAAGTGATCCACACAATACTCTATAGGACTGATAAGCCAGAAACACCGGGGATTTAAATTATCTGATTTACAGTCATGTATCAGAATATAATAGCTGCAAACGAAGTATTCAATTTTTCATCACAGCCATATCGGAAAACATACACTAATTTACCAGGAAACCTGGATTAGTAAACATGCTGTACAGGAAATGTAAGAATAAGTATATTAAAAATAATCAAAGTCTGATGCTTATGAGTTTGACCAGAAAAAAAGATGGATATGAGCTAGAAGGCAAGTAGTTTTATATCACCAGCAGTGACCAATGGATCTGGTGTTTTGAGTTGATTCGCACTGACAAAAGGATCAATCTCATCACGTCACTAAAATCTGTTGATCAGCATGACGTAAGTGTTTATACATCTAATGTATAGGATGTCAACATCATGAACTGAAAATTAGCCTAGCAAAACAAATTCTATGTAGAAATAAGAAATGTAAACTAATTCAAATAGTTTTATGATGCCATTTTCATTTTAAAGGAGTATAACAATTAGCAAATAAATTAACTACAGTCAGTCACAATGACTTGCTTACCCATCGGTGCAACTAATTGTATTAATCTAATATCAGGAATTAATACAAACATCCCATCACAATAGGTAGCACCATGCATATTACAATGAACCAAACGAATCGGATCACATTGGATGCTTAAACAGTTTCGGCTCTCTACAATGCTCAAATCAATACCGTCAATAGTGAGACGTAACATTCGATATTTCAGTTGAATATCACTAGGGCATAAAGTGTTAGAGCAAATTTTATGCCAAAATGGACATAGTTGCTAAAAATGAAGTGTAGAAATTCGAAATAAATACATTAGAATAAGTACAGATAACGTTAATAACAATATACTTAATAATAAACAATCTCAGCATTTAGCATATATGTGTTATATTAAACAGAGATCACTCTAAAAATCAAAAAATAATGATGCAAATACATCATTTTTATGTCTTTTATACACAAACTTAAGAATCGAACTAAATAAATAATGAAATTACGTAAGATAACTGTCATAATATACTTTTTTAATTACAGTTAACAAAACTGTAAGCAAAGAAACAAAACTCCGTTTAACAAACCTCAGTTTTCAGAACAAATAAGTACGGTAATTTGAAATAAAAGTTGGTGTCCTATCACTAGATATTTAATGTTCATAAGCGAAAGATCTAGTACGGGAGATTATCAATAAAGATATTTCATTTCAGTTTAGGGTCATTGTAAATAAATAAATACATGTTTAATTGATTGTGTGCTTTTAATAGTTTTAAAGTTCTGATCTTTTTTAAAGCCCTAACAAACTGTTAGGGGAATTCACTCGTACATACTTGCTGAAATAAAGGAACTATTTTAAAAGCTAACAGAAATAATAATCATAAATAATAAGAATTTTAACAGCATAATTTTGTTTACCTGTGGACGACCATGTTGACAAAGTTCGAATGCTCTTGAAGAGATTAATTGATTTTCTGAATCAACTGCAGAAAAAATGAATTCCTTCAAACATTGTACTAAGCATGATAGTTTAGGAGCGGATAATTGGCCGGTAAGTTGACCAACCGTCAGTTCTAATAACCAAGCGTATTCCAATGATTCTGCACGAAGGGGTAAATTAACATGACTAAACATTCCTTGACCACGTAATTGTAAACCGACAAGTTGAATACGACTTGAAGATACATTTGAGTCCGATTTTGATCGAAAGTCCTGAGAAATATTGGGAAAAAAATACATCTTCCAATATTTTGACAAATATGACATATTTATTGTTAGCTGATTTTAGATATTGTTTACTTGAACAATATGGGCTGATAAAACACAACACTATATACTTGGTAAACCGTTGAATCCACAAAAATGAAGAGCTTTCGAGTGATTACGCTTCGGAGACTTCACTGGTATGAATTACAAATAGATACGATTATAAGCAAACAATTTCATTATTGGTAATGAATGAAGAATGCTCAATCATCAAAACAACGGATACTGTGACTTAACAGAATTTAAAGCATTTAATTTAAAATTATAGGTAGCAGGTTTGAAACTTGGTTTACATATATGCATTTGAACTGCTAGACAGTATCACAACGTTTCAAAACAAACATTATAGCACAAAGCTGAGTACATAACCTTGCACTTGACAAGTGAATGACATTAATATTAATCAGGAAGAGTGAAATCCAAGCAATAAAAATTTATTGGCTTTCAATTTACCTTATTTTGATCATAGAAGCATACTAAAATTGGTGAAAAAAGCAATTGAAGCTTTGTCTCATGCCAACGTTTGTCCATTTCAAATCCAATACAATCTAGAAAAGCTGTTGGACAAGGCGATTCATCAGATGAACAATGCTGAAAATAACATCAAGAAATAAAAAACAAGACTTATAATAGCTTTTAGTATATCAATAAGCAAGGAATTGATGATTATACTGTGTAAACATCTAAGAAACGATTAGATAATTCTCAATAAAGCGAAGTGATTAAAAGGTTGCACACCAACCCCTGTGAAAACTGTAGAAAGGAAGGCTGGTCTATCTAAAACATTCAGTAAAGACAGAAGAAATTGAGGTTTTTTGTTTTATATGATACGATATAACTTTTTCTGTCAGTCTTTCAACTAACGCAATGAAAATCAGCATATGTTTACTCTTTATATAGTAAAGAAATTATTGAATTTTCCTTAACCGTTAACTCAAAACAAAAATAAGTGCGACAAAAGGCCAAACATTCTAGCAAGATGAAAATATACACCTACCATGGGCAAATGAACTTGAATATTATGAAATTCCAGTGATACTCGTACAGATAGGGGACGAAAATCCCTTGGATCAATGATGCGTTTCTCTGGAAGCTTATCGATTTTGCTTAGATCAGTATGACCATCCCCGGAATTATGATTAGTTTGAGATTTCAATCGGATTAAATCATCATCAGTGAGGGAAAAGCTTTCATCCGGTCGAAGAGGTTCACGATCAAAACTTACAGGTGTCTGATAAATTCCAAAGTAATTTTCCTGAACATTAGAAGTGTTCAAGACGAAAAAAAGCAAAATTTAAATATCTAATATTAAACTAGGTGAATAAATAAAAATAGACCAATTTGTTCAAAAAGTACATTAATTTTCTAAACAAAGAAATACTAAAGTTCCACTGAATAGTATTTATCGTCAAAAGATAACGGACAGAAAGTGAAACATTAAGTAGCTACGTTAAAAAAAATTTCAATGAAGTTACCGTTTGAAACAGTTAAAAATATACTCATATCATTCACTAACTTTTATATGAATAAAATGTCGTAGTACTGCACCGTAGAAGAGTAGTTGTGCAGAAGGAACATGCAAATGTATATCAACTGTATCTGGTTCAAAACATGCAAAGATGTCACATTTACTCTGTAGTATATCATTTTCAGTAGGACCTTGTGTATGGCTACCTTCCGGTCGGAGTTTACTAAGTGCTATTTCCTCCAAGTCTGACTAGAAATAAATAAATAGATAAAAACAGCATCCATAATAGTGTTACAAATTACCTTGATTTATGAAACAATTTTCGTCATAAATCACTGAATTTTGTGAGGATTGTAAAGTTTTCACAGTTTAAATCACGAAGTGATCTTTGAAAATTCGGAAGCCCTGGACGGCCGTTATTTCTTAGTATGGAACTACTCGGCAGTGAGCATACACGACCCCACACACAGAAATCAAAACCAGAACCATCGGCTACCATTGCTTTGAAGTTTTCAATTGTAGTATAGCTAAGAACTGTTCGTGATTTAAACTGAGAACAAATATTAACACCGAAAACTTAATAAAGTAGCACTACAATGATAAATTACTTTTCCGTATAACAGTAGAATGTGATTTTGAAAACAATCATTATATCAACTAAATAGGACGTTATGAATTTTCTACTGTGCATCCACATACAAATATATATATATATATATATATATATATATACAGTCGCTCACACTCACAGCCACTTTTGTCCTGATCTTGTATAATTGTTATTTTCTATGGTATGATGAAGTCTGATTCGCTTGTATACAAACTGCATTTGTCGAAACACGTGATTCATACAGTGGAAGCTGAGATGCTGTTCTGGACTCAACGGGAAGGGAAAGACAGAAGAACCAATAAGGACTCAGAGTTGCCTCAAGGCTGTTCATGCTGGTTAACACGCTATTGTTTTGATAAAGGGCCAAGGTCGTATAACTCAGTGTTCTGCTTGGCAGTTCAGTCACGTGATATGACAGACCATGAGAACATAACGGTTTAATTTAATATAAATAAACTGAGGGATAATAATACAGTACTTCATGAAGCTTAATACATGAAAAAAGGCTTACTTGACTCGTTGTTTCTACATTCTGACAATTTAAAGCAGTTGTACGTTTGAATGCACTAGGCTTACGACCACTTTGATATGATAATTTAGCTGAAGATACTACTGGTCTGTATTCCGAAGGAACAAAACGCCAATATTCAGATACCCACGGTGATGGGTGATAAATGTAGGCTATTCTAAGAAGTAAACGAGGTGTCCAGCCGCAGTCGAACCATTGGCAATTAATTCTAGAATAGTAAGATCGAGAGAAAAAAGCGAAAGAAAAATTTGATATTATTAAAGAAACAAAAAAATAAATGAAAGTACATCACTGCTTAAACTGCATTAAATTTTTTATTTGAACAGTGACACTTGTAGAGTAAACACTTAACATGTTGTTAAATAAATTTAAAGCTTAAATTGTAAATTTTCATTGTGGTTTTATAGTACAAATTAACTTATGAACAGTTAATAAAAATCATGTATAACAGAATTAAGTATAGAGATGATAAAATCATTTTGATCCAATTCATTCTATTATACTAAACTAATTGAATTAAGGATAATAACATATTGGAAATTAGGATAATTATAAACATTTAATTATTTCGATATTTCAATATTCCTGATCAATTAAAATCTATGAGTTTGACTTGAAATAAATCTACGTAAATCATCTAACTGATGTTGTTCAAAAACTATCTTGAAATAATTAAAAAAGTTTAAAGTATGTAATTTTCTTATAGATTAACCGATAATTAAAATATAACTTATGAATTTACTTTGTGAAAAATTCTCAAAATATAAGAACATTAATGTCAAGTGATTAGGTTCACACCATATTTTATTATTCTAAACATAAATGTAAGGTCTCCCAAATACTCTCGCATGACTACACGTATACAGCCACTGTCAAAGAAGTTCTACTCATTGCCTTTCCGCGGTATTACTGTTGTTTACGAAATTGAAAGGATGAAAAGCAAATGTCCGGCGCTTCAACCGAGTTGATGGACATGGAGGATCCACCTAGGTGAGTTGGAAAACCCTGATTCCAAATCAGTGATGCGCATGGTCTCCAGGATCCTGATGGAACAAATGGCGTATGAACCTATTGTTGGTCACCGGCTACTATGGGACTACATCTTTTTACGTTGCTCCATTACCTTGTGGATTAGACCTCTAGGTCCAAGGATCGGAGAGTGGTTACCTACCCATTTCTGTTTAGACGCCTGGACAGTATCCCAGTCCTCAAACAAATCGAATGACGAAGTGTGGCGCATATATATTCGTTGCCTCCTTGCACCAATGTTTGTATGTTTAAATAAATAAATGGAATTGTAAGAGCTTTAGCGAACAGTTCAGACAAATGATTAAAGTAGCGCTGATTATATTTCTGATTTCAAATATCATAGGTTAATTATAGAAAAATCAAAATAGTTTACCATGTGCACACATGCTTAATTGTTTAATCGGTTATTTTTAGTAATTGTTACGTCTTAAACAATAAGATATATGTAGCACAAGATTCAATGCAAAAGCGAGGTAGTAACACAAACTGTATCAGTACGCGTATATTTTATTGCTAAAAAAATATTTCCTGTATTGTATACGAATAAAATAGATGTGTTAATTATTTTATGGTTTAGAAATAGAGAGATTGTAATTAATTCTACAGTTTGAGTTAAATAAAAGAGATTTCTCCGAAAAAATATTGAAAAATTGGATACACATGATTAATCTCACGCGAACAATTCCGTTTATTAAGCAGAAAATCAGAGTAAGAACAAAGATTTGAACAAAATAACATGAACTCATTTCCATTTTTTGCTTAATTCTCGTCAGCTGACGTCTATATGTCTGTATTCTTGAAAAGTTGAAAATTACAAAATGGGTTAGAAACTACATAATTCAATTTGGTTGAAATTTATTGTAAACACACATCAACGTAGTATAGCGAAAGGATAAAGTAATGTGAGATTAAATAAAAATTACTAATAGGTCCTGGGTTCAAATCCCGCGAGGCGGGCCGTGGATGCGCACTGCTGTGGAGTTCCACAATAGGACGAAATGGCCGTCCAGTGCTTACAGGTTTCCCATGCTGGTCTAGCTTCAATTGACTCATGATCTCAACTATGGAAATTACTACAATCTCCACAAAACCCCTTCTAATACAAATATCTATGATACATGAAGAAACATTCTACAACATTATTACTGAGAAAGGAAACCAAAGGTTTAGAGACAAATACTTACGTAATGAGTAAAGCCTAGTTAGTTCGAGTTCAAAATTATTAAACTAGAAGTCAAGTAAATGATGTATCAGTAAATCAGTCGAAAAGAGTAAAATAATAGAACGGATTACAGTTTACATTACCAAGGTCGAGAAAGGCTAACAATTTTTTTTGAGTTTATAAATCAGGTTTCTAAAGTATGGTAACAAAAGCTTCAGTGAAATTCAGAAGACTGGGGCTTAGATGTTTACTTAATAGTTTAAAAATGTTAAGGTATCCAGCTGATAACCTGTATTTTGTTCATCTTTCTCTTGATCGAAGGTTTGTAGCAGCATGTTATAAATATCGGAGATGAGTTTCTTTCAGTTCAATCAAAGTAGCTGCTTCTACAGGTCAGTAAGTATGTATTTCCAACCGACTTTGTAGTTCTAATTTTTAAATATTACAGATTGTAAGCAGCTGACCAGAAACTAACAAAGTACAATGAATTCATTTTATTCGGCTGAAATTTTTGTTATCGCACACGATTAAGTAGAAAGATATGTTGGATACTAGATTGGTAAAACTAATTGTTGAATGAAAAAGTGAAAAACATCAAAATAATTATTTAGATATTTCGGCTTGTTATTTATTTATGGTATTGAAGGCATCACCATGAAATAATTGTTAGTAAACGAGTTGATTTAAAAGAGGAATGATGGAGATATTTCTACATGTCACAAAATTTAGACGTTATATTATAAGAAATTATGGTGAAATACAACACCTCGAATCAGTGGCTGAGTATTTGAAGCGAAAGGTACTTGGTTCAAATCCTGGAGTGAACATCAACACTGGGATAAAGGTATATCTAGCTGATGAGTCCCAAATAAAACGATAAGCGCGTCCTGAATTCCAATGCTACCCATTATCCATCTCTGCTTAAGATTAAGAACGGTTATTTTGTGCCCTACAATCTTCAAAATTAATTACATCAGAAGAAAATTATCTGAAAATAAAAAACTGATCTTAATAATATTATCTTAAATAAACAAAAAACATATTACGTTTTAGAAACTTTTTCATGAAATGTCATTTCTTGAGTACTAGAATGAAATGGTGAAGATTTTTGAATTTGACCACGACCATTAACAAATTTCATACGATTATGAACTTCTTGTATTATATAATACAGAGTACTAGACTCTGGTACGGATAATCGAAGTGACACTGAAGAACACTGTAAAAAAATTATATAAAATAAAAGATATATGGATTTAATACTACTTATAAAATTATGAGGAATGTCTAAAAAACATGATAGAATAACTAAAAAGCGCCAAGCGGTCGACATTGAGGCAAATAGACTTCAAAACAACACTAGCTGTCGAATAGAACTTCCATATATATGTTACATAAACGTGAGTTAAGTTGAAGAACAGAGTGATTGAGAATGTGTTGGACATATTCACGAACATAATATTTCTACACTAATACGAATCATTTAAACAATTGCAAATCTACATGATGAAATAAGAATATTATTTCTTATGTCAGTTATTTCATTATATCGCGTTCTTCAGTTAGATCAAGCTATTTTAATAGTTAAAAGATTGGATGAATTCAGAATAGATTAGTAAAATGCAAACAGAAAATACTTTGTAATTTAACTAATTAATTAAAAGTTTGTGTACTATGTTTTAAGTATTATTTATTACTTAGAAAGTGAAAATCTAACCCGTTTAGCCAAGATAAATTGATTACAATATGCTGCGACAGCATCACTAATTAAACGAAACGAGTTCCGAAACTAATCACTTGTACCCTTACAGGTTAGGTTCTTTTCGTAAACTTGTCAATAAGTAGTCGAAACAATATCATAAAACACGTGCATGATAGTCCCATGAGTAAATACTAACCATAACAGAAGTATAAGGAATTCAGACTATGATTTGGAATGGTTTGTATACAGCGATTATACGACACTCAGGAAAAGTTTAGATCTTAGCACACAAGTAGTAACTAATTTCAGTATCTGTAAAACTTCAGCTACAAAAAAACTTCACCTTTGACTTGTATTATATTGTCTTACGGCACAGACCATTCAGCCGGACATTATATCTAACAAAAGTTCACAAAATAATTCATTGATAATACAGTACAATATATTATTCACTTTAGTCTGAAAACAAATTGATTAGCCTTTACAGAAACATTCAATAAACACTTTGCAATTACCTCACTTTTTATCATTAACAAAGATCTAGTGTTAATTAAGTAATCACGTATTAATAATAACTTACTTCAATATTGTAATTGATTGGTACTGTAGTTGGTAAAAAGTCTATGAATGGTAGATCAAAAGTAACCATAAGCTTTTTCGCATGAAATCCAAGATAAGCTATAATCAAAAGTATGATTAATCAATCAAATAAAAAATATATGACAAAATACCATTTTCACCATATTTTGATATCCAATTGTAATCATTGGCTAATAAAATAAAATCTAGATTGTTTGATTTAATGTGAAATTTATAAGTGCACGGGATAAAACTAAGTAAATCCGGATGAGAACCACGACACCAATCATCTATAAGACCTGTTAAATATTAAAATACATCAAAACACAATGTCAATAATTAATTCGCAACATATATCAACAAATGAATTTAGTTCAACTTGGAAAAACTTTATTGTACAACATAGAAATAATGTACACATTGACTAACAGTCGATTTAGTTACATTGTTAGTAATTGTACGAATAAAATTCATGTATGAAATATCAATTTGATAATTTATATTTTGACATCTGAACCTGGAAGTTGAAGTAAGTTCAAAAACATGCTAATTTGGTTTGATTTACAGGGTTATTTTACCATTTGTCTTGATCAAATTAACAACTTTTTACAGTGAAATACATAAACAATGGTGAACTTAACATATATAACTGTAAATCCTTTACTTTAAAAGATTATAAACATCTCATAACAATGTATGAAGATTGATAAACTTCCACTCACTTATTATCTGCCACCTAATTTATTGAGTAAATTATCTTTTTTATTACAATAATTCACATATATATGAGGTTTCGCATATGAGTACTACCCATAGTTTTAAATGACATTATAAATATGTGGTCAGAACAATGTTTGTTTAATACTCGATAAGATGAATTGAAAACGTGTTCAATCAAGTAGATTAGTGTGAGAAAATAGCAAACTAACCAAGTTTAGGGATCTAATCAATCATATGATACAATTATGTCTAACAGTGAATACATGAATAAGTAGAATATTAGTTTATTTTACTGAAGTTCCACCTGAGCTACAAGTCTTCTTCATAACCTAGTATTTCTACAAACTGGTTATTTTTACTATTAAATAGAACATAGTGTATGTACCGTATTTAGTGATAACCACAGACGAAAGTTAAACTCAACATTGTAAGTAAGGAATAAGAAGTTATACCAACAATTATCGAATTTACTAGAAATGTATTGACGATCCAATTCAATTACGGACTAAGCGTACAGTAATTCAACACAAACAATCTAAGTGTTCTACTTTCCTGGTTTGTAAGAAATTCTGGAAGAAAAACGTATTACATGGGAATTGTCAATCCCAGCGAATAGTTGTATACCTTAATTCCATTGTTGATTTTTATTAATTATCACCAACTAGTGATGAAAATAAATTCACATTTTGCTAGAAATGTATAATCAATAAAGTTAGAAGAAATACATCTAAAAAGAGGCTTCATAAAACAGGACATACAAATCAAATACTTAGGTCATTTTCCTTTGGAAAGGTAAAAGGCATTATAATCAAAGATGGATGGTAGCTAGCAGTGAAATTCAGGAGGCGCGTTTCATCCTGTTTAGGACTCGTCAACTGGATATACTTGCACTCCATAGTTGATGTTCACTACGTGACTAGAAAACAGTACCGTTCGCATCAAACGAAATAAAGTTATCCATTCAACTACTGAGTCAAGACAACCACTAGCTTGTGCAACGGGGTGAAGTTTAATTCATTTGTATTGGCTGTTTGGATCTTACCACTGATGCTTCGGACTGCGATAGGGTTCCAGTCCTGGAGTCAACATCAACTCTGGGATGCAGACACATCCAGCTAACGAGTCCCAGATAAGAAGAAACGCGCGTCCTGGATTCCCCTGCTAGCCACCGTCCATCTCTATTTATAATACTTGTGAGTTAGAGCAATATCGAAACAATCCGCACAGGATGCGCATATGTCCAAAGAGACTGACCAATTGTAGTCTTAAACATTAATGGGAAGATTCAAATAACTAATACAAATGAAGTAAAAACATTAGTTTAGAAAAAACTCAACAACTACTGAAAATAATGGGACTAATGACTTCGTGATCTGAGCATTTGGATTTTCAACTACCGGATTACAGGTCCAAGCCCTATTCAGTCTACTTCAAGTGGTATTACCAACTTCTACATTAAGTGTGGTTTATGGCTAGATGTACACGAACGCTGACCTAGTGGTAACTGAGATGCAAGAAAATTGAAATATTAACTAAAAATATCCAGGGATTTTCGTCCAAAATCAATAATTACCTTTAAAGTAATGTTTGTAATCAAACAATACAGTTAATTGTGTATCACGAGTGTCTAACCCAATATCCCATAAGTGTTGCATATTCCATTCTCTCGGATAGTACATTTTTAGATCGAGGTTTACGTACTGATTGTTAGTTAATATATTACGCCATAAATGCTCAAGGATCAGACTGGATTTAATTAGGTTGACTTTCAGAGTAGTTACAAAGCCATTTTGGTTGACTAACCATGGTATACTCAGTTTTATAATTGAATTCGGAGATCCTGACAGTCTCATAGACTAAAATGTAAAAAAAATGGAGGTAAAGTCGAAAACAAATAATATACCTTCCGAACTGAAGGCAGGAATTACTTAAATTTCTCCAGACAACTAGAAATCTTGAATACATAAAATGCAAATAATCCAGGCTCTAAGAGAGCATGAACACAAATGATTTAAGAAATATTCCCATATTAACTCACTTTGTAATTCATCTTGAAGAAATATAGGGTGGATCATCTTGACCATTACACGATAATGAAGGCAGTATATGAAATATAGATTATGCTCTAATAATTTATTTAAGATCAGTAATAGTAGTATTACCGACAACGAATACAATTATGCCAATGCGACTGATTTTCGACCACGTCATATAGTGTCTTTTAAAATAGATTACAAGTGCCGGATTAAGCTATATTAAGAGGCTTACACTTGTCCATATGACTCAGTTCAATAGTCCATAACCGTATAAACTAATGTAATGTGGGACTACTTAGATATATCTCAATGCACTTCTGTTAACCAGCACACTGTGTCAATAAAATTGGTTACAGGGCATATATAATAAACATTTTAAAAGACCTAATCTATTAAGGAACACAACCCAGTAAGTGATTCTATCCAGTTGTGTAGTACATAATATCTTAACCCAACACTCCACTTGATACGGCTTCCCAAATAAACGAAGTTTCCTATGAGCCCAATAACTCCTGTCCTACAGTTAGACGCAAACCGATCCATAAATATTATGCTTTTAATTGGAGAGGAACGGTTCCCAAACTTTCCTGAATTGTTAACCAGGATGTTCAAAAGATTCCTTATTATGTAAGGGTCCTCATAGTGGAGAATTATGTGATCCACACACCCTAAATCAGAGTAAATCTCCACGTAGAAGAACAAGTCTTTAAACATCAGACAGGAGTACATATATGGTCTACTTCAAAAAGAAATACTTTTTATATGTGTAATCATTATTTATCTAAGAACTGTTGAACCACAAATGAAATTACATATATTAAAGCTAAGAAAATATTTAACAGAATAACAAAGCTTACTTCAACAACATCATGTCTCATGAAATAAAGATCAAGGTTGATATTAGCGGATGTTTTCAATTCAAAAACAAATTTCTTCGCAACCCTACGTTGTCCTACAGTAACTGGTTCACTGGGTTTAGTGACTTGATATGATGATGGAAGAAAAATCGCCAGATGATATCTCTATTTGACATAAAAACACAATAAAATGGATTGAATTCAAAACATTTTAATGGCGTAGATACTTTGACTATATTTTAGTCTCGATTCTAAATGAATTTAAAGCTGTAATAATAGTGTGAAGCAGTGACTACACAGTGAAAAGTATAGGCTTGATTAATGTTTCGCTCACAGGTTTAAATTCCACATCTATTTTACTTTAAGTAACGCAGCAGTATCTACAACATTAGTGTTACAAATGTTATACAAAGTCAAGCATATAAACTTATACTTGATTAATTAGTTAAGCTGTATGTACCTAGCATCAGTTAAGAAGACGTTTTTGGGGTTCAATGCTAACCAATATGGAGAATAAAGTTTATGTAACGCGTATGGCAGTAATCAGGATTAATCAGTCTAAAATTACGATTTCAATGAAGTGATTGTGTTCTACTGTACCGAAGAGAGGGCTAATTAACATACTAGTTGCTACTGTTAAGAATCCACTGGACGAACATGCATTCATAACTAAGATTTTATTTCTGGATTTTAATCTTTGTATTTATTTAAAATTCCCAAGAGTTAGCTAACTAGTTTGTGAATGTAGCAATTAGGTGAAAGGATTGAAAACTATCTTTATTGACCTAGATGTACCCCATATTTTGTTTGCTTTAAAATTCGGAAAGTTTATGACGCGTAGTCTATCCAGATCTTTAGGATTATAAGTTTAAAAGATACCGTAAAGCTAGCTCTTAGCGAGTCCCACCAATGGACAATCCATAGAAAAAATGGGCGAACGATTAAAACGCTGGGCGAAAAACCGTATGTACATCCAACCGTTAAAACATCCATCGAAGAGTTTGAGTTAAATATTGGCAAGAATAAAAATAATAAGTGAGACTAAGCAAACATTAAATGTGATAATAAAAAGTTCTTCACGGGCCAACAACAAATCTAGCTGGTTTCTCATTTTAAATCAGAACGAATGATATTCGACAGGAATATGATTCGGAAGTCTTTCTGGAAACAAATGTTTCCAACACTAACCCTTCGAATCATTTTTGACAACGATCCTTTGATTGATTTGGCTTTAGGAAAACAATGAAAAAAGTGTAAACAAATAACACTTACCTCTGACGATCAGCCCATGGACCATAATTAAGTTGGCATAGTCTATTAACAAGTACATGTAATTCCCACTTAGGCCAGGTATTTAGTGCAGTTACGTTATCTTCGGTTAATTCTAGTTTTTCGGATTCACATAATCCTAAACCAACCGATTAAATTTTATATATAAATCAAATGATAGTTGGATGAACTAGAAAAGGCTTAAAAGATTATAAATTCCTTATGTTCAGTAGTATGAAGTGAGTGGAATCTGTTGAAATATTTGTTCATATGGAAATAAGCCATTTTCGCCAAGAAAACAATCGATTATATACTAACTGTTACACAGATCATTTCACAAACATATCATTTTAGAAAGGAAACAATAGCTAACTACTCCAATGTATTGATTTAAGTTGTCAAACTTCATGATAATATAAACAGAAGAAGAAAGAGAAAAACAAATAAGATTTTAAGATGTTTAGGAATTAGAGGGAGACAGGAAGTAAGTACACATATGCCTTTTTGTAAATGACTTATTATTTAATAGATTTAATTACTGATTTCCAACACTGCCATTATATACACGACTATTCATATGGCTCAGTTCCACAGTCAGTGACTTTATGAACTGGTATTATTTCTTGAACTACCCTGAACTCTACTCCAGCCTAATGATAAACTAATCACCAAAGAACATTGAGGTAAACCTTTAGTTGAATACGGATAAATATTACAGTATCATGCTTAATTATATTAAGGCTGAAACTTGTCTTAAAACTAAGTTATGCCCCATTCTAAAAGCTTAAAATTAACACTAAATGCCATGTAACAACCATAGAGCTAATAATAACTGACCATAACTAACCGATTGTTGGTTGTCTACCCGAAGGTCACTAGTACGAAACCAGTGTAGTCAGCTTCCGCATTACTGTTGTTAACTTGGAGGTTGGGTGTAAAGAAAAACTTTGTGATATGGTAAACTAAAACTAATAAAGAAATTTAATGTAATAAAAACAAACTAAAGAACTGAATTTGTGTCATTTTTAAGGTTTTAATGATCCTTTTTAAATTCCGTTATCAATCGGATGATAAACATTCAAAGAATAGCCCAGGGTCCTATAGGCTGGAGTGATAGATAAACGTAGAATACTTAAATAACACAAATCGTGCCCCGATGTATTAAAACTAACGCCTACCTGGTTCATCTTGTACATAGTCGATTGTACCTTCGCCAAAGTGAAAAACATGAAACGCTTTGTCCCAACTTTTAGGTGGGCTACAAGTTAAGATATAAAGGGAAGTACATTAATTTTACAATTAATTAAATATAAAAACCGAAAGATACATCACACTGTTTATCATATAGAATATTTTCCCTGGATAAACTGAGTCGATGAAGTGATTTTGGTGCTTGATAAATTTTATTGTTAGTGATTGTCAGACACAAACCTAAACAAAACCACAGTCTATCAGTATTAAGACATTTGTGCATGTGATCAATATGTTGACAGATACTGAACTATTCCATTTTGGACAAACATTTATACCATAAAATTATAATCCCAAATAAATAGAAATTCAGTGCAAAAAAAACAAAAGGATGCTAACATTTATTAGATTTCGATGATTTATAAATACCATTTTCGTTAAACCATTTTATTTTATGTTGGCCGCGCAGTATTAATAACAATATTGTGGAATACATTTCAGTCTAATTTAATAGATGGTAATTTTATAAGATGAATAATAAAAGTCACTTAACAAAGGATTTCTACTAGGGATTTGGTTACATTTTTATGAAAGCTAATGATACGACACGATTGTTCAAACCAAAGTATGTGACCTAGCAGCTGTATTTCGAGTGTTTTAACCACTTTGTTGAATCAAAATAAGCCGGTTTGGACTTCATGATTATTACTATCTAAATACCTAAGGATTCTTTAAAAAATGTATGTGTTTAGTCCCCAATCAAACGATGTTGAAAAACCAATTTAAAACGATACGGACATGAAGTAAAGCACATTGATTATATCTACCCAGTTGTTATGTAAATTTATGTTAAAAAGTCATTACTTTTAAGTATGATTTTTATAACTAATCCAACAACACACAAGAAAATCATTTTATATATTAATGTATGAAAATAGTGAATATCATAGAGCCTACTCTTCAATAGCATGTTGACCAGAATATTTAGACACAAGAACGAGAGAACCCATTAAATTGACAAAATGTGATTTGATTTGATGTTGATATTTATCCAATTGTGATGGTGCGTCTCCAATACTGTAGGACCCATACATTCGACTGCATGTAACAAGACATGCTCTAGGTAGCAAGTGATTACCGGCACATATGTTAGCCTAGAACAGTTAATAAACGCAAACGATAAAAAATGAAATGAGACAAAAAACCACGATATTTGACTGATATTTAGACTACAGAAACATCAATCTATTTTACGCCACGTCACTAGTTTGCAGTATGCAGATTATATAAATGTGAACTAGATAAGATGTAATATATAAAAACAAAAACAGAAACTATATGCTCACCAATTCAAAGTCAAATTTAACGGCAGGTAATAATTTATGAGCATGCTTCCAGAACATATGTAAAACTCCTGAATTCGAAGTAGAATCGCTAAAATGATGAAAATAAGTTGTTTACAGTTAAACAATGGTTACCTATATGTGACAACTCAAAACTAGCGCAATACGTAATCCTGAAAATTAGAAATGATAACAAACAAGCAGTGTGTACTCTAACATTGTTTAGTGATAAAAAGATACATATGAAGCTTTTGCACTTACTAGATTTTAAAGCAGATCGACCCATCAACAGAATAATAAATGAAGGCAAAATACTGAGGTCAATCATCAAAGACCATTTACTTAAAAATTTTGGTCTTATGTAGTGACATGCGCAGAACTAGCTTGTATTTATCGTAATAAAAGTAGAAAAGTGGGAATTAGAATTCACAAGTAAATCTACCTACTTCCGTACTGAAGAAACTTTCATTACGTAACATGGACGTTTAGACAACAAACCTAGATTCTTATTAACACTACGTCGTTTAGATAGTTTACAGAATCTTTGAAACTACAAAATAATATTAGCTTCAAAATTATTTTTGCTTATCCTGATTAAAGACGTTTTATTAGTTACCAACGTAATTGGCATTGTAAAAATTAATACGTAAAATGTGAGAGAAATCACGATGACTTCTTTCCTTAGTCTACCAGCAAATCAAACAAACCCTTGCACGACTACGTAAAACTCAAGCTTAGACTAAGCTATTCCAGTACTGAAAAGAATCAATTTCAAACAAAGCTATATATATATATAATCAACTCAAAATCTATAAAACAAAAATATTTGTACCATGGTTCTCGTTCGTTAGGAATATCTGCCTGATGACAACTATGCTTTTTTGAAGCAATCAGTTTAGAAGTTTCTTTAGTGATCCCCAATGCACCTACTGAGCGATTCAACAATTCTGATGATTCATCCTGGTTCTGCCTAAAAACGGCTTGCAACATTTTGTAGACAGCGGTGCGATTAAACACATGGATATCAACTCCATAAAGATAAATGTGAAGACATCTCTTCTGGAAAGTATCTACAATAACCAAGGGAAATTCACAAAATCAACTAAATGATGAATGAAGTTAGAGCTATTAATACAAAGTATTCAACTGCATAACGAATTCTAGGCTGTGCTACCCAAATTCGAGACATCTTGTGTCAGAGACAGTAATAGTATTAAGCTTACTTGGTGTCTAACACGTTTAGTAACAGCGTAAACGCTTTAATTATTATAACCCAGGGTACATATTAAATAAGCAGCTAGATGTGTGTACTAATACAACTGTATATGTATGACTACGCTTATATTATGAATGAAGAGAAATAATCACAACATGTCCCGCATTACTTTGAACTTCTCTTGCACAGCTGCAGTCATTTTTAAATGATGATAGTTATAATTTACAAATTTCCGGGCCTTAAAGTGTTTCAAGTCCTCGCTACCTAGTTACCTCCTGTAGCGCAGCGACAAATAATATTAACACAACCATAATATTGGAATGTTAATTACTACTAACATTTGTATATTAGTACAAAATACACGGACTTACGAATACAATGTAAAAAAGGGTAACAAACTATAAAAACTCTTGGAAAAGTCATGTCATTAGTCACATTAAATACGAACTTAAACTGACTCACCCTTTCTTCCTGGATAATATCTCGTCCAATAATTAAACACAACAATGACATAACAAATTCTCACAGAATAATCATCATTCACGTAAACAAAGTCTCTTAACATCAACTTCCCACCGAGAGCTGTAAAAGATATTGAGCCTAGGCGGATAGAAATGCGTGAATGTGTGGCCTACCAACATTGATGTAACAATCCTTGATGAATCTCCTGACTATAGTGGATACAATCAACCCAACAACTCTAGAATTATAAAATAGAGCATATATTGTCCAGGAAATGAAGGAAATCAGTGACAGCAAAGATAGATGAAAATCTCCTCGATCGATTGAGGCTGTTATTTGAGTATCCAGAGAGTGGTTGGACTTAAAAATAAAGTCCCTTTCGAAGATGTTTGACATCACAAGTAACCTTGAGGGTCGAAAACCCGCCACACATTAGTACAATTAAATCACGAACCATGTGTGCACTCAAAAAAATAAATGACAAAAATCATTCGAATGGTTAAAAACGAAACAAAAAATTTAACATAACTAGCTCAAATTTCTATTTGTGATGGATCACCCAGATATAAGGAGAAAATAGAAGATCTACTAGTAATACGGCATGAATCGCTATCTCTAGTCTTTAACGTAGCTGTTCAAACTAGCTGCTTCTGGTTCTGATTCCAACACTGTATTCATATGAAGCTTGTTTTGTTGTGGATTTTTGTCTATTGCTTTCCGTGGTTAATGTAAGTGAATTTTGTGCGCTTTTTCGGTCACTGACTCACCTTTCTTTTTGTTTTTCTCTTTGCCGGCTCTAATCTTTCAATCTACTCCGAGCGCTCCACTATTACAAATTACTTTCTAGTAAAACGTGTGCAGCTCCTCCTAAAGGTATTCAAGGCTTCTTCTTGAAAGGATCCTGATATTTTGCTTGGACCATCTTATTAATCAAGAAATTTCAGAAGTGGACTCACCCTATGTAGTATCAGTTACATACAGTAGTAGACTTAGGACTTAGGTACTCCCAAGACTTGTCGTTTACAGAACAGATATTAAAACAGACCTCTAAGTCTCAACGTCTAGTAGGTTACATAACTCGAAACCTTTATAACAATCAGTCACGTATTTCAATGTACAAAGTTTGTGCTCGACCTCTTCTAGAATACTGCACGTTTATTCTTAGCAGTGCGCGCATAAAGGATAAATTGAGGCGGAAATCAGTACAGAGACGATTTACACTTCGTATTCTTGGAGCTGATTGTACCTTAACCTATAATTCTAGATGTAATAAGCTTTGGCTAGACCCTTTATGGAAGAGGAGACTCAAACTAAATCCTATTTTTCTTCTTCAAACTACGTACTACATCCAATCACGTGATACAATATGCAACATCTTCTCATTATGACACCCGTAATTCCTTGGCACTAGTAAAACAAACTTATTCTAAATCATCTCTTTATATGGGTTGCTTCACCTGTAAATTTTCTAGACTCTGCAATAACCTACCACAATCTATGCGTACGATAAAATCACTCCCATTATTTGTTCGCTGCATCGATGCATACTGCTCCTCTGAAAATGCATTGAATGTTCTAGCACTTGTAAGTGTATCTCATTCCACAAGTGGTATTATAGGAACTTTAAATGTTTAACCATTTTTATTAGTGCATTCCCTAAGTAAAACCACCTACTTGCTGTCACTTTCTGTTAACACCGTCCCTAGCAAGTTTAACTAATTTGAATAACATCAACAGTATATCACTGTGTCACATGACACATGCATTTTGGTAGACCTGATTGATATATTCTGGCAATTACTGCCTTGTTGTTCCGTGATCTCTGTTTTCGTTTTCATTTCTCTAGTTGTAGATAATTATCATTAATTCGATCTGGGACACGAAATGACCTTGTTTACACCGTTCATAAATCAACAGGCTGTCGATTTAAGAAATATTAGAAGTTCCCGGCTGATGCATTGGATCGCTGTAATACATGTACTATTTAAACAACTACTGAACTAGTATACTTAAAACTTTCTTCTATCACATGTTTGTTCTGTACATCTAATGTTACTATTTATATCAAATTGATCATGCCTGTAAACTGGCGTGAATTCTGTAATTATTATTTTCAGAATATATAAATTATTATTACTAAATCCACTCCAAAATTACTAGTACTGTGGGGTGTGCTACTTACGTCGACGTAAGGACCATATAATGCTAGTCGGGAATAGAACGTCTGGTTGTAGAATGTTGGGAAAGTCGGGGAGGGAAGAATGGGAGCAGAAAGCAATTGTTATGAAATTGCGGAAACAATGAAGCCTGAGACAACTAATGAAAATTCTGCGAATGAAGTATTGGAGTATGGTTCTCTCATTTTATCAAGTAACTGTAGTTTTGTGCTAAATATAATTGGTTGTCCTCAACTGTGTTCTTCGCCACATTGCGTTGTTGACTCAGAAGGCAGTGTTGTCACATTTAACTCTAGACTTTAAGTCATGTTGTATCAAGACACTTAATTCGTCTTCAACTAGTGGCACTTCTGCAGTGCAAATATCCAAGTTGCATGTGTAGTTTGCGTAATTTCAAAGGCAGACTGCACAACAACTTTATTTCTTTCAAAGTTCTATAAAGCTGTGATTTTGATGGTGTTGTCGTTTCTTGAGTTTTTGTCTATACTACGTCAAAGATTCATGAAAACATAGTTAACTATTTCTCAGTCTTCTTTGGCTAAATCTTTGTTTCGACATTCTGGTTTAGATTCTTTAGTACCACTTCATTTTGTCGTATGATCCCGAATGACTGACAGCAAGATCTTGGAAGATTGAATTCGAGATAACAGTGTAGAGTGGTTTATTATTAATTCTCTTGAGCTGTTTACCCGAAACTCTTGCCAGTAGACTCAATTAGTTCAGATAGAAACTTGATCCCACTTTATACTAACGTTCTTGTTTATTTGACGTATTTCTACGGATACAAAGAAACGTATAAGTGAATTTCTTAAACAAAAAATGTTCGTCCGAATATGGAATGTCTGCAGTCTTTCAATGTTACATACTATCGATGAACTGACTTCATGCAATTTACGAAAGTTCTACTGAAAAATGTAAATCTATGGTTCGTATGCAAGCTAGTTGAAAACCCGAATGCAACAAGAAATCAGGTGAATTTGTTACAATTTCGGTTTTTAATTCAAATACTATGAATGCATTGTAGATTGTACAAAGTCTACACTCAGTGCACAGCCGAACAGATACATGATTGACTCAAGTAGCAGGACAACAGATTGCGGGGGTCTGGATTTCCATTTAAGCTGTAGAGTTTGTGGTATTCGCACTAGCTGATGATTACTGTGCAATTGATTGTACGCTGAATACGAACTCCAAATGTAGTACGTCCGTTTGTGCTCATTTAGTTCTACTTTCCTTAAAATTGCACTGTTTCGGAATTCTTAGTTAGCAAGCTGATTTGAATTATTCTATTATATTATTCTCAGGTACTTAAAATTTGTATTCATTGACCGTTAGTCAACACACATTACGTTATTTTGTACTTTTAAGTTTATAGTAGGTGAGTAGCATAATGAGGTTGTAGCGTGGCGTCGCGTCGTGATTGACTATGAACACCGCTACCAAAAAACACGTGCCAAGTAGATCAGAAGGCGAAGGTTGAACGTAACCAAATAAATCCATAAAATCCCCGAGAAGCCAAATATCAGAAGACAGTTAATGGACCAAATAGAGATATATTCGCTGGCGATCTCGTGGTATCGAAAGGATACCGAGATCGTGCCAGAATACAAGCTTGGTTACAGAACGTAACCGAATTCGCGCGAAGTCACAATCAAAGTGTGTGTATATGAATGGAAGCACAATATAGCTGTCATTAGCACAGTCAAACAAAAGCACATTAAAACAAACACTGGTACAGTTGGTTATAATAATTGTTTTTATTAAACCAGTCGTGTTCTCGTGATAAATGTGAGTCACTACAAGGTAATCTACAGCAAAAATAACCACTGTAATAAAGCTTCGCAAAGTAAGTTCAAACCTTTCTCCTATTTAGTCGTTGATTTCAACCTCGTAAATCATGCAGAAGGAAATGATGAATTATTATAATAGAAGAAAACTTGGTTTGTCAGACCGCTTTCTGCCTTCAGACTCAATATTTGAAATTTCATTGTTATTGGATACTGTGTGATTTCCGAAACTGAATATGAGTTCCATTTTTTGCTCTGTGTTAACACATCATAATTGGTGAGAAATTCTATCCTAAGTTTTACGTTGTTAGCAAAACTTGATATTTATAAGTTAACCCCCAAGATATGTTGTTCGCATAAGTCAGCTAATGAAACGTTTTAAAACCAAAACATGCTGAGGCCCACTAGTACATTCTGTATCCTGAGAAAATGAGCACTTCATTCTGGCATAAACAGACTGATTATTTAGATATTAATTAGACCACTCTATTAGTTGTGACTAAATACATATTACACATTACCGATGTAACGACCGAACAGCCAATATTCGGTTGGAACTACGGACTGACGAACCCAAAGTTTATTCGATTAGACCAGACCAAGTTCCTCTGTATAGCCCACAACGCGTCTTTGAGATACTCGTATTATATTATATCAAAACACAAACTCTGTGCTCAATATAAACGGTTCTCAAACGGTACAGCCCGTGCTATACAGTCAGAAGTTTCTCTAACGCAAAGTAGCGCGCTGAGAATCAATACAAATATTCCCAATAAGATGGGATCAAATATCTTTCTGCAGGGATTGCAGCAATTCTCCCAAGCAGACAGTCAGAAGGTTAACAGTCACAAAATGAACCACGCCGTGACCTTGAGCTTAGTCAAACACAACCTTACTGTCAATGGTCCGGCAACATGCAATAGAAAATTAGGTAACAAAAAATAAGTCTTTAATCAAAATCACATAATAAAGGCTCAAACGGGGAAGACTGAAGAACAAAAGACATGGTTAAAAGAGATCGAAACAAAGGTTGGAATACACAAAAGGGAGAAGGAACAAATAAATGAAAATACTGTTCAACAAAGAAGCTGCAGAGGGATTTTCACTGTTCTCTTTCCCGTTACACCGGCCCCCAAAATCCCTCCAGCTTCGCAAAGACACCTTTGTAGGATCCAAACCACGTTTGGACTGCTGGACAGCTGCCTGGATAAGTTGGATACGCGCCCTCGCCCGATTGAAACCAAGACAAAGTAATTGGGTGAGATAGCGGTTCTATAATTTATCATAAATTTAAGTGTACATTATTACCTAAACAAATATAACCACACAGCTATCCAACCAATAATTGTTTAATTGATCAAATCTAAACTACAATAAATAAGAAAGTTGATAAAGAATGCAAGAAAATTACCAATCACCACAAATAAATGTT